AATGCCTTGGCTTAGCTGAAAAATGAAACTCAGAGTCCCATTCCACAGGTTTCAAAATTGGTAGGTCTGTAGGGTCCTTTCTATTCTACAATTTGCAAATGTGTGTTGTGCACCAGTCTATATAATAATTGCAAATGTGAGTTTTTAATGACTGCTTCATAACTGGCACATCTTTTTTTTAAAAAAAAAACCCCAGCTAAGCCTTAAAAATTTATAATGACATTTTTGCAGGAAATTAATACTCATAATCCCTACTTAAGTTTATAACTATACGCTGGATAAGACATAAGCAGAATAATCCTGTATTCATATCACGGCAGGAGTAGAGGTAGCTCTACTTGGCCCTGGCACATCTGTACCAACTAAGGGGAGCATTACATACTGGACCAATAGCCTGAGTCAACCAACTCTTTTGTCCCTCCTCTCTTCCCTGCAACCCATGTGACACCCTTTATGTTGCTTGATAGGTCAAGCTGGCCAAATAAAATCCTATCAGGACTCAATGCCCTCTCCAGTCCTCAGGGATGGACCTTAGTAATATGCCTGTGCGAGACCAACATTTGACACCCTCCCCGCAGACCTTATGGTGCTGGCTTAAGGTAGACTTTGGGAAATAGCACGGTTAATATTAAAATGCACCTGGGGGGGATTATCCGTTTGTTTTCCTTTTGTTTTTATTTTTGTTTTGTGTTTTGTGTTTTGATTTTGTATTTTTGTGTTGTGAACCGCCCTGAGATCTTCAGATGAAGGGTGAGATACAAATTTATTATTGTATTTTAGTGTTCTGTTGGAAGCCGCTGAGAGTGGCTGGGGAAACCCAGCCAGATGGACGGGGTATAAATAAATAAATATATTATTATTATTATTATTATTATTATTATTATTATTATTATTATTATAATATAAAGAATAGTAATGATAATCCCAATCTTCCACTCCCTAGCAACACAGAAACAGTGATTGATCAGCATCCAGGAGAGTGGATCTTGAACAGGAAAGATACCGTTTTGTTTTATTTGTGTGTGTGTGTGTGTGTGTGTGTGTGCGCTTTACTGTAACATATTATAGATAACCAGTGCTTTTATTCCTAAAAAAATGTTTAGGGTACTCTCATTTTCCTACTCCTATTTAAATACTGCTCCTCGATGAGGCCAAACTTAGATGCACAAAATGTTTAGGGGTATGCGTCCCCCTGTGTCTCCCCCAGAAAAAAGCACTGCAGATAACTATGTGTTTGTTTAATTGTTCACCGCCTTATGAGAAAATTCACAAAATGCAAGCAATACATTTATAAAATAAAAACAAGGTAAACTCTAATCTAATATAAAAAGGGTTGTGTATGGGGTCGCTCCACTAAAGCTCTTGAGAGTGGCTTGACAGCGGAATAGCAGGTGCAGGGTTGTTTATGACACACACTCCACGCTACAGACACCTTCACCTGTTGCACAACTGTCTGTCATGAAACTTGCACCTGGAGCAAGTAGCTTAACAGCCAGCCTAGAGGAGCAGCTGCTCTTAGCAGCATCACTGTTACGGCTTATAGGGCAAGACCCCATGGTTTGCATGTAGTAGGATGTGGGATGGATGCCGCATTAGTGGGAAAGCAACCCGTGGAGAGCAAAGGGAGCCATTGGCCTGGTTCACACATAACACTAAGACATAGTTAATGTTAACCATAGTTAATAAACCATAGTTGAAGCTGTGGTGCCTGGCAGATAACCACCTAAACCTTATGCCACAGAGCAGCCAAGCCTAGAGAGCTGTTGGGATTCTTTTGCTACTCTTCACTCGTGGCGCTGTAGCTTTTGGTCAGAGATGGCTCATTAATCACGATTAAGAAGGAGGTTTGAGTTTGCACATAATGGTAAGCTATGGTTAACGGCTGATCGCCGAAGAATTGATGCTTTTGGGGTTTTTTGTGGTTTTTTTTAAATAATATTTATTACTTTTCCAACAATTTAAACACACACACAAAAAAGAAAAAAAAGCAATACAACACATTAAACTAACAAAACAAAAACAGTTTAAAAAAAATCAAACAATTTCAATATCTTATCTTTCATTCACTTATTTCCGTGGCCTCCTCACACCTCCCTTTTTGTATTCCACTTCTGTTGATTGTTTCAGCAATTCCTTTCCATCTTCCTCTGCTTTCTATGCTTTAATTATCTTAACAGATTCTAGCCTTATTTTTCCCTTTGATACTCTATTAATCTATTTATGCTTAATTCCTTATAACATTTCTACTAAAGCCATATAACTTCATTCCAACATTTTCCTAACATTCATTAATTTTACAATATTTCTGTAAATAGTCTTTAAACTTTTTCCAGTCTTCTTCCACCGACTCTTCTCCCTGGTCTCGGATTCTGCCAGTCATTTCCGCCAATTCCATATAGCCCATCAACTTCATCTGCCATTCTTCCCGAGTGGGTAAATCTTGTGTCTTCCAATACTTCGCGATGAGTATTCTTGCTGCTGTTGTCGCATACATAAAAAAAGTTCTATCCTTCTTTGACACCAATTGGCCAACCATGCCCAGGAGAAAGGCCTCTGGTTTCTTCAGAAAGGTATATTTAAATACCTTTTTCATTTCGTTATAGATCATCTCCCAGAATGTCTTAATCCTTGAGCATGTCCACCAAAGGTGAAAGAATGTACCTTCACCATCTGGTCCTGGAGATTTACCTAATTGCATATTCTGGATGGCCCCTTCCACCTCCAGAATTGATGCTTTTGAATTATGGTGCTGAAGGAGACTCTTGAGAGTCCCATGGACTGCAAGAATATCAAACCTATCCATTCTTAAGGAAATCAGCCCTGAGTGCTCACTGGAAGGACAGATCCTGAAGCTGAGGCTCCAATACTTTGGTCTCCTCATGAGAAGAGAAGACTCCCTGGAAAAGACCCTGATGTTGGGAAAGATGGAGGGCACAAGGAGAAGGGGACGACAGAGGATGAGATGGTTGGATAGTGTTCTCGAAGCTACCAGCATGAGTTTGACCAAACTGTGGGAGGCAGTGGAAGACAGAAGTGCCTGGCGTGCTCTGGTCTATGGGGTCACGAAGAGTCGGACACGACTAGACGACTAAACAACAACAAATGGTTAACATTCCAGGAGGTTTGTACACCAAACTTTGGTTAATGAGAGAACTTTAACCATGGTTAACCATAGAACTTTAACCCAGGTGCTCATCTGGGTTCATCCATAAGCCATGTTTTACTAAACCATAGGTAAAGGTAATGGTACCCCTGCCCGTACGGGCCAGTCGTGTCCGACTCTAGGGTTTTGCGCCCATCTCACTTAAGAGGCCGAGGGCCAGCGCTGTCCGGAGACACTTCCGGGTCACGTAGCCAGCGTGACGAAGCTGCTCTGGCAAGCCAGCACCAGCGCAGCACACGGAAACGCCGTTTACCTTCCCACTATAAAGCGGTACCTATTTATCTACTTGCACTTAGGGGTGCTTTCGAACTGCTAGGTGGGCAGGAGCTGGGACCGAAAGATGGGAGCTCACCCCGCCACGGGGATTCGAACCGCCGACCATACGATCGGCAAGTCCTAGGCACTGAGGTTTTACCCACAGCGCCACCCGCGTCCCTTACTAAACCATAGTACTGTATAATAAAGCATTGGACCTTGCAATCGTAATCCGAGGCCCTTTTTCCTGTGGCCCCTCCACAAGAGGCCGGGGGGGGGGTAGCAACACAAGAACAGGCATTTTCTGCAGTGACTCCCCTTTTGTGGGCTGCTCTTCTTAGAGTACCATTGTTATATATATTTAGGCACCAGGCAAAAAACATTCCTCTATAACCAGGCCTTTGACCTTGAACTATCTGTGGCCTTTTAGAAATGGGTGGGATGTTTCTAATTTATTTCTTTTTTCCCCTCTTGGATTTAATGTATATCAATGTTGGTAGTAGAGTCTATTGGCTCAGTTGTAAATTGCTTGGAGTTGCCTGGGCAAGAAAAAGCAAATGACAAATTCAAATAATAAAAAGTTTGTGAACCAGGACAGAGAGAGTAATGCGTCGCATACAGCAGGCCCTGAGCACGGATGCAAAGTAGAAGTTTTCGTGTGTGAATGGTCCAGGTTAATGTAATCATCACATTTTGTATTTTCTACACTTTTGTCTCCTTGTGACCAGACTATTTACAATTCCCTTCCCCCCAGTTATATGTATATGCACCTGCAACGTGGGGCAAAGTGGGATGTAGCCCATGAAAGCTTATGCCTTACTAAATTGGTTATTCTTTAAGGTTCACAACTCTTTCGTAATTGTTATTGCAACAGATTAACATGCCCATGCCACTAGAAACCATAAAAGAAATAGGTTTTAACATGGCGTTCATCTGATGAAGTAGTCTCTCGTCTACCCGGGTACCCAACAGAGAGAACCCTTCACAAAAAAAGAGTTGGGACTACAACTCCCATAATGCCAGAGCATTATGGATGGGGCTGATGAGAGCTGTAGTCCACAATATTGGATGGCACCACATTGGCTACGCCGCTGCTTATGAAGTCTCGAAGGTGCCACAAGACCCACAAATGTTGTCTTTTTCCCCTAAGATCTAAACCCTCTGCTTTCCCAGAACGGGAACGCCGGCAGTAAAGGGGTCGCGGGGGGAAACCTGCGAAAGTAAACGCAACAAAAATCGCCCACCTCTTACAATAAAAAGGAGCGGGCGGTGTGGAGGCGGGGGATCCCTTTGCAATTCTCTCTCTCGCTCTCTTTTGCAAGAAGGAGCCTAGATCAGCACGGGAATCTCCTGCACTGGGGCCCAACCCTTTTCCAAAACGAGAAACGCCCCAGAGCTCAAGCGCAACATGCACGGGCGAGCCGACGCCTCCGTCTCGCGCAACTTCCCCCTCCCCGGCCATCCCAGGAAGCGAGCTATTGGAGGGTGCTCTGCACGCGCTCAGAGGCTCTCTTGGCTTCTATCCCCCGCCCCTTTGCCCTGGGCGGCCCAGCTCATCCGAGCTCTTTGCTCCACCCCGGGCAGACTCCGCCCTGCGCGCCCTGCTCTCTCCCCTCCTCGCTCGGAGGCCGGCCTTGCGCCCTCCTTCCTCGGCCTCGCCTCTCTTGGGGAGGCGGCGAGGAGGCCGTCCCGGAAGGCTCGGGGGCCGGGCCGCTTGCGTCGCTTCCCGTGGGCTGGCGAAGGGAAGGGGAGAAGCGGAGGGAAGGGGAGGCGCTGCCCATGCAGAGCAGGCAGCAAGAGCCGCCGCGGCGCTCCGGGGAGCAGCCGGAGCTGGAGCAGCCCAGGGCAGCGGGAGACGCCGTGGAGGAGCCGGAGGAGGAAGAGGCGGAGGAGCCCGGCCGGGCCCGGGCCCCCTACGCCATGGAGATCGAGAAGGAGTTCCGCCGGCTCGACCAGGCCGACAGCTGGGCCGCCATCTACCAGGTGAGCCGGGGCCGGGCGCGGAGAAGAAGCCAGGCGGGGAGCGCCGGCGCCCGGGAGCGCGACTGAGCAAGCTCGGGCTCCTCCGTCCTCCGCCGCCGCCGCCCCATTGTCCGCCCTTCCCCACCTCTCCACCCCCAACTCCTTTTTCTGCTGCCCTAGAGACTCGCCCCTTGCCTCGGGCTCCTTGCCCCTGCTCCTTCCTCTCACTCATAATAGAGTTTTGTGTTACTTTTAAAAAAACTGCATTTCTCCTCAGCCTTAATTTTGGGTTGTGTGTGTGTATGGAGAGCCCCCCTCCTTCTCCTGTCCCACTTTCTGACCCCCTTTCCCTTGTTGCTTGGCTAGCATGGAAGACATAGAAGGGAGCGCATTGTGTGCGCTCGCCGGTTTCGGTCAGCTTCCCTTTTGAGACATCTCCCTGTCAGGTTCTGTCGAGCCCTTTAGAGATTATGCTGCTACAATTGTGGGTCTTGTTGGTGTGTTTTATTTTTATTTCATTTCTAACACATCTGCTTTGGGAAGCGTGAGAGAGGCTCCGTTGTTTTTATCCTTGTTCTACCCCTCGAAGCAATGCTCTTTCTTTCCAAACCCCTCCAGCGTCTCTGCTCCCTTGTACAAGGTTTCTTGGGGGCTGGGGAGGGGGACTGACTCTTGGCATGCCCTCCCAGACATGTCTGTGCGCAATCTGCTTAGGATAACTCTTTTCTCCGTTTGTTCTTCCCTAATTAACAGCTTCCTACAACAGGAATAGTCGAGCCCATCGTTCTGCCCTGCCAAGAAATAATTCTAGTACTGTAATCCCTTTTCCCCTTGTGAAGAAGAGTGTTACTCTACTTGTCTTCCAGTAGTCTAGGTTTAGAATTAAATAACATTTTTTACATCCTTCTCCGGCCAAGGACATTAAGAGTTGTTTGCGTCTCAATTCCACAAGCATATTTTGTTTTATTGTCCTATATTCCTATATATTCTTGTACTAATAAGGGTAGCCTACCTGGAACCTGAATAACCTGAATATCTTTTTGTGTGTGGATATTTTGTGATACATGCGTATGTATTAGCTTGAAACTGTTTTTTTTTTTTATCCTTGTTTTTTTGTCAGTCTTTATAATGCTGACTTTAATTTTGAAAATGTTCCCTAACGCTATTGCATAACAGTGGTCTGAAGATTGGAGTCATGCTCATATATTTAACAAGTTTTTTGGAACAATTCTCTTCTCGAGTAAGTTGCATTAGGTAGGAAGTAACAGGCAAGAATAGTCACTGAAATCAGTTGCCATTATTATAAAAAATGATTGTATATCTTTTAATAACCGTGCACAAATACTTGTACAAATATTTTGCTGCCTCGGGGTTTTGGGTGAATCAATGGTGTGGTTGAAAGGAGAGCTTTCTCCCCAATTCTTTAATGAGCATCTGTTTTGGCATGGCGTTTGTAAGATGTGTTTTAATGGATATTGATGGGGTTTTAGTTCATACGCTGCCAGGCTAAATCAATATGTGAGATTGGGCTTTGCTACTACTCCCTTTGCAGGGGAGGTGAATGTATTTATACCTTGCCCTGGGGCTTTTGGAGAATGGAAAGGTTGCAAAATCAATTCCTTTCCTTCCGGTTATGTTATGAAGGATTGAGGGAAATATTTTGCATAACTTGGAAGGTGAGCAATGATGTTTGCACCACTGAACTAGAAATCAAGACTGCAGGCCTTTGCAGAGTTAAGCCCATTGATTTCAGCTGGTTTCAACACAACTAGCTGCAAGTAGGATTGGGATGCACAATTGGTTTAGGTTTGTGCATGCCTTGGGGTAGGGGGTTGCTCTTTTTCCTGCATTGCAGGGAGTTGGACTAGATGATCCTTGGGGTGTCCCTTTCAATTCTACAATTCCGTGATTCTTCTTGTGGCATTTATGTTCTTCAGTGTGTTATGAAAGTGAGAATTTTGTTACCCCCTGCCCAAATGTCCTTGGAACAGAAGGTACCGTGAAGGGACAACACTGAGAAAGGACTTTGCAAAATGCATTAGACCAGTGTAGCTGTTACTTTTGCTTTAATCTAATTTTGTCCTTTCCTCGTAGCTTCGTTGTATAGTATCACTTGGATGGTAAATTATGTCAGCCAAAGTAAGGAAATTAGGTCAAGGTGGCTGCTCCACTCTCTCTCTAGTCTTACACCATGTGCTTTGCATAAAATCGCTCCTTAATGTGGTAGCACTTCACAGCGTTTCTGAGCACTTTGCTGCTAAAAGCACAGTAGGCACATTTAAGAGAGTGCTGCAAAACTTAACTGCTAATTCTTAGAAAAATGTCTACACTTGTTCCACGATCGCAGCTTCAAGTTCAGTTCAGGTCAGAAATAAACACTGGCATCTTTTGGCCTTGGAGGAATGCGTCTAAACGTTTTCTCTAGTGCACTTGTCACTGAAGAACACTTAAATTCTCACCTGTGCTGGGGTCAGTAGAGCTGTCAGGTATTGAATAGACCATGGAGCTGAACTGCCTAACCTCCCCCATCCCACCCCCGCTTCAGTCTTACACAGAGTCATCCAGTTCCTGAATAAACCAGCAAACTTCACAGCAGTTTGAAATATTTAGGTTCACCAAGTCCTTCAATGGAAATGTGGGCGGGTTGCTCAGTTTTGACACAAAGGTACATGCTGCATGTGGGATCATTGCCACGTTCTTTTATCAAGTCAGCTTGCCTTCGCAGTAAATTGTTCTCAAAAAACTCCTTCGTTTTCAAAGACTTTCCTCAGTCGCCTGTTCATCTGTCCTCCCCGCACCCGAAAAACAACCTTTGCCGCAGTGGTCTTCCCTTCGCTGTTTCTTACCTAGCCAAATCCATTCGCTTCATCTCTGTGGTGCTGGCCTTTGGGGGCTCCTAGGTGGGCTGCCAGGTGTGTGTGTAACACCCATAAAACAAACAGACCTGTGGTATAGTCCATGTGGCAGAAGCAAATTATGAATCGGTGGGATGGCACCTTGCCCCCGTTAGCTGTACAGTGGTACCTCTACTTACGTTCACCTCCAGTTACGTATCCTTCGGGATACGTACGAGGCAAACCTGGAAGTATTTTTCCGGGTTTTGCCGCGCGCACATGCGCAGAAGCGCTCTACCGCCACATGAGGAGAAGTGGTCTCTCCAGTTGCAGAAACCTCAGTATCCAACTGGAGCTCCGGAACGGATCTTGTCTGCAACTGGAGGAATCACTGTACTCATTCCTCTCCACTTCTGGTTTAGCAATAAGCTTCACCCAATTCTGACTGTGAAAAGTGAAAGTGCAGCTTATATTCGCGACATTACAGTATGCAGCCAGGAGTATAGGGCAAACAGTGCCAGGAGGGTGGCAAAGCGGCGACTGCCCCACGCACAGTCCCCCGTTCTCTCCCCCAGGGCTGGGAAGGGAGAGAGCAATGAAGGGGCAATGCAGGGCAGCTCCCGCTACCCTGCTCAGTGTGCAGCCAGGAACAGCGAGGAATGGAGCGGCTTATATCCGGGGGGGGGGGTTCTCCCCCCCCCCGCTCACCAATTTTAAAGGTGTGGCTTATATTCGGGTGCGGCTTATATTCGGGCCAATACGGTACTTTGAGGCTTCAAAGCACATTCATTTCAGTAATCCTTGAGTGCCACCCAGGTGCAAAAAATGGCACCCAGACTTCAGGAGGTGCTTGCAAATAGAGAATCTTTAGGTGTAAAAGGTGCCTGGCACCCTGCTAATTTCGAACCCAGGCTGGCACTAAATAAATATTAATAACGTAGTACAGGCAACTCCCAGTTTACCTAGGAATTACCTTTCATGGCACTGCGTGTTTAAGTGAAATTGTATATATTTGAAACTCCACTGAAAACGGCCTGCAAATGCCCCATTCCCCCCACTGCCCTGATCCCCCATATCGGATGCGTCTAAAGTGGTTCCTGCCTGTGGTAAACTCATTATCCAATATTTGTGTGGGGCTCAGGGGGGTCTGGGGTTGTTACGTCTTTCCTTACCTTGGTCATAAGACTGGAATAAAACACTATGCCTTCAGTTTTATAGGCTGTTTTATAGGCCGCTTGCCTTTAGAGTGCCTTTAGAGGCCTTTGGTCAGGGCTCAGCCTGACTCCCCTTCCCTTTTGGTATAAGAACTAGTACGAAAGAGGCCTCCCAGTATTCTCACAGGGACATATAAGATCAGCGTGCACCGTTGGGCCTGATGAGCATTTACTGTTCCCAACCCAAATCCTGCGGAAAGCCATCTAATTCAGATTTTAATTCTATCCTGATTTGTTTTAAAGAGGTGATTTAATTATTGTTTGATTTTATATCAGTGTTTATATTTGACGTTAGCCACTCTGAGCCCGGTCTCTGCCAGGGAGGGCGGGATACAAATAAAAGTTGTTTAGTATTATTATTATTATTATTATTATTATTATTATTTATTATACATGAACTTTTAATAAAAGAGTATGCTGTCTTTAGAAGCATGTAGTATGCATGCAACTCCAGACTATATGTTGAGTGTTACATTTTCTGATTATCCTTTTGCTCTCCTCCATTGGAAATAACTGTAATCACAACAACTGGTTCCCAAGGTCTAGGAAGAATTAAAATCATTGTAGAACAGCTGCCTATGGTGGAGTTCTAGGCCTTGCCTTGACTGGAGTTGTGCAGTGGAATGGTGGTCTATGTACACCCATCTGTGGCTTTACATAAAAGTAAACGTGTGCTGAACACTAGCAAGTAAGTCCACAGACACGTCAAGTTTACACAAATGTTTACTTCCCATGCATACCTATGTGAAAACAAATTCTTGCACGCAGATAAATTACAGCACAATCTGTTCCTCTTCCAGAAGCTTTTCTGCCTGGTGGTTGTGCTGATTTGCCAAAAGTTACTAGCTGAGCGACTATTTTCATGCCAACACTAAAGCCCAGCTGTAATAATCTATGAAAGTGTCTGGCTATATATATGTATTTATGTATGTATAGCTTGGGTGGCACTGGAAGAGTCTGGGATGTTGAGCATGGGCTTCAACAGGAGGGAGAAACCAGGAAAAAGCGGAAGTAGGCAGCTTCTGTGATTTATTGAATATGCTTTATTGATTTTTCCTCCCTAATCAAATATTTCAGTTCAGCTACTTTTGGCTAATGGGGAAAAAAACCTTTTGATGGATTTATGTTGCATGAAAAATTAACACAACATACTTGTTTAGTGGATTAATACCAATCGGAGTCTAATTGCTATTTAGGGCACTGGAAAAAATTCCAATTTTTTGGTGTGGGGTTTTGTTTTTTTTAAAGGACCATCCCTGAATTTAAAGAGCTTGGTGGGTTTTTCTGGGAAGTCATTGCATAATAAAACTGAAAAGCCATGTACTTACCTGTCACACTTTTTGTTTGGGGGGAAAAGCAAAGCAACGCTCTAATGCTTAAGCAGAACGCATAGAAGGAGCTGGTCCTTAAAGCACGTTGGGGATAATCAGTCTCTGACATGTAACTCCAGCCTAGAGGTGAGCCTTCTGGCAGAAATGAGAATGTTTCATGCAGTATCATATAATAATACATACTTTTATTAACTTGGCTGTATTTATACCCCCCCCTTCATGTTATTTCTGGCATCACGTATAATTTTTGAGGTTGTATCTTATCCCTCTTCCCATGGGGTGAACTACATTTTGCCAATAGCAGTGATAATCCATATTAAACAATGAAATGTGAGCATTTTGAGAAGGAACTGAAAGAAAGAAAGAAAGAAACCAAGGGGGGGGGGAGAGAGAGACATTTCTTTCTGAAAAAGAATAAAATATCAGTTCCCTGTTCATATATTACACAATCTGACATGAATGACTATGACACAGGGTTCTCACTGAAAGTACTTTGGCATTTTTGTGCCAGATGGTTTGCCACAAATTCTTCAGGGCATAAGAGTTTGGGAAGGATGCCCAGGACAAAGGCAAAGAATCCAATCTGTTTTCCAGCCTGTACCAATGTCTCAGAAAATACTCAAAATAGCTCGCCACTTTTCTTGAAGCAACAGTGGTCTAGTTCTGGGAAGCAGCTGATGAGGCAGTAAACTTGCATCTTGGTTGTATCCCTTCAGAGTGCAGATGAGCATCTCACCGTGCAAATACCCACCTTTGGGGGGAGGAAATTCTATGCATAAAGAGAATGATGTGTAGAGAGAATGATGCTAAAACCACCCTCTTTGACATCCAGTTTTCTGTGTTTGAGAATTCCTATGGGGGAGAATTCCATCATACGAAAAACAAACCCATCTCATTCTGCTGTACGCACAGACCAGACCTGATATGGTCGAACGGACTTCAGGTGTACTCTGGACTTTAGGCCAGGGATTGATGAATTTGCTGAATTCCACATGTGGTGGGATGACAGTGATTATCAACCATGGCCATTGGGCTCAGGTTATCCATCTCTGTTTCGTATGTTGAAACACACTTTAACTGAATGCTATCTTACATTTGGACTGAAGTCTCTGTGATGTTAATTGCATGAATGCTAGAAATGTGCATGTTTAAAACAAAACGTAAATAGTCTGTGCAGCACCACGAGTGCAGAGGATGGTGCTAAGGAGCTGCCCTTGGGAGGAAAAGTGGGATTTAAATTTTAAAAAAATAAATAAGAGTTTAATCTTACCATTTCCTGTGGCCCCAACAAAATGTGCGCCTAATGGGGGGGTTATTGAGTTGCTGTTTTTATTGTGATTATGTATTTTGTGGTTTTATATTTTGAGTTTATCTTGAGACCTCTGGGTATAGGGCGGTGTATAAAATCAATCAATCAATCAATCAATGGGTCCTATTTACACCAGGGAGGAAGCCTGCATTGGCACCAAGGGAGGTTTCTCTCTTCTTAAGCAAAGAGGGACTTTATGGAAAAGGGTTACAACTCTTCTCTCCCAGCCTCTGTGATCTGGATCTGTCGGAGGATCCCCTGAGGCTGCTACATGTGTAGCAAAAAAAACATGCAAGTTAATTGCACCCATGCAATTATTGCCACATCTACTTTGGTCTTGAGTCTCCTCCTTAAGTGGCGCAGTCTAGACGCATATTTATCACCTGATGAGAGAACTAGACTTTAGGATATGGGGTGATGTTAACATGGAGAATGAGACTATTCATGGCTACTAGCCACGTGGGAGGCTATTGTGCTGCCTTCTCAGCTGGAGGCAGCCATGTTTCTGAATACCAGTTGCTGGAAACTGCAAGGCAGAGTCCTTTTTCTCTTACATCTTGGTTGTTGGTTTCCCACAGACCTCTGGTTGGCTACTGTGAGAACAGGTTACTGGATGAGGTGGACCACTGGCCTGATTCAGCAAGGTATCTTTATGTTCATATAAATGTGGCATAAGTAGCTCGCAGGCTGAAAGAAACAGCCAGCTGCAATGCTAAACCAAGCTGTAATCCAGTGAAAGCTGTGGGACTTTCATGCAAACAAGCATGCCAAGGCTTACACTGTGTATCAGAGGAAGAGCAGGGGTGGCCTGCGTGGCACCAGCTAGATGTTGTTGCACTACAACTGGCACCATCCCTCGCCATTGACAATGCCACCTGAACCTGGTGGGAGTTGTAGTCCATTAATATCTCCTGAGCAACATGGTGACCAGCCCCAACTTAGTGCTAATGGCAAGTGCCAGATTAAAGGAGACTTCTAAGCTAGGGTTACCAGACGTTCCCAGGGACAGTCTCTGGATTTGCAAATCTGTCCCCGGACAAATTCCACCCCCGGAATTTCCCCACATTTGCAAATCTGTCCCCGGGAAACGTGGCAGCAGCAGCCTCAGCAGCCCGGAACCAGCCTGGTAGCACTGCTCGCTGCCATGACGCCTGCCACTTTCATGCGCCACAGCAGCGAGCATCTCCTGAAGCCAGCCAGAGCCAACTGCACTACCAGGCTGGCCCCTCCTGGGCAATGGCCGCCTGCCCATGACTCCCGAGCCTCCCCTGATCTGTCAAAACAAAAGGGGAAGGAGATCAGGGAAGACTCGGGTGTCACGGGCAGGTGGCGCGCCATTGCCCAGTTTTTTTAAAAAACTGCGCATTTATGTTTCACAGGGTGCGAAAGAAGGGCTTTGCACCTTTATACAATATGCATGTGTGCTTGGGCCCGGGGTTTTTTGCCTCACCATCCCCACTACTGACTCCCTGTTGCTACTCAGCTTCAAAAAAAAAAAAAAATGTCCCCGGATTCATTGAAAAAAATCTGGTAACCATATTCTAAGCAGTGTTTGAAACTCCAGTTGTTCTAGGCGCATTTTGCGACAGGGGATTTCATTAGTGCGAGCAGTTTCTGGGCTCTGGACACAGTACTGCGCCTAAGATTTCAGATTAAAACTGCAGATTGGAAGGAAAGGAGGGCCTTTTTCTGCCTCCCCACTTCCAGCTACTCTCTGAAGACTGGAGAAGAGACCCTCTTAAGAATATTAGGGGGGTGGGCAGGGGAAGGACTAGACCAGGGGTCAGCAACCTTTTTCAGCCGTGGGCCAGTCCACCGTCCCTCAGAGCATGTTGTGGGCCAGACTGTATTGGGGGGGGGGGATGAATGAATTCCTATGCCCCACAAATAACCCAGAGATGCATTTTAAATAAAAGGACACATTCTACTCATGTAAAAACACACTGATTCCTGGACCATCCGCGGGCCGGATTGAGAAGGCGATTGGGCCGCATCCGGCCCACGGACCTTAGGTTGCCTACCCCTGGACTAGACCATGTGAAAAATGAACATAAGATTTTAACTGCAGTTCATTCATTTTCAGCTTTGTATTCTTGTTATAAAAAAGAGCACCTAGACATTCTGTTGTTGCACCCATAACCTAGGTTTAAGGTGCCATTCAGCTCCTAGCTTTAATATCTCAGTTTCTAACACTGCTTCTAAGTAGGTGATAATCTTTCTGACAAAGCTAATGGTGTGCCTTTCAGAACATGTCATTTAGTACATGGATCTCTCTGGCGTATTTACTCTCAATGTGAAGGATATTGAGCAATAGCTGGCAGCCAAGGGAAGCAAGTTTTGGCAATTTCTTTATAAGCAAGAGGGTGGTATCTGAAGAGAATTTCCTGCTAAAGTAGCAATTAATATTACTGAAGTTCCTAAGAATTGAAAATAGATGCAAGGGAGCAGCTTGTGGTCTACATTCAACCTGCAATACTCTCTTGTAGAGTCTGGTCTCTTAAAATCTTGAGCACTTCTAAGGCCTCATGCCTTCAAGCTAACGCTGAATTAAAACAGCATTTTCTTTTATTTAAAATGCCATGAGGTTTTCAGTTAAGTAATATTGGTCTCTGGTATAATCAAATCCTAAACAGTTTGTTAAAAAAAATCCAAAACTCTGATAGTGAACTCTACAGCAGCGTCAGGGAGCATAACGTTACTTCTGTGGATATAGTTTGGGCAGGCCATCCCAATCTAGATGAGTTATTCAGGCACAGAAAGTTCTGTAATGGTAGAAATTGGGCTTTTTGAAAATAAGGTTGGATTCAGCAGAAGATTAAAGGCCTACAAATTGTACTACTGTAATCTTCTTTCTCGTGGTCACAATTTTCTACTTGCCTAGAGCGCTGGGCGCTGGGGTGGATATATTTTTCAACTGGAAGCCAGCATTTTACAGACCATGTTCTTTGGAAACTTGCATCTCGAAATCTTTGTAAAAATCTAGTGGAGGAGGAGGAGGAGGTGGTTTGGGACCTATTAATTTTGAAAGCCAACCCTCTAATCTGTCTGCAACTTTTCCAGTGTGTTAATTTTAATGGGTTCTTACTTTTAAAATGAACTCATCATTTTCAAAGCTCGGGTGACTCATCCTCTCCAGACTAAAATGCCACATGCAAATTTGTTCCTAAATATTACAAAATGTGGAAAACGGAAATTAACCCAGTACTTCAGTCAGTTCTTTTGGGATGACAAAAATTATTCTGTTCAGAAAACAAGTGACAGCTTTACCAGCTAGGATAAACCAGCTAGGACAACAGAACAGACGCTTCAGGGTGGGGGTCTCCAACCTAGATGATGGACTACAATTCCCACCATTGACCATGTTTGTTGCAAAGTACCAGATTGGGAGGAGGATGTTTCGCAGTGTCATCTATGCATGTGTTTTGATTTTAACTGGGGCTCACTGTTTTGGCACTGGATAAGCTGAAAGTTGCTGGCTGTTGTCACCTTGATTTAGTGCCTGGTTTGATATGCACAGAGACTTGTTTTGTTGCTGTCCCACCAAAGATATGGCAGGAAGAATTATCAGAAGCTTCCTTTTACTATTGTTAACCTTGGACTGGACTTAGGAGAGGGAGGAGCGAAGTTTTTGTTCTTACAGCCTATTAATTCTTTTCACTTACTGCTCAATTGGCAAAACTCATCTCATTCATGGACTTGCCACCCTTTTCTGTGATCAGTATTATGTGTTGTGTATCGGTTCTGTTTTCTGCAGTAGGCCTGAAAGGCAGAGAAACTACCCACACTGAGAGCCAGTGTGGTGTAGTGGTTAAGAGCGGTAGTCTCGTAATCTGGGGAACCGGGTTTGAGTCTCCGCTCCTCCACATGCAGCTGCTGGGTGACCTTGGGCCAGTCACACTTCTTTGAAGTCTCTCAGCCCCACTCACCTCACAGAGTGTTTGTTGTGGGGGAGGAAGGGAAAGGAGAATGTTAGCCGCTTTGAGACTCCTTAAAGGGAGTGAAAGGCGGGATATCAAATCCAAACTCTTCTTCTTCTTCTTCTTCCTTTAACAAAAACTGCTAGGTTGCTGTGCTCCTGAACCCAGGAATATCCCAGGCTATGCATAACCAATACTTCTGCTAGCATATTGCCAGCGGAGGTAACTTCTTATAGAAGCAAAACTACCGTGTATCTGTGATTACCGTCTGTGTAAACAGGTTACCCCTTCATATGGCATCAATAGCTGCCTGTGGTTAGATTGTACGCTGTGAATGGAATGAGGTTCATTCACATGACTAAATGTTGTTGGTGATAATCTGTTGCTATCTTGCGCGGTATTAGGTGGCTTAGACTTGTCACAAAGGGCTGTGATGGACACAGCACCTAGGCTGAAATGTTTTGAGATTTCAAAACTAACTTCAGGTGTTCCAAGTAAGATACAAATGGGGCAATAATTTAAGTGCCAACCTGAAGGTGACTACTTTCAGAGCTGTATGTGTTCTCTCTGTTTGCCAGCAAGCACAGAATCACGTGAGGACAAAACTCAGCATCCTGAAAGTATTTATTTGCTGTTTGACTTGCAGAATATATATGTGGACATAGAGGTAACCTGTGATTTGATGGCAGTTTTAAGCGGGTGTCCTTGTTACCAAAAAAAAAATGTTTATGAAATTTGACTACCCATAACAATCCATGCCTCAGATGCACACTTTTGTTCCATGGCTGCACTGAAGAGAACTGAATCCATGAGTCTTTACAGTCAGTGGAGACAGAGGTGGTGTGTGATTTTATGGTTCTTTTGTTGGGGGGGGGACAATTACAGTGGTACCTCTGGTTACGTACTTAATTCGTTCCTGAGGTCCGTTCTTAACCTGAAACTGTTCGTAACCTGAAGCACCACTTTAGCTAATGGGGCCTCCCGCTGCTGCCGCACCGCCATGATTTCTGTTCTCATCCTGAAGCAAAGTTCTTAACCCGAGGTATTATTTCTGGGTTAGCGGAGTCTGTAACCTGAAGTGTATGTAAACCGAGGTACCACTGTATACAATTTCCAGAGGAACCATTTTATGAAATATGATATGTAAGCACATCTTTTCCATTTTCCTTCCACTGGTCTCCCAGATCACTACAACTTTCCCATTCAGCTGCTCCACTTTCTGTTCAGCTGCTTAGGTACAATCCGAAAAGCACATAGAGATGAAAGAGGAAGTGAGAGAGAGTGTACCTCTTCCAACTTCCCCTTCAGCTCTTTATGCTTTGCAAAGGGGATCAGTGTAACTACCCTTGCCACCTCATGACAAAGAGGCTGTGATTGGGCATTGGTAGATCCAGGCCAGGGGCTTTGTAGCACCAAGGGAGGTCCTCAAGAGTGCCACTGTGCCCATGGCACTGTAATCCCTGGCTCAGCTTAGAGCTACATGGATGGCCCTGAGCAAAGCTTTGTCGTCATGTCCCACTGGAGGAAGACTTAAACAAGCCAGTTTTATAAGCCATGGGTTGATGTTTGCTTATACCGCGACTGTTGTTTTAAACCAGGATTCCTGTTTCCCACGTAATGTTAAGCCAAGGTTCTTTGAAACCGAAGGCAAACTCCACAGATGTCCTCTTCCTTCTGGCCATGCAGGGTGGGTGAGTGCTTGGGACTTGTCCATGTGGCACTACACTGTGGTTTACTGTTGCATGTGAACCAGCCAATTAGCTTAAAAGGAGAACGGCATGAACATAGCACAAAAAGGGCAAGTACTAAAGCCTTCTTGAATAGCCGGCTTTGCTTCTAAGCATCTAAAAGCACACAGTGCTTGAAGAATCTTGCCTGCCAGGCATTTCCCTGTGGTGGGTTCTCCACTTTGCAGCCAACAACCAAGGAATCTAGAGCAAGGCTTCGTGTACTGAATGGAGCGTGCAGGGGAAGGAACATAATGGCCTGAAAGATATCTGAGTGCCAATCAGTTTATAAATCTCCGGTTTTATTTATTTGTTTTCAAAAGCAAGTAATAGATCTGAAGGCTTCCAAGATGGGTTTGCATGTATGTGGGTAGTATCTAATAACATCTCAGACGGCAGCGGTCTGTCTGAACAGGCTGCCCTTGTCTTTGATCAGCAGCCAGGGTAACACTGTGGACAGAATACATCGGACTTGGAGCAGGAATAAGTCTGTTCAAATCCCCTTGCACCTTTGACGCTCTTGGGGTCGTCTTTTTCTTTGGCAATCACTCATAGCCAAGTAAGATTGTCTTCTATAAACACGGTTTTAACAATGAGTCCATAGGTGACTGTGGACGCCAATTTTGGATCCACACATCCTTCCACAGTGGGGACATTGATTTCCCGGCGGGAGTTGATCACAGTGTGGATTTGCCAAGCGTGCCTTCCTCTTGGCACGTTTCTCCCTTGTGTCCTGAGTTCGATGTCTTCAAAGCCCATGACACCTTTGGTAAAGGCTGTTCTCCAACTGGAGTGCTCACCGGCCAGTGTTTCCCAGTTGTCAGTGTTTATACTACATTTTAAAAGATTTGCCTCAAGAGCATCTTTAAACCTCTTTTGTCGTCCATCGGCATTACGCTTTCCATTTTTAAGTTCGGAATAGAGTAGTTGCTTTGGAAGATGATCATCAGACATCCGCACAGCATGACCAGTCCAACGAAGCTGATGTTAAAGAATCATTGCTTCAACACAAGTGACCTTTGCTTCTTCCAATACACTGATACTAGTTCGCCTGTCTTCCCAAGTGATGTGTAAAATTTTTCGGAGACACCATTGATGGAATCTTTCGAGGAGTTGGAGATGGCGTTTGTAAGTGGTCCATGTTTCACAAGCATATAGTAAGGTTGGTAGTACAATAGCTTTGTAAACAAAGCTACAAAGCTCTTGGGGTAAGACTGGACCAGTCACACACTCTCGAACTAGGCCATATTGTTGTTCTGAGACTAAAAACGGTGTATAAATTATCACACCGGTTATAGAATATGAGACCCCACAGGATCTGGTATTTTTTCTGTTGAATTTTATAGATGGCTCCGTTAAACGTGTAGCATAAAGAATTAGTTTCATGTGTGGTCATAACAGCAAGCGTTTTGCTGGCCAAAGAAAAGTGGGGTGGGGGGTGGGGAGATTAAACCTTTGCCATTTGTAAAAGGGTGGATAGGAGAAAATGTGAGAATTTGCCAAAGGAATACATCACATTAGAATAAGTGAGAGAGAGAGAGATAGTGAGGGGGAGGTGATGACAGGTTAAGTTTATAATAAAGTGGATCTTTTTTACCGAACGTGGTAAAAACCTGTTGCTTCTTGATTATTATTTTTTTAATATATTGATTTCAGATCTCAGGTATGTGTTAGGTGTTTTGCAACTGTTCTAGTTGTGTTGCTGTTTTTGTTGTTATATGGTCAGTTTCGTACCCATCCTTACAGCAATTTAAAAATGCAGTATTAAGAACAGTTTAAAAGAAATTACAGGCCTAGGGCTCTGCTCCTGCTCGTATTGTTTTAATATATGCATTAGAGGTGAATCATACTGATTTATAATGCTTTCTTTATAGGAGAAATTATATATTAGGGAAGAATATGCTCCAAGAGTATTCAACCTCCTTTTGACCGATTGATCTATTTATTAATCTCTATTCTTTCCTTTTTTAAAAAAAAAAATACACCCATGTATTTTTATTCTGTTGATTTTTTGCTTAATATATGTAGGCTGTTTTAATGTGTGTAATCTGTACATCTTGGCATAATTATTCTTCTCTGGGCACACGTGGAGTGCCAACACAGGATTTTGATCCCCTCCTCTGCCCAGCACTCTGTATAAGCAGCCATGGCTATGTAAAGCCCTTCACTTCTCTTGAGCTATGCTTTGTCTCACCAGCCCTTCTGCTTCAAAACAGTTGTCCAGCATTTGTGGCCGTGATTAAAATACACGAGGATTTAGAGGTAGGATATATACAACAGGTGCACTCTAATGCGTATAAAAATAAGGAAAACTGATCCCGGCTCCTACCCCTATTTAAAGATGCACAAAGCTATATTGCTGTAAATGGTTTGAAAAGCTGGTAAAGAAATATTGAGAGGTTGCAGGTAATTGTCCGGTTTGGTTTTCTATGCTTTTTTCTCCTTGCTTTGGTGTACCTATTGCTGTGAACCACAATCAAGCATGTTGTTTAGTTGTGTCTGACTCTTTGTGACCCCATGGACCAGAGCACTCCAGGCACTCCTGCCTTCCACTGCCTCCCGCAGTTTGCTCAAACTCATGTTAGTAGCTTCGAGAACACTGTCCAACTATCTCGTCCTCCGTCATCCCCTTCTCCTTGTGCCCTCCATCTTTCCCAACATCAGGGTCTTTTCCAGGGAGTCTTCTCATGAGGTGGCCAAAGTATTGGAGCCTCAGCTTCAGGATCTGTCCTTCCAGTGAGCACTCAGGGCTGATTTCCTTCAGAATGGATAGGTTTGTTCTTCTTGCAGTCCATGGGACTCTCAAGAGTCTCCTCCAGCACCATAATTCAAAAGCATCAATTCTTCAGCCTTCTTTATGGTCCAGCTCTCACTTCCATAGATCACTACTGGGAAAACCATAGCTTTAACTATACGGACCTTTGTTGGCAAGGTGATGTCTCTGCTTTTTAGGATGCTGTCTAGGTTTGTCATCGCTTTTCTCCCAAGAAAAGCATAGTTTTGTTTTAAAGCTATAGCTTTGTTTTAAAGCATAGCTTTGTTTTAAAGGTGGATGTGCAGTGTTGCTAGCGCACAGGACTAATATCTTGCTCCTTGCCTGCTGCTGCACCTTCGAGAGCCAAGTCATGGTTTGCCTTGGCCATTTCATCCAAATATGATGTACAGTGGTACCTCGGGTTACATATGCTTCAGGTTACATACGCTTCAGGTTACAGACTCCGCTAACCCAGTAATACTGCCTCGGGTTAATAATTTTGCTTCAGGGTGAAAACAGAAATCATGCTCTGGCAGCGCAGCAGCAGGAGGAGGCCCTATTAGCTAAAGTGGTGCTTCAGGTTAAGAACAATTTCAGGTTAAGAACGGACCTCCGGAACAAATTAGGTATGTAACCAGAGGTACCACTGTAATGCATTGCAGGGGGTTGAACTAGATCAGGCTTCCTCAACCTTGGCCCTCCAGATGATTTGAGAGTACAATTCCCATCATCCCTGACCACTGGTCCTGCTAGCTAGGGATCATGGGAGTTGTAGGCCAAAAACAGCTGGAGGGCCAAGGTTGAGGAAGCCTGAACTAGATGACCCTCCAGGTCCCTATCAACTCTATGATTCTTAGAGGTCATTGTTTGGTTTCCCATGAACAAATGACAAGTGGTAATCCCACTTCAAAGCTTTGTTACATCTTATGGTTTGTTTGGAGAGCAAAACCATAGTTTAGCAGGATTGGGCTGTTCTTTTAGCCTTGTGTGCCACCATACTGTGTGTTCACCTTTAAACCATACTTAAATTCAACTGTGCTTTAAAACGGTATGTGAACCTGATCGCTTGTTAGCTTAGTAGACTTGCAGTTAATATTTCCTACTCATTTGTGCTTCTTAATTTGCCCCTATGCTGATTTGTTTGTTTTTGGTGGAAGGGTTCCTCACTTGTGGAACGCTCTCCTCGTGCCTTTGCTACATATTGTTAGGCGCCAGGCAAAAACATTCCTCTTCTCCCAGGCCTTTAGCTAATTAAATAATTTGTGGACTTTTAAATGGGGGGGGGGAGGAGGAAGGTATTGCTCCTGTTTATTATTATAAAATGTACAATTATATTATACATAAATGTATAAATATATTATAAAGATGTTATGCATTCTTGTGTTTTTATATTGTAAACTACCCTGTGATCTTCGGGTGAAGGGTGATATAGAATAATAATAACAGTAATAATAATTATTATTAATAAACGTAACTCTGGGTTATAGGCAGAAATTAGTTCATGTGGCTCACTTCTTGTTTTAGAGTAGACCTGTGGAGGTTTACAGAATTGGCGGCCTTACCGTCTTAATTCCCATACATCTGAAATGGAGATTATAACCAGTAATTACTTTATGGAGATTATAACATAAATTACGATGCAGAAGCTTAGTGATGCTTAATCTCTTGCATGGGAAAAGAATTAAAGTCATATTTTGCTAGTACTGCAGGGAAAAATACATTAATGATTTCATCTAATGTATTTCCCCTGCAAGTCTATCAAAGTATTACTGCATCATCACGGCTAGTGAACTTTACTACGGCTTTTCAGCAATCTGAAAACAAGCAATACATAAAGCACTTATGAGTAATGTTAATGAAGCCGAATATTGCACTGAACTTGTGGTAGAACCATATTAAGCGCCCGTCCTCCTTTGCTCTGGTGACTTCGAACTGGCTTTGCAAAAGAACTTTCAGTGAACTGTGCATATAAAGGTGGCATAACTATTGTGTTGGAGGTAAAATTATGGGAACACACTTGCCTTGGAGCTTGAAATTGATAAGTACTTCAGTGCAAATAATATATTATTATATATATCCTTTCGCGATGTACTACACAAGGTACAGCTGTGCAGTCTTTATATGTGCATGTGTGCTTTCTGCATTGCTTACTATGGTTAGACTGCTCTCATGACGGATGTAGATGAGAGAGGGAATGAACTTGCACACGGCTATCCAGCGAGTTTATGACTCCTCATGAGCAAGCGAAGCAAATATCATTTGGTCTGGAAACCCATTTTCTGCCCAATGTCGTTTAAGCTAAAACATTTTTACGTTAAAATATTCATTTGGTGCATTTCAGTCACTGAGAAGCATACATGCCCAACGGCTGCTTTAAAAACCTCCTGGCACCTCCTCCTTCATGCTGGTTCTGAAAAACATTCTGCTTTACTTGATTGTATAAAAGAAAAGAGAAAAAAACTTGATTATTTCTCAAATACTTTGCACCCACTCTTCATATAAATGATGAGAAGTGCAGTATAATGTCATCCATCACTTACAGGAATGCCGAGTAATTAGCCTAAACGTTTGCAGGGAGGGGGTGGAAATCACTTACCGAGATTAGAAGATGAAACCAGTGCTGAATAAATCTGTGCTTGCCTTTGGGGTGGGGGGGTGGGGAATGTAGTGGCCAGTTGCCTTGTTGGCAAGCACAGTTCATGCTAGGAGAAGTGAAAATGTCTGCTCTTCATCTTGGCAACTAACAATTTCCAGAGGGGTTGCCATGTTGGTTTGTTGCAGCAGACACAGCGACTCATCTTGTGCAGCACCTTGAAGAATTTTAATATATACAATTAATGGGTGTTCAGGATGCCCCAAGTCACCTTATGGTGTTTGCTGCAAGTGGCTTACATGTCTACCCCTCTGAATCTTGTGAGATAAGACACTTGTTCTTCTTACTTTTAAGGACTGTAAAACAGTATTTAGAAGTGAGAGACTGACCAAGAGCAAAAAGATTGCGCACACCCTGTCCCTAAGGGCATCCATCAGGGTGAACATGGTCAATGCAGTCCTCACTGTTGTGTGGTAGGCATGCCTGTGTACTCTTTGTTTCATCATCTTCACAATAAGTTCTGTGTCATTTGAGCTCCAGCCGTTGCCCAACTACCGTATTTTTCGCTCTATAAGACGTACCAGACCACAAGACGCACCTAGCTTTTGGAGGAGGAAAACAACAACAAAAATATTCTGAATCCCAGAAGCCAGAAGAGCAAGAGGGATTGCTGCGCAGCAAAAGCAGTGATCCCTCTTGCTGTTCTGGCTTCTGCGATAGCTGCGCGGCCTGCATTCACTCCATAAGACCCACACACATTTCCCCTTACTTTTTAGGAGGGAAAAAGTGAGTCTTACAGAGCAAAAAATACGGTAATTTCATTCTCCACAACGCTAAGGAGCAATTCAGTATGCTGGAGAGGGCACTTGGCACTGATCTGTTGATGATCAGCTTCATCCGGCCATTGTGTCATGAGACTGGGACCTAAACTGAATTATCAGGTGCCCTTCAGACCTTAAACTAAAACTTGCATCGTCCCCAGCTAGCATGGGCAATGGTCAGGGCGGATGAGAGTTGGTCCCCTGCCCCAGGGTGGTTGGACTAAACTCCCATCAGCAATGTCCATTGGCCATTATTGCCTGGGCTCGTGGGAATTGTAGTCCACATCCTTCAGAGGTCACCACCTTAGTTACTCCTGTACTAGGTAATGCTGCCCCATATTTGGGATTCAGTTTCCAAGGCTTGGTGCCAAGTGAGTTCTTTTATTTGACATGGGCTTTCGGAATGTTACCTGATCTTAGCAACACATCTTACTGGCATTACTAGATTTTTGTTTGGAGCGCTTTAATCTTTTATGCTGTGTTGATGATTATGTGTAAACGCTCCCTAGGTGTTGCTGTGCAATGCAAGTGTGGGGCAGTGCAGCGCAAGGAGCTAAAGCTATTTTTTTCTTGGGCTAGGACTGGAGCTTGGCAGGCATATTGGGACAGAAAGCAATAAGAAGCATCTGGTTAGCAACTGATTATTTCAGTTGAGGAGGAGATGAAGGGTCACTGCTGACTGTCTAACTTTGTCTTTCTCCACTGATCTCTGCTTAGGCATCAGTTTATGGTGTCTTGGCTTAAGGATTGGAGCTATTAGCTGATGCGACTAAAAGGAGAGGCTCCTACTGTCCACATTGAGGAGTGGGGCTGAGCCCTTTCCCTGTTTCTTAGAGCTTACAGAGTACTCTGCAGAAGTTTCTGTTGCTGTTTATCCCGGAGGCTATTTGGGAGTCCTTTGCTTGTGTATTGTCCAGTGTTAGAAACTGAGATATGAAAGCTAGGAGCTAAATGGCACCTTCAACCTAGGTCAGAGGCGCCGCAATGGAGCGTCTAGGCATGCTTTTTTAATAAAAAGAATACAAAGCTGAAAATGAATGAACCGTAGCTAAAATCTGATGTTCATTTTTCACATGGTCTAGTCCTCATCTGAAGAATGCTAAAAAACAAGGCCGTATTTCCCCTGCCCACCCCCCTAATATTCTTAATAATATTCTTAATAATAATAGTATTCTTCTCTAGTCTTCAGAGAGTAGCTAGAAGTGGGGAGGCAGAAAAAAGTCCTCTTTTCCTTCTACTCAGCAGTTTTAATATGAAATCTTAGGCGCAGTACTGTGCCCAGAGCTCAGAAACTGCTCACATTAATGGAATTCCCTGTTGCAAAACGCACCTAGAACAATGTGAGTTTCGGACGCTGGTATTGGAATACAGTTGAGCATGATGTGGTTTGGATTGGGGAGTTCACACTAAGATCCAGATTGGCAAATCATGGCCGAGGGGCTTAATATCTCAACAATATGTGCACAAACATGCATTTTCCTCTTTCAGCTGGCTAGACTGGCAAATGTGTGTGCCTGTTGGCACTGGAATGAGTAAAAACTTCCAAATTGATTCATCAGCTTATTTCCGTATTAATCACTCCAGTCTTAAAGCCCATATATCTGTTTAATGTAATTAGATTGCTCAGACTATAGCATTAGCTGGCCCTGAATAGGTATTTAATCCATTTCTTTCGTATTGTGTTGCGTTGGTCACATAAACAGAAAATGCATATATTAATGCAAGCTTGTCATCATTCATTAAGCTCTCTCCTTTCAACAGCATCAGGAAAAAAATTATTTGGCTTTTTAAAATTATTTCAAGCACAGACCTTCCTGTTTGCAATTCTAAAGAAAAGCTAGCATGGTACAATACAATGACTTTTCCACATGGAATGTCACAAGATGTCAATATATATTTTTAAAACCAGGTGAGAGGTTTGTGGAGCAGGGCAAGCTGAGGGTGCTTTAAAAAATAATAATAGTGTTTATTCCAGGATTTCAGATTTGTTTATTAGCATACACTTACGGTACATGGCATTCCTGTTTCTTATGCAAGCGGACAGGAAATGCATGTAAGCAGTCTCTTTGTGAACTATTTCAGATTTATTTCTGAAGGTCCCCTTTTCATTTTTCAGGACGAGAGGGGAGAGAAGTAGGGGGTGAAAGGAAGCGAAGATATGCAGATGTTGAGAAGTTCGCCTGCTCTTATTTCGCGTGAAGAATAGTTCAGAAGTTTGTTGTCACCAGCTAGATAACTTTTCAAACAGTGGCTGTTGAGATACCGGAGTGAAAAAACCAAACCATTTGGCTTGTCTCTCCAGTCCAGTCCGATCTGATGTAAATTTTGCTGCTGACTTTATTGGCAGCCTGGATACCAGTAACATTCATGTATCCTCATATATACAGGCTGTACTCCTCCTTCTGTGCTAGTCAGCATTTCCTAGCAGGCGTTACCTTGACCGTTCACAGTTTGCTTCCTTCTTTCCATGTTATTGAGTCTTTTCTGACCCACCATTTTGAGGGTTTCTCGCTGTTTACGTTGCCCCACCTCCTCCTTGGTACGTCAGCATCCCTTCTTGAAGAAGAACTTTTTTTTTTTTAAGTGGGTTGGAAGCCAAGTGACTAGCCAGTAAGCTCCTCTGATCCGCTGAGCTGGAAAAAGCATGCCGTGTGCAGCAGCTGTTTCACCCCTTTCATCTGTAACATGGGTGTTGTGCTGCTGTTTCCGTTCTTGTTTCTCTATCAGCTGAGTCAGCTCCTGCTCCTGCTGTGGGCTTTGCAGCCACTATGAGACGAAGGAGAGACATTTTTTGATCCCGAGGTGCTCAAATAGCCGTGGAGATTAAAGGTTTCTCCTTCCAGAGGTTAAGTAAGGGAGGAAGAGTAACCTAATTCTCCACTGAGGGTGTTGTTGTGGTCCTGGGTTGTGGTCCTCAAGTAGCGAGAGAAACAAGCCATTGTCATATTGGCTCCCATTGCTGATGTGATGCATTAAATGTGTCGGTGTCAGAAACATAAAGAACTATGGATTCAAAAGTCAGAAGGAAAACCAAAACAGCAAGTGCGATCTGTGCTGTTGTTTGGGAGTGGAGGGATTCAACAGTTGCTAACAGACATGCTGAGTGTTAACTATCTAAATATTAGCAGTTCTTTGGTTGTGCATGTGTATTGTAGTCTGAATTTTTGCTTTGTGAGCTGCCCATGTTCTATTTGGGGCAGCAATAGAAATAATATTTTTTGAAAATTATTATTATTAATAATAATAATGTGGGCTAGCTATTATATAGATAACAACTATGCAACAAGATAAAACCACATTCAAACAGAAAGAAGCACATGGGATTTGGGAAGCAAGGTCTTACAAGATGCACCAGTATTAATAGGGGTCTCAGCTTATGGACATGCCATACTTTAAGCAGGAACTGCAAAGCTGAAGAGCTGTGGTCAATACACAAGTTTACAGCATAATTACACTATATGTGAGAAACATTCTTCAACCCCAACCTCCCTGACTGTACTTCATGGTAGAGTTCCATAGCAGCATGACCTTTTTGTGGGCGGAGGTAGAAGATGAGCAATCTATTTTAGAAACGAATCTTTGAAGAAGAGACTTTTGGCTTCCTGTTTTCTGTCAAAGGAACAGGCGTCGCTGCTGAAAGGCCTCTATTCCACTGTATTTGTGACATGTGCATGTGTGTACTTACACACACACACACACACACACACTACCCAGTGCAAGTCATACTCAGAGTAGACCCATTAAAGTTAATGGACACGACCAACTGAGGTTTATGAATTTGAGTGGGTCCTACTCTGAGTAGAATTCAGCTGGCTGCAACCTCCTGGCTTTATAGCTCAGTGAAAAGTGAGTTCAGAGCAGGAGGTGATCACAGAAGACAGGTAAATAAAGGAGTGGGGTGGGAGAAAAGCAGTGTTTGTCTGTGAGGAGGGATGAGTATATATGGTTGGGGTTCCTCGGGGTTTTATTTTATCCCCTGTGCTGGTTAACATCTACATGAAACCGCTGAGTGGGGTCATCTGATGAATTGGAATACAGTGGTACCTCGGGCTACAGACGCTTCAGGTTACATACACTTCAGGTTACAGACTCCGCTAACCCAGAAATATTACCTCGGGTTAAGAACTTTGCTTCAGGATGAGAACAGAAATCGTGCAGCAACGGCGCAGCAGCAGCAGGAGGCCCCATTAGCTTAAGTGGTGCTTCGGGTTAAGAACAGTTTCAGGTTAAGAACAGACCTCCAGAACAATTAAGTTCTTAACCCGAGGTACCACTGTACATTGTCAGCAATGTGCTGGTGATACACAGCCCTACTTCTCCTTGACGTCTACAGGTGAGGCAATGGATGTGCTGGTCTTGCCTCGGTAGTGGACTAGATGAGAACCGACAAGCTAAAGCTCAATCCACATAAGACTGAGGCATTATTAGTGAACAGTTTCTAGACTGGATGGAAGAGAGATGGCCTGCTCTTTATGGGGTTGCACACTCTCCAAAAGAGCGGGGACGCAGTTTGGGGGGTTCTTCTAGACCCATGGCTGTTGCTTGAGGCTCAGATGGCATGGAGCGCCTTTCATCAGCTTTGGAAGAGTGCAGCACACACTCGCCCTGGTGAGAACACATGAGTATCTACGTCCCCTATATGGTGGGAGGCCATGATATTTTCATGGTGTTATGTGGTCACATATCAACTTGCTTTTTAAATTGGGTTTGGGTCACCTATAGATGCCAGGTTTTTTTGTATTTAGCTGATTGAATAGACCTAGGGGTGTCTACCAAAACAGTAGCATCTTTACCCTTCCCTTAAAACTATGAAAACTGTATATTCTACAAGATCAAAAAAGAGTCCTGTTTACTATATGAATATATGTACCTTGCGTTTCCCTCTTACCTTGGCAAGTGGTTTCTCCGGCATGCTTTTCAAGTATAAAGTGATGTAAATTATATTTCTGTTTGCCTTTATACTCTCCTCCTAGGCTTGTAGACTTGCTTCCTTCTACTAGACTAACAATTTTGCAGTTGGAAAGGTGGACGGTTCACTTTATCCACCCGGGTTATTAAATCTTCATGCTGGTGGTTAGATGTGTTCTCAAGTTTCAGGGCCAACAGGGATTTGAGGTAATCTCTCAATCATTCTTTGGGATTTAGTAAGTGATAATGGTACATGCAGATGAAAAGTGAATTACGAGGAGGGAACAAGCTTAGTTGCAGGGTACAGTGGTAAAGGTGTGTCAACATGGTCTGGAGGGTGAAATCTGCAGGGAGGAATGTCATGGGAGTTGTGTGATCTTCCAAAGAGGATTCTTCTATATTTAGAGATGCAAGTCCTTGCTAGTTGCTTGTACTTGGCTCTGCAAACAGGGTTGGAGCTCTGCAAACAAACACACTCTCATTTCACAAGCCTACCAACTGCGGGCTGTCTAACTTGTTTTGCCCACAAGTCTTAATTTTCTTGGTATGGGAAAAAGGGGGAGGGGGCGCACTCTGCATTTCGGTCCAGTTTGTCCTACGTTCTTGAGCCTCTAACACATTGGTGTAAATCAGGGTTTCCTAAACTTGGGTCTCCAGCTGTTTTTGGACTACAGTTCCCATCATCCCTGACCACACATCCCGCTAGCAAGGGATGATGGGAGTTGTAGTCCAAAAACATCTGGAGACCCAAGTTTGGGAAACCCTGGTGTAAATGATACAGCAGCAGTGCATTACTGCAAGACACACCAAGGCCGCCAGTGAAGGCATGGCTTTGCTTGGTCACTAAACTGAAAGGATCCTCACTTGCTTGGATTATCGCTGTGCCTGCTCTTCTGCCGCTTGTGCAGCAAAGGGCGTAAATGATAGGAAACTGCTTTCTATCATTGCACTGATTAGCCGTGGCTCTCCAGGATTTCAGATTTGTGCTTTTGCAGCACAAATTTTCGCTCTGTAAGTCAGTATGCAGCAGGACGTTAGGCGAATCCATGGGGGGAAAAACAAGAATACTTGAAGATTTAATGGTAGGTGGCCTTGTCTGAATTAGCCCTTGGAAAACCTTCAGTCTTGCAAGCATGCTTCTTGAGAAGTGAATTTTGGACCTAGTAACAAATTCCTTATTTCTCATGGCATGCCCGTGCTGCATAAGCTGTCTTTCGAACCTTAAACTGAAAAGGCTTGGAATTGTAGGCAGTGCTTCTTATTACCTCTAATAATGTGATTATCTTCCTCCTTCTTGAAGATTGGGTTGGAAGCTATGCCCAGCCAGCAGTACTCCCCTCGAAAATTAAGCAGAGGGACATTTACCCCATCCAAGCCGCCTCCAGCAGAGCAGATTATTTCTGGGCTATAACATTTTTGCATTCTCTCTTCTCTGTACTATTTTAAAAATTCTACTGGTTCTTCTCTCTCTCCCCCTCCCATTTTTTGGTATAACTTTTTTCACAGATATGCTAGCACTTTTACATTTATTTTCCTGAATCTCTAGGTCTCTTTTTTTAACTTCAATATAAGATATATTCAGTCTTCATCATTCGTTAATCATATCTGACTTTTTCTTGGTGTCATTTGCTACCTGAGATTCTTAAACTGGTTTTGACGATTTAAAAAATGAGCACTCCATTGTGCGGCTTTTGTTCCCTTCCAAAGAAAAGAAAAGTTTTTCTTAGAACCATTTTCTTAGAACCATTTAGATCTATTCTGATAACTCATTTGAGAAAAGTACAGTGTGTGATTGTGCAGATTGCAATGTGCATTGGAGAGAACAGGCTAGAATCGCACTATGCTTCTGTGAAGCAAGGAGCAAGTTTAATAAACATACATGGTGTCTCTCTGAATCATCTGGGTAAGAAATCTGCAACCGAGATCCAGAATAAATATCACCTTTAAGTAATCAGTCATTTTTATCTGAGTTGGACAATGTGTTCATGTGCATATAAGGCATTTTTTTATCAAACTTGTCTCTAGCCCTCATTGAATCTTTCAGGCCTTGGGTAACTTGCAACTTAAAAGGTAAAGGTAAAGGGACCCCTGACCATTAGGTCCAGTCGCGGACGACTCTGGGGTTGTGGCGCTCATCTTGCTCTACTGGCCAAGGGAGCCGGCCTACAGCTTCCAGGTCATGTGGCCAGCATGACTAAGCCGCTTCTGGTGAACCAGAGCAGCGCACGGAAACGCCGTTTACCTTCCCTTCGGAGCGGTACCTTTATATCTACTTGCACTTGACATGCTTTCGAACTGCTAGGTTGATTGGAGCTGGGACAGAGCAACGGGAGCTCACCTCGTAATGGGGATTCAAACCGCCAGCCTTCTGATCAGCAAGCCCTAGGCTCTGTGGTTTAACCCATGGCGCCACCCGCGTCCCAACTTGCAACTTACCTACCCCTAAATAAAACTCTTTGGCTGCAATTTCGCTGAAGTTGCTTTGAGGGGTGTGCAGACTGAGATTTTTCATTGCCATGCAAGGCTGCTTCAGACCTCCCCTTCCGCATACCTGGCAGTGGGAAGTAAATGTATATACAGGCTTGTGGTTTGCTAACTGTGATGTAAGCCATACTTGTTGAGTTTCTTACCCCTTCCATTGACTACGTAGATGCCTCAGAGGAAGATTGGAGTGTATTTGTATAATTCCCGCCCCCTAATTTGTATGAGTTGCTACATATGCATCAAATTTAAACTTATAATACAGCTGATGGTCCAGTCTGCATTTCACAGTAAACTATAGTTTACCATAGTGTACTTCAGTGCGTTTGACTCCTCCCCACATGGAGGAAACATACCATGATCCCTGACTTAGTGCTATGCCCAAACCATGATGTACACACCAAGAATAAACCTTGGCTACAGATTACTGCTTGGGAACTCGGGGGGAAACAACATGGCCAGGATAGGTCCGTGCAGAGTTTACTGTGACATGCAAACAAGGCCAACGTATTTTAGAAAGACTGCTTCAGAATACAGTCAGTAGAAAACAGTGTATTGTACAAATAAATGTCTGTGCTTTGTAACCTCTCCCTCAAATTGAGACTTCACACATTGACCTAGCTTTGAAAAATGAAGTTTAGAGATCACAGCTTCGTTCTTGGAAGTTCCTGCAACTTTCTGACTTGTAGATTTTGGTACTTCATCTGTAGAGCATAACTTTATATAGAAGGAAGATGGATACGTACTTTGGACTACTACTGTGGCAAAGCAATCAAGAGAACTTGTACAAATGCGGAAGGTGCTGATGTTTTTGCACCATTTCAGAATGCACGGGGGTGAAATTATTGATTTAAATGTTCTTCCATGTCTTGGTTTTCTGCTAATCGGGCATTTAAGCTTTCTATGTGGAAAAAGAACCACTTAGACAATGAGGGCACTTGCCCTTAGTTGCATGAAGCTTCAAGTGATTTATACAAAAAGTGAGATATAGTTTGGTTTCTTCAAAAAAACAAAACAAAAACCAAGAGAGAAACATCATGTTGTAAACTGAGATGCACTTTGAACATTGTGTCCCATTCCAAGTTTTCATGGCACAAACACTGTCCTTAGCATGCCACCAAAGGAGACTTACTCTCTTACACGGGAACAATGAAATATGTGCCAATGGCTCAGTCCCTACCCTTTTCCCGTTTTGTGTGACTCTGGTTTTATTATTGGATTATTCAAATTTGTATGCTACAGGAATCTCAGCTGCACAAAGCCTTCAGTGGAAATGAAAATGCGGTCAAAATGAAGCCAAACAAGTGTTGGCACAGACCCTTTCAAATTCATTTATTTATATTAAATTTATATACCACCCTACACTTGAGGATCACAGGGCAGTTTACAGTATAAAAGCACCAAAAGACAGTGGTACCTCGAGTTACATACGCTTCAGGTTACAGACTCCACGAACCCCAGAAATAGTACCTTGGGTTAAGAACTTTGCTTCAGGATGAGAACAGAAATCACACGGCGGCAGCAGGAGGCCCCATTAGCTAAAGCAGTGCTTCAGGTTAAGAACAGTTTCAGGTTAAGAACGGACCTCCAGAACGAATTAAATCCTTAACCTGATGTACCACTGTACATAATGGCTAGCAAAACAATAACCCCCCACCACTTCACACTCAGTTTAAAAGGCCCTAGATTCTTTAATTGGCGAAAGGCCTGGGATAAATATTTTTGCCTGGCCCCTAAGGAGATTTAACAAAGGCCTCAGGTGAGCCTCCCTGGGGAGAGCATGCCACAAACAGGGAGCCACCACAGAAAAGGCCTGTTGTTGTTGTGTTGCCACCCTCCGGACCTCTTGCGAAAGGGGCACACAAAAAAGGACCTCAGGTGATGATCACGGGGTCTGGATTGGATCATATGGGGGGAGGCGGTCCTTGAGGTATTGTGGTCCTGAGCCATTTAGATCTTTCCAGTTCAAAACAAGTTAGGCTATCTCTGCCCAGATAGGGCTGCAACTGGACCACCAGCCCAAACTGATGGAAGTCACCACTGAGACCACCTGAGCCTCAAGTGACAGTAAAGTTTCCAAGCTGTTTCCTTGGGCAATCCCCATCGAGGGCAATCCCCATCAAGAGCAGGTCACCTCCCATCCATTCTTATCCTGCCAAATGAGGGGCTTGTGTCTCCATTTGGTTTTGCTGTATTCCTACCTGCTATGGAAAAATAGTATGGGAGCAGCTCATGCCTCGGAAATTGCCTAAGACTTAGCTAGTCAGACCATTGTTCCATCTAGATCTGTGTTGTGTACATTGACTAGCAGCAGCTCTCCCAGTTTTCAGCCAGGGTCTAGTGTAGCCTTACCTGGAGATACTGGGATCCTGGGACCTTCTGCATGCAAAGCAGATGTTCTACCACTGAACTAAGTCTCTTACCATTTGTTTGTGTTCGTCAGTAACCCATTTACACATTTACAAGGCGGGCAAAATTTTCATGTTTCCAGGAATACACTTCCTCTATCTCCTCATCATTGCCAACAATCATGTGAAACAGATCCCTGTCTATTTGTCAAATGTCAGGTAAATTGTTAGTAGCCAGATCCAAGTCCAGGGCTCATTGAATTTCTCAAACTAAAATGCTATCCAAGTTCTGTTTTCTGCAGAACACTTATGAGAAATGTTCTATCTTTGCGAAAACGAGAATGCTTTCCCCTCTTTCATTAACCCAAGCTTATTTTTAGTTGAAAAACATTAAAAAACAGAGTTTAAATAGATGCAAAACTTATTTTAAAATCTTAGGATAAATATTTTAAATATAGGGTGAATATTTCATTGTGTCTGTGAAAGAGAAATATAATCTGGAGATAAGTATATGAATTTCAAATGAATTGCATGTTACGAGGTTGAAAGTATAGCTAAGATTACATCTACAAGAGGTTACACTTAGGTGTAATTAATATTGGATGCTTAGGTAATTAGAAATGATTATATTACACTATGCTATGTTACATTATATGTATTCTGCACGAAGACGTCCTTAATGTATGAACTAAAAGCTTTAAAAATAAACTTTTGTTGTTATTTTAAAAGTACTCCTGTATCTTCTTTTTTAATGTGCAGCCCATAGTTTATTGGTTAGAAAGGCACAATCACAGCAAACCATTAACAGTGGTTTACTGTGTCATACAAACAAGGCCTGTATGTGCAAGCCAGGAATCATTATTTGAAATAGACTTGTTGCGTTATGAAGCTAGTTTGTTTAACCAATGAGTTGATTTCAAACCACAGTTCCTGATTCATCTGCAACAAGTCAGAAATTGGGGAAAGTAAAACCGAACCATGGTTTGTTACTCTTGACTGAAGGAGTACTGAAACTCAAGACTTTGCTTGGCCTCACAGAGACTTGATGATATATCTTGGTTTAACATTATGTACAGACCAGGGCAGTGTGCATTCCACTACATTTTAAATGTCTGTACCTTCATTCAAAGTAATATTGACACCCCATAGCAGAAACAGGATTGCTCTCTGTAGGCTTAGAATAGAAACATTGGATCCTGATATAAGGTCAGTAAAGAACACTCTTTACTGGAACGATAGATCATTTTTCGGTTCTTCTTCTTGCCAAAAAGAGAACTTAAAAGGAAATGCAGTACTTCCCAGTTCTGATTCCCAGACATCCTTTTATTTGTTGATTTGGAGTAAAGCCACAATGTCAAATAATCCTGTTTAACTTTTAATGGTCAGGAAAATGTAAATGTAAGCATACAGCTTTCCTACACGATTTTCTTGAAAAGATTGATGATAATTTATTTCTCATACCCCGCTCATCTGACTGGGTTGCCCCAGCCACTCTGGGCAGCTACTGAAGACAAATAAATTTGGGGGTGACACAAAGTGTTTTGCAACTGTTCCGCTCAGTTGAAGGACACAACCATTTAACCACTCGGACAGCAATAATAAACTGGCAACAATAATTAACACAACAAATTGCAAGCTAGAGTTGCTAATAGCCAAGTTTCCTCTTCAGCTGGAGACCATAGGTCTGATTCTTCATGAAACTCTGAAATTAGTTGGGTTATTAATCCCTCCCTTTAATAATTTAAATAGTTTTAAGGTGAATGTTTGGCTTTGCAGCTACTACTCTATAACTTATTTTTTGGGAATCACCAGCTCTGTGCTGGTGTTCTGATAGTTCCTTTTATATTGGGTTTACATCTACCCTTCGTATCCACATACCTTTGAGGACATTACTGTTTCAGTATCTTTTGGAATGATGGATCTGCCCAGTGTCTTTTCCTAACCAGGATTATACCTAGATAAATATTAGGAAGCTTCCTTGGACTTGCTCATTCCTTTCCCAGTCATTGTGGAGAGATGGAACATGTGAATCCAAGGCTCACTACAGATCTGTCCAAGGGGTATTGTCCAGGAGAGGGGAAAATATTGGCAAAAAGAAACTCTGAGATTAATGTGGCAGAGGCTGCAGAACATTGCTTCAAAAATAATAATCTTGAGACATTTAAGTGTGCAGTCCAATCATAGTCTTGCAGTCTGTCTTTGGTTAAGGAAAATATGGTAAATTGTGCTGTCAATACACGGTGCCATGATGATGATGATGATGATGATGATACAAAATAAAGGAATATGCTTTATGTGCATTACTATTTGTTATTAATTTAGCTCTACAGTTTAGTGTCTTAGTTTTAAGTCTATATATACAGAACATCTTCTCTTGGCCTGAAAACGACAACGAATTGTATACAAAAGAAATGGTCCCATCTAGATACAGTTTTGGTCAGACAAGTTTAAGCCTGCGGTTCTCCTGAATAACATTTTTGTCGAATGAAGCAGTGAACTTCGGAAGTCAACATTGTCTGAAAGCACAAGTATAGATAAACAAATTTATAGGACGTGCATAATGAAACATGCCTGGCTTCCATTAGCTGATACCGAGGCATGAACATTTTACACATTTTCTCCTTTATGAGCTATTTCTTCTGGCTAAAATTACATTGAAATAAATAAGCACTCTGCCTCTCTATATCAAAAATTAAAATCTTTATCCTTTTTGTTTATACCTTTTAGAGCAGACTTTTCTGTCTGCATTCTGAAAGTGGATTGCAAAACTGGAAATTAAAACTATAACAGCATCATAAAACAGTAAAGCGCAACGAACACGGGGCTTTGGGTATAGTTTAAAGCCAAAGAGCTATCATTCTACATAAATCAGCAACCAGCTATTAAAAAGCATGAATAAAAATAGCATAAGTGCTGGCTTGTGGATCTCAGTTATTGTGTTGGCCACCACCCTGTCTTTTGACAATATTGCACAAGGCAGACTCCTTTGAGTAGGATTTCCCTGTTCTTCCTATATACATAAGAAATATCAGTCCATTATGCTGGCAGTACCTATCGCTGGAGGAAGCCATGCGCTGATGGTACATTGCAAAAGTATGGGGTATGAGGAAGGCCGGGTGGAGTTTGGAGCTTGTTGAGGCAGAAGTGAGAGTTTACTTGGAATCGGGTGGTTGTCCATTGGCTAGTTGCACTTCCAGTGCATTATCTTTGCAGAAGAGCGTATGCAAGTTCAAATGCTTCCAACAAGTAAATATCGTGCCCAAAACAACTGCTCCCATTGACACGCATGGAGGCAAGGGGTTGCATCCAACTAAGTCATGACCTCCTCTGAGCAAATTTGGGGGGAGTGCAAGGGGTGCACAGAGGGAAGGGAGGTCCCACTGCACAAGTAAAAATCATTCTACTCCATTCAGTGACTTAGTTGGGTGCAGTTCTAGGATCCAGAGCGGTTCTTCAGCTAATCATGACACAACACCAGAGCTTGCACTCCTTAGACTAGGAACTCGGATTGCATATATCAAGTTGTGTGACACAAGGCCATATCCCTTTGTTCCCATGCCTAGAGAACGCACAGATGGTGCAGAAGCAGCGTTTAGTTGTTTGTGTACCCAGCAGCCAGGGAGAGGAAAGAACAAGTGAGTAATGTTATCTTCTCAGAACCCTTACAGATACCTTGCCTTGGGGCAAACGCCAACCAGAACCTCAACTCCACGATTGAAACTGGGTCTGCAAGGACAAGGCATACACAAAGGGTAAGCAAACAGAGATGAGGGACCATGCTTCAAAGGAGGCCATCTGTCTTTACTCCTAGGTCACAAAGGGTGTCCCCCTGCCACAAGACCCCATGTAGTTTGGGGTAATGGTATGAGCTGGCATAATGGTGGGTGGGGTTGTTTATGAATGGGTGTGTACACTATACATAAAGAGTTTCTTGGGGCCCTAAACTCCCAAATGTATGCACGATCCTGCAATACATCAATGAAGGCATAACCACCTTTGTTGGGAGAATGCCAATCATTGATGGTATAATTCAGGACTTGTTTTTCTTTACAGGTTATGAGCTGAAGCACATGGAACAGGGCAAGTGTTAAGCTGCATGCAATGTTCTAGTGCAGTACTCTGCGTTGGATAGGTGGGTATTGTTATGATGACTACATTATCTCCCCATAGTGAACCCCCAGGCATAGATGTCAGGGGCTAATGATTTGCACTTGGAAGATGCAAAACTAGTCAACTGGCAGTGGAATGGCACCTGAATAATAACACACTTTCTCACCAATCCACAATAAACATTTAGTCATCTTATTTGCTGCAGCTGCTTCTCATTATCTCCCCATATCTGTCTCATCTCCCCTCAGGCAACCATTTAACATGCATCAAGGCAAAGTGTTTTCCTACCATCCCATTCCCCGTGCCATGCAGATGCCTGAGAGGCCTACAACAACAACAGCATTTAGCAGGAGGGAAGCCAGCTATCTATTCTTCTTTGGGATTGCCACCTTTTCCGTCAAGCAGGGCTCCTGTGCCTTTCCAGGATGCTGGACAGACAGCGTGATGTGGATAATGGAAACAGCTGTCCCCTGCTGATTTTCTGTGGGTTTCGAAGGCACAGCAGGTCTGCATAAACCAAAGAGTGGGCAGCCCTGCTCATCTGAGTTGACTTCAGAACTCCTTTGGCAACGGATGCTGCTCAATAAAAGTTGTGACTATTTCATCTGTGTGTCTGTTCTCAAAACTACTCTTAGTTATTCATCCTGGATGGCTTCATGATAGGGCAGTGGGTTTTCTACCAACAAACCCCATCAGGGTTGAGAGTCTCCATCTTCTCCATGACCTTGTCCTTGGTCCATGGTCCATGTTACTCATCCTGGATGGCTTCATGGTGGACCAGTAGATTTTCTACCATCATACCCCATCAATACTGAGAATCTGCATCTTCCCTATGACCTTGGCTCTGGCTATCACATTCTGTGGGTCTGTCTTTCCATCCCTTTTTCTGGCAATCTACCCAGATTGAACTTGGGATGTCACAAAGCCTAAGCCTGTGCTTTTTCACTGAGATACAGCGCTCCATACGGTCTCTAGGGTCCCTGGATGTGATGTTTGGGATAGAGGGGGAGGGAAGGGTGTGTGGTGGCTCTTGGGAGACTACAAAGTTCCCATTATGTGTCTTGCCTGTCTTTTCTTTGCTTCTGTGACTATATGGTTATGCTGTTGCTTTGTGACATGGAAGGCCTGCCTTTCCATAATTATTGCCATAGACTGTAAGCATTGCCACATTGCATGCCCCAAAGGTGGGAACTCAAACACACATCCCTTGCCTTTCTTTTGCGTTGTCTTACCAGTTGTGTATCTGGCAGCTCGTGGGTGCTGCTTAAATGTCAATTCTTCCTCATGTGGTTCCCTATCCCATGGGGGAGTAAAACTTTTGCTTCCCCTTCCTTCCACAGACACCCATAGATGTGTTCTGCACAGTATTCCTAGCTTAGAGTGTGCAGAATCGTTTCGGTGGGTAGGACTTGTAATCCTTTTCCTCAGTATCCTCAGAATTCCAAACATGTGCTTCCTGAATGCTGTTGTGATGGTCAGTCTCTGATGGGGCAGGTGCTGTTGTCTATTCCTGCAAGTGTGCCTGAGTCGATAGCTGTCGTTCCTGATGGTACCATGGAGGTGTGGTTTCTCAGTGCACTGTGGTTTCTGGTGACACTGTGGGAGTGTTGGTTGGTGTTGACAGGTGAGCTGTTGTATTGGCAGCTGTTCCCTTTTGACTCTGCTCTTGGTTTCCAGGGGTGCAAACATTTTCTAGCAATGTTTTAAGTCCTTGTGGTGCAACAGCCAGCATAACGGGGACATAGGATTTTGACCTGCAACCAAGCTCTCAGTTTCCCATAAACTGTGCTCCTTGATACAGAATGATGTTACTTCTTGCCTTTCGCTAACTCTGCTAGCCAGGGTTTGAATTGTTGTCTGTGTTGATGTTTCACCCTTGATAGCACCTGAGATGGATCTCCCCTGTTCTGGAAGGCTGTTAATTTCCTAATTGGCTCCATCTTTTCCCTTGCCTCTGCATAAAAGGTAAAGGGACCCCTGACCATTAGGTCCAGTCGTGAGCAACTCTGGGGTTGCGGCGCTCATCTCGCTTTATTGGCCGAGGGAGCTTCCGGATCATGTGGCCAGCATGACTAAGCCACTTCTGGTGAACCAGAGTAGCGCATGGAAATGCCATTTACCTTCCCGCCAGAGCGATACCTATTTATCTACTTGCACTTTGACATGTTTTTGAACTGCTAGGTTGGCAGGAGCTGGGACCGAGCAACGGGAGCTCACCCCGTCACGGGGATTCCAAACCGCCGACCTTCTGATCGGCAAGTCCTAGGCTCTGTGGTTTAACCCACAGCGCCACCCTTGTCCCTCTCTGCATACTGGTACCTAAAACCTGGCAAGCTACCTCTTCACTCTTCCCCACTCCCACCATTCCATTACCACCCAATTATAAGAGTTTTCAAACTTCCTCAGTGAATCCCTCCCAAAAATGAAGGAGACGGGAGGGATGGGATTTGGTTTGCAAAAAATTGCTCTTTCCCAGGCAGTGCTCTGGCAGACGATCAAACGAGGTAGGGCTTGCTCACACCTCTGCAAGGACACTTGGCTCATTCTTCCAAATCCCTGTTCCTAAATCATTCACGAATTGTTTATGTGCTTCCTGTGTTTCCACTAGCTCTAGCCCACTCACTGCATTCCTCAGGTTTTGACCTTGTGTCTTGTTCTCACGACTTCCAACTGGGGCTGATGCTATATGCCTAAAACCGGATTTCCAAACTACAGAAGCCTCATTGTCGCTCGCATTGTAATGCACTTGTGTCAGTGAAACCTGGGCAGGAACAGCATCGTTCTTGATGGGGGTGGAATAAGAAGACAGCACGCGCTCTGGGAGGAAGGTGGGGGCGTGTGGATCCGGGTGGGGGAAGATGTCCATTGGGGCCCTGAGATTAAAAACAGATTCCTGGATGGAGCCCTGGCACAGTGTAGCCCTGATTTTGGAAGCAAAGAATGGAGAATTGTCCTGGGGTGGCGATGGCAAAGAATTGGAGTGGGTGGGTGAGGAAAAGTTGGGAGGAAAACTTAGGATAGAGTTTTGCGAACCCAGGCCTTGATTCTCTGCGCTTTGTGCTGACAAATAGGTATGGTCGTTTTTTAATTTCTAAAAAGAAGGATCTGCTGGGGAAGCCATGCTTGACAGTCATCATCATTATTTCTTACAATTGTATACTGTCCATCATGCTTGACATGTTGCAACTGGTCTCCTCGTTGTTACTGAAAACAGATCTCTGTCCCGTCCCCCCCCCCTCGTCCCCCCAGTAAACCACAGTATAAATGAAGACCTATGCAGGGCACCATTTTGTTTATGGTCCTGGCAGGTGGCTGTGGCTGCTGCTGCTGTTAGTGATGAACTCTGTGTGCATGAATTCCACTTTTCCTTTGAGAAAACAAAGGGAAATATCTCTTGGGGAAAAGAGGAACACCAGCAGCAACAAGGTTTGATGGCCATGGAGACAAAGGAAGTTGAAGGAAAATGTTTCGCATAGCCTTGGGCTAGGGAGGGCAAAGAAATTGCCTGGGGCGTGGATGTGGCAGTTGAATGTTTGCACAGGGATTGGAATTTCGCCAAAAAACATTTGCCTGTCATGCAATCTATCTGTCAAAGTTGCTATCAGCATTTCCTTCTTGTAATTCCCTTCTCCTTCCTCACCTCCCACCCCAATATTTAGACATATAGTATTGTACTTGGGAGAATAATGCAATTGGACAAAGCTCTCTTGTTTTGGTTTGAAAGGTTTCTGCGGTGATTTCAATACCAAATGGGTTTGCATTTATGTGGTGCCGTTCCAACTCAAAACTCTGAATGTTCCCTTACTGAATGCAAGCTGTCCAAACACTAGAGATCTGCTTTTTGCTTTGGTTTTATAAAGGTCTGGAAGTACTTTTTTGAAGGTTGATGTATTTCTTGTGTAGGTTGTGCTTGAGTGAAATATCTTCAGATTTTGGCTTTTACGTGGCATTGCTACTTGTTGTTTAAAAGCCAAATGAACTTTATAGGCCATAGGTGGAAGATCACACATCCCACAAACAAATTTCATTTGCTGTTTTCTGAACTCAAAGCAAATGCTCCAGTGTAAAAGTGTGAGCTGTTTACCGTTTGCCTTGGAAAAGCAGCGAAACAGTGCAGTTATCTAATTCTAAGTTTACATGCTTTCAAAGAGTACAATTTTCAAGGCAGAAGAACACAGGACTCCTGTGGACTTGATGCATCTGAATGCCTTTGGACACTTCAATTTTGGTTTCTCCTCTTTGCATGGTATTCGAAGGTCCATGTTACATCTGCCACTTGTTAAAAGAGCATTGAAGCTGTCCGTTTCCTTTAAAGCACTGGTGAATGCATTTGATGGAAATATTCGTCCATGGAAACTCTCTATACTTGGCATATGACTTGCAGTTACAAGCTAAGGAAGGAACATGCCTGTTCAATTGGGAAGCTTTTGAACATCTATATAGAGCCATTCTGCCACATCCAAATTTGATGGGGGAAGTGAAGTGATGCTCCTGGCAGTCTTGCTTTGGCCCAAATCGAGCTCTCACTTTTCCAGCCTGGCTTTGGCAGTCTCTAGTGGCTGGATCTCAAGAGTCTTCAGCTGTTTTTTAAAACTTTTTTTTGGGGGGGGGCTGTATTTTTAATCCTGGCAACTAACAACTGCTGAAGAGCTTCAGCAGGTTCCTCAAGCCCACTTTAGAACCAGAAGTCCTCCTATGTATCCTGTTAACGTGGGCAACATATGTTACCTGGAACTGTTTCATTCATACAGTGAAATCTCTTTTTAAAATCAGGTTGGGGAGGAGTTTATTCCTCGTGGTTACAGAGGGATGGGATGACAAAAATGCATGAAGATTTGAAACAGGGAAGCTGCCTCATCTTGTATTATTTTTGTGCTTCATCTTGTATCATTTCCCCTGGCTTGATTTTAACTTTAGGCAGCTGTAAATTGCAATTCCAAAAGGAGGAAAGGCTAAGCAGGCCAAGTTTAATATGTAGGCTAGCTTGAAATTTACTGGTTATGTAAAGAGCACATAACCCAAAACTACAACTGTGGCACCTTAATGCCCAACAAAGTGAGTGTTGATAATAGCAAAGGCAAATATTACATGAGAAGCTCTTAAATGCAGCTAGCATTTTTTAAACTTTCTTGAGCACTTTAGTATAATGTGCTTGTGGGGGTTAATACAATGATGGCTAACTCTCAGCCTGCGGGTATGACCAGCTCATCCTATCCTTCAGGTACCATCCAATTCCTGGCTCTTGTTCTTCACACAGTGAAAAGTGAGCCTGCCATAGGAGCTCTGGTGGTATCAAGAGCAGATGTACAAAACTGGCCGCATTCTGTTTCTGACTAGTCGCTGCCCCCTTCATAAATGCCCTAGAGAACTCTTAATAGGGCTGTCACTCTGTATGGGACACCTGTCAGAAATTAATTTTCATTTATTTAAAATAATTAGAGCCGGCCCTTTATCCTAAGATTTTAGGACACAGAATAATAAAAGTATATATTATGTATAATCCATTTGCAAAAGAAACAGATGGCACTGATGTAAAATTGAAACAATCATAAACTTCATAATAGCGAAAGGCTTCAGCTGAACAGTCGAAAGCTTGAGAAATCAGGTTTTTAGCTGGGTACCATAGTAGGTACCGTCCAGATTTCAGACATTAGAGAGTTCCCTAATTGGGGCGCCACTACAGAGAAGGTCCTGTTATATATATCACTGTAGAAAACCCTGGTGGGACACTGAAAAGAGCCTCACCATCAGATAGTAGCGTATGGGCAGGACTGTGTAGGGAGAGGCACTCCCGAGTGTTTAGGTCACATGACTTTCATGGCTTTGTAGGTCATTCACAATAACTAGAAACAAGCTGGCAGCCAGTACAAACCCCCGAGAACTGTTGAAATATGTTTCGACTGGATGATCTACTCCAGTAATTGAGCGGTCACATTTTGGACTATCTCAAGTTCCCATTCAGTTCTCAAGAGCAGCCCTAAATAGAATGCATTACTGTAACCCAAGCTTCATGCCCTGGATTTTTTGACCAGGCTCTGCAGAATTGCACCGTGACCCAGAAGCATGTCCTTAGTCTGTCTGCAGAAAGGCTATAGCTCAGTGCTAGAGATCTGCTTTGCATGTAGAAGGTTTCAAGATCATTCCCCAATACATTCAGGTACGGCAAGGAGATTACTTTGCTTGAAACTATAGTGAGCCACTTCCAGTCAGTGTAGACTTTACTGAGCTGGATGGACTAATGGCCTGACTCTGCGTAAGGTGGTTTCCCGTGTTCCGTGCCCTTCTTTCTTGCTGACAACACCCATGATTCTAAGTTGTACATCGATACAGATCTTCTATGAAGAGCTCACCCCTTCTAATAAGCTGGACATTATTGGATTAATGGGACCGTTTCCATCATTTGGGAAAGTCATCATTTAAAGATCTTCAAAGATATTTTTTGAACAAAAAACTGGAGAGCTAGTTCTATTAACTTTCCAGAAAGAACAGAATGTTGTAGCCTAAATAAGTTCATAGCTTTGAAAGGAAGAACGAAGCTGGAGGAGTGCAGTAAGGTTTCAGAACATTTCTGAATGATCAGCAGCTGTGCACTCCCATCACAGTATGTTGCTATAAAAGGGAAATAAAGAACATGCTAATTGAACCTTCACGAACCAAGCCACCCCAAATGCCTAATCTCTACAGGGAAGGTAGAAAATGTAGTGATATATAATTCCTCACAAGATCAAGAGAAATGAAAAATCTTCAAATCGGTGACTAACGAAGCACCACACTTTTTTTGCTCTGCCCTAGATGCTCTACCGTAGGTGATCACATACATCAGGGGGTCACTAAAGGTTCTGTGCTGGTGAGCACATCTGGAATCTTGAGAGGAGCACACTGTCAGCACTGGCACAAAATGGCTGCCGTGGGATGCGTGGCCCGGCACAAAATGGCTGCTACAAGAGTGGCGGGGTGGGGGAGGAGAGAGAAGGCCTGCGAAATGGTGCAAGCACTGTAACCCCCCCTCATATCAGTGGGAGGAAAGGCACATCTCAGCCACCACCAGGATTGCTCACAGAGAGATCTTTGCACCTCTCTCACGTGCAGAGCAGAAAAAAGGATTGGTGTCCAGTCCTGGCAGCCAAGTAAATGTGGGTATGTCATAGGATGTGTGTTCAATGCAAGAGAGGCCAAGCCATTGCAAATTGGAACTGAACAGAGCAACAGACTCTGGGGCATTGTGAGTGTTTGATGGTACTGTATGCTTACTGATACCTCTCATGGGCGTCATAGGTGGTACTTCAAGGCCTACTGGGACCGGTGGGTGCCATATTAGCAACCCCTGAATACGTAAAACTGTTTATGAAGGGGGAAAGAATGACTGAAAAACTGTTTCTCTTGACCATGCAATCCAGAAGCGCACCGTATGCTTGTGTTAGTTTATGCCAGGCATAGGCAAACTCGGCCCTCCAGATGTTTTTGGGACTACAATTCCCATCATCCCTATCTAACAGGACCAGTGATCAGGGGTGATGGGATTTGTAGTCCCTAAACATCTGGAGGGCTGAGTTTGACTATGCCTGGTTTATGCTGTTCACAACAAAAGCCTTGTGACACCTTAGACGTACCACATGCATTGCAACACATGTTTTTGTGGACTCGAATCTACTTCTCATCAGTTCCTTCTGAAAAAAATAGCTTTCTACTCCTCAGAGGTATCTGTTAAATCTTCAAGGTGTCATAAAACAGCTTGTTGTGTTTGCTGTGGCAAACGCAAGTGCCCTCTGCAAGTTGTTGTGATGACAGCTTAGTCCTGTGCAAGTTTACTCAGAAGTAAGCCCCATTGATCTCAGGTAAGCACACATACAAAACTGGAGCCTGAACTTACCATCTGTCACTCTGTTCTGAGGTTTCCAGATTTATTTACAAGAACAAACGAGATTCAATGCCTTTTATTCTATTGGTTTTCTGCTGGAAATCAATTATGAAGTTCAGCCTTAATTTATTTTTTGAATCTTGATTCTCTTAAATGATGAACCCTTGCAGCTTTTAACAATGTGACCAGATTTGCACTTTTTAAATTTTGTTTTTGTAGTCAGTGACAAGGATTTATCAAGCACCTGCTTTTTCTCCTCCTCCTCTTCACAACTTGTTAAACTGTGGATTGGTAGAGTCATGAATAACTTAAGTACATTGATTTCAATGCCTCAAATGCCACCCGTAGTAATCATTAAAACATGAACAAAGAAAAATCGTTCATGCTTATGTAGAGAGGGAAAGAGGATTTGGGATCAATGGGATTCTCATTTTTACAGAATGCAAACATGTACTCAGAGCACTCAGCTCGCTATAGACTGCTTGCATCTGCCATGTGGAGGTGATACTGATCTACTGTTGAGGGTTATTGCAAGGCTTATAACAAGATAATTTATGCGAAATGCTTTGAATACTCTTAAGTGTTGTTGATAGCAATGATTACCCACAGTGTTGGTATAAGATGAATGTTATTTATGAACACAGACAAACCTGCAGACCTAATAGGAGGTTTGAACATAACATTATGAACACAACAGGGGAACAACAATATCTTGCTAGACGTTATCGTGGTTTGTTTCTGCCACAAATGTGCCGTGTAAACAAGATGCTCCCCCCCCCCACCTTCCATCCAAATAACAGTGGTAGTTCTCTGTAGCATGAGCTTTTGTGCAGATGTTTTGTGGGTTAAATTCCCCCTGGTTGTCCCTGATGGGCTATTCCGGTTAGAATAAATCAATGGAGAGAAATCTGAGTTTTGTCGCTTGGGAATGTGTGGGTTGCAGTTACAGTTCATATTGCAAACCCTTAATGGTAACCAAAGGGGTTGGGGGTGGGGCAGGACTGGACTGGACTGGATCTGGCAAGCCAGATCAGGATCTGACCCATCTTCTGCAGATCACGTCTGGCAAATGTTTAGGGCTTCCTACAGTAATCTAATATCAGATTCTTTTCTTACTTTGCCACCCTGTGACTGTGAAGGCAGGGATTGCTCTTGGTGCACCAATTGGAAGTCCTTTCTGCAGGAATTGGCTCCCCTTGGGCGTTCCAGTCCCCATCAGGACTGGGGCTGAATCAGTGAGTACAGTGGTACCTTGGGTTGCATACGCTTCAGGTTACATATGCTTCAGGTTACAGACTCCGCTAACCCAGAAATAGTGTTTCAGGTTAAGAACTTTGCTTCGGGTTGAGAACAGAAATCATGCTCCGGCGGTGCGGCGGCAGCAGGAGACCCCATTAGCTAAATTGGTGCTTCAAGTTAAGAACAGTTTCAAGTTAAGTACGGACCTCCGGAACGAATTAAGTACTTAACCCGAGGTACCACTGTACTGCCGGCCTCGCTTTCAGCAGGATTGGCCCCACTTGAGAGTGCCTGAGTTGAACCCGAGTTGTGCCTGGTGCCAAATGAAGAGACAGGGTGCGAGTCCTGCTTCCAGATGAGCACTTCAAGGACCTTGGTTATCCATTTTGATCTGCAGCTTTACCTGTGCCATGCCTGGCATCCTCACAGGCCAAAATAGGGCCCCTGGCAGGCCTTACTGTATTTTTTGCTCTATAAGACTCACTTTTTCCCTCCTAAAAAGTAAGGGGAAATGTGCGTGAGTCTTATGGAGCGAATGCAGGCTGCGCAGCTATCCCAGAAGCCAGAACAGTAAGAGGGATCGCTGTGCAGCGATCCCTCTTGCTGTTCTGGCTTCTGAGATTGAGGATATTTTTCTTTTCTTGTTTTCCTCCTCCAAAAACTGGGTGCGTCTTATGGTCTGGTGCGTCTTATAGAGCGAAAAATACGGTATTTATTCTGTGACCTGGAGGTTCCCCATCTCCTGATTGGCATGTTGAGGCCACACTTAGTAGAGTGTGTGCCAGTGTATCCTTACGAAACTCTCTGCTCCAGCCTTGTGGATTATTTCCTAGCCCATCCAGATGTTGCAAAGTCACTTAAGTAGCGTGCCTGATATTGGTAAATTTATAGCATGTCGTTATTTTTTTCATACATGGTTTTTGACAGCAAGTGTATGAATTAGTCATGAGCAGAGACCACAGCCGCTGAGGCATAAAGGTTTATGGTGAAAATATGCAAAAGGAAGTATAATTCTTCTCCGAGGCTGGAGAAGAAAAGGGGCACCCTGAACATGCACGATGGGAAGCAAGTTCTGCTGAACTGAAGGGAGCTTGCTTCCAAGGGCATGCTGTTTGAGAGAAGGTCGTACTCCATTGAATAATAAGTGCATTAATCTCCTGCAGCATGGAAGCTCTTTTCTCCTTGTTCCTGTTAAGGGTTTTCTGCCAGCTGATTAGGACTTTCTTGGTGCTGCTCTTGTTCTGGAATGGCTTCTGAGCTCGGCTTTGGTTGGGGAGGGCGGGATATAAATAAATTATTATTATTATTCTGAATGAAGACTGCTTGGGTGGCTACTCCATTACTTGGCGCCTTACTTGTGCACCTTACAGTGCTTTTACTTACTTGGGTAAAATTAAAATCAGCCCAATAGGTGATATGAGGGTTGTACCTCTCCAGCTAGCTGCCTAATTTATTTTGCTTTTGCAATTATTATGCGCTGCCTGGAGTGTTTTCGTTACAGAAATGTGATTTAGTGAACTTTAGTTTTCATTTGATCTATATATATTTCATCTGTCCAGCGATAAGTATGAAAAGCGTCAGCTGTTCTTGGTGCGAAACAGGCAGCATTCCTCGTACTCGGATACTCTTCGTTGCAGAAGCTTATACTGGCGGATGGAAGAATATGATCTGTGAAAGAGACAATTGTCCTGCTCTCATCTTAACAGTTTCACAGACTCCTTTGTTAATAGACAGTTGCAGTCCAGCTGCCTTCGCTTCTATAGACATACATTAATCTCCGTTTGACGTGCCCCGCATTTCATGATCTGCTCGGTGTAGTTGTCTGAAAACTTTAGCAGCGTTTTAAACGATTCCAACTCAAAGGTACAAGCTAAATGAAGTTTAGAATTACCTACAGTGAGTGGCAGATTTCAGAGAGGAGTTTTCCCCAGCCCTACCTAGCAATGCCAAGGGTTAAAGCTTTGTTCTTCTGCAGACAAAGCATGAGCTCTACCTCTGAGCTCTGACCTTAATGGTGATTGTGGAAAACAAAAACTAAAGTACTACTGTTATATTCTGCCTCTATGCACGCCAAGAAGGTTGTTTAAGGTCATATGCCACACAGGCTACCCATGCTGGCTTTGATTAGGATGCTAATACAGTGGTACCTCGGGTTACATACGCTTCAGGTTACAGACTCCACTAGCCCAGAAATAGTGCTTCAGGTTAAGAACTTTGCTTCAGGATGAGAACAGAAATTGTGCTCCAGCAGCGTGGCGGCAGCAGGAGGCCCCATTAGCTAAAGTGGTGCTTCAAGTTAAGAACAGTTTCAGGTTAAGAACGGACCTCCAGAACAAATTAAGTTCTTAACCCGAGGTACCACTGTATTAGATGCTTGCCAGAAAATTGTGTGTGTGTGTGCAAATGTTCTGATTTCCTTTTTTAATAAGTAAAGGGGGGATTAACATGATGGCAACCACTTGAAATTAACCAGTCACAGCATCAAATACATGGTGTTTCTCTCTGCCCCCCCCCCCCCCCAATTGCTCCCTGCCAGTCCTGATAATGGTTTGACTGTTTTGGCTCTTCCTCTTATGAAGCTGTTTCCATCCGTACAGTGACTTTGTAACTTTTAACAATTGGTTCATGAGTTTCCTTGTTTGCCTCATCCCTCTTCCTCCTTTTTTCATTTTGTGCTGTGTCTCTTGGATTGTAAACCTTAGGGCAAGTCTGTAAGCCACTCTGGAAGGCTTCTCAGCTTTGGAGTGGAGTTATAAATACAATTATGTGGCCGAATTATACCTAACCACACAAGACCTATATTAATAGTCATGTAATAGAACCCAACGGGACGCGGGTGGCGTTGTGGGTTAAACCACAGAGCCTAGGACTTGCCGATCAGAAGGTTGGCGGTTCAAATCCCCGCGACGGGGTGAGCTCCCATTGCTCGGTCCCTTCTCCTGCCAACCTAGCAGTTCAAAAGCACATCAAAGTGCAAGTAGATAAATAGGTACCGCTCTGGTGGGAAGGTAAACGGCGTTTCCATGCACTGCTCTGGTTCACCAGAAGCGGTTTAGTCATGCTGGCCACATGACCCGGAAGCTGTCTGTGGACAAACGCCGGCTCCCTCTGCCTATAGAGCGAGATGAGCGCACAACCCCAGAGTCTGTCACGACTGGACCTAATGGTCAGGGGTCCCTTTACCTTTACTTAATAGAACCCAAAAGTTTGATGGAAACATGCCCCTGTTTTTTCCTTCGGTGCATTACCAAATTGTTGCCTTCATTGGGATGCAAAGTGTACAGTGTGTGTCACAAGAGAATGATTATTTGTAGGTATGCAAGTCTAAAACGGCTACAGATCTCTGGATCCAGAAATTTTAATAGCTTTTATGGCACAAATTGCATAAATAAAATGTTGAAGCAATTCCTTGTTATCCCTCTCTTTTATTACCCCTCCCACTCCCCTGTCAAATGCTGTGTTCTTTCTTGGACAGCAGTTTTATACATTTTTAAAATCAAGCTTTTCTTATTAGGACGTAGCCAACTTTCGGAATCCTTGGATACTTCTTTCCTCTCGGCTTTTCAGTTTATCTGCATATATAATCGTGTGCATTGAACGGAATGCAAGAATCTGCATCAGTTTTTGGGAACTTGACTCTCATTCCCTTCTAGATTCTATAGTACCGTTATCTGCACTTAGTGAGCAATCCTATGCGCAAGAAGCTGTCATAAGAGTTGGTAGGGGATCCCAAGGGTCATCTAGTCCAACCCCCGGCATAGAGCAAGCCGGTGTAAGTTAAGCTGGTGTAAATTTACACCACATCCACCCCCTGTTCAGCAGTGGGGTTGCTGCTCTGCCTAAGCCCTGGCAGTGGGAAAGCAAGCCTTAAAAATGGTGTCCAGTGCTGCGTTCCCAGCTCACATGACTGAGCTGGATGGGTTTAGGATTCAGCCTAAATCTCACCCTTAGTCCTGCCCCCGGAATACCGCTTTTGGAGAACTTGTCCCACTCTTGGCACCGCGAGTGTCAGCTGAGCCAGTACAGAGAATTTGTGCCGGCTTAACTTTGGCTGAGCAAAGGAAGGACCCCCCCCAAAGAAACCCAACCAGCGTACAAATCAATACAGTGGTACCTTGGGTCACTTACACTTCAGGTTACATATGCTTCAGGTTACAGACTCCGCTAACCCAGAAATAGTACCTCGGGTTAAGAACTTTGCTTCAGGATGAGAACACAAATCGTGCGGCGACAGTGGGAGGCCCCATTAGCAAAAGTGGTGCTTCAGGTTAAGAACAGTTTCAGGTTAAGAATGGACCTCCAGAACAAATTAAGTTCTTAATCCGAGGTACCACTGTACGTTGTCAGCAATATGCTGGTGACGGACAGCCCTGCTTCTCCTTGACATCTACAGGTGAGGCAATGGATGTGCTGGTCTTGCCTCGGTAGTGGACTGGATGAGAACCGACAAGCTGAAGCTCAATCCAGATAAGACTGAGGCGTTATTAGTGAACAGTTCCTAGACTGGATGGAAGAGAGATGGCCTGCAAAAGTGGTGCTTCAGGTTAAGAACAGTTTCAGGTTAAGAACGGACCTCCAGAATGAATTAAGTATTTAACCCGAGGTACCACTGTATGTTTATCTGACTCAACAGCATACACACCCTGCACACAGAGAAACCACAGTGCAACCAACCAAACACAACCAACCAAGCTCTGGGGCCCCCAGTCTCTCTCAATGCCGGCACACACATATATATTTTAGGACCTACCTGCCTGACACTGACACAAAAGCCCAGCACAAACACTGTGCAATGGAACAAAGGATTGTTTTCTCCCCTCCCCCAATCTCTCTTCTCCCCCACCACATATGACCACAGTGTTTCATGCCGAATGTAAACGAACTCTATGGATTGAAAGTGGACACACTATATGTACTTTTCTTTGGTTTTGTTGTTGTTTCACAAGAAAATGCTTAATAAAAACTAATAAAAACAAAAAAACCAAAACCTTGGCTGAGCTGGGGTAGGGCACTTAATCAGCCATCTGAACCAGAGATCTGCAGAGATCCTAAGCTGCTCATCCCAGCGGATATCGCCATAGGATTAGTCTTTAAGTCTATTAGTCCTGAAGGAGTCATAATACTATCTGTGGTTATGTTTTCTGCAGCAGAATAACACTGCTGCCTCCTCGGAATTTGTTAGTGGAGAAGGGGAAACTCTAGAGCAGGGTTTCCCAAACTTGGGTCTTCACCTGTTGTTGTTGTTTTTTTAGACTACAACTCCCATCATCCCTAGCTAGCTGGACGAGTGGTCAGGGATGATGGGAATTGCAGTCCAAAAACAGCTGGAGACCCAAGTGTGGATGTGACATAGCTCTAGAGCAGGGTTTCCCAAACTTGGGCCTCCAGCTGTTTTTGGACTACAATTCCCATCATCCCTGACCATTTAGCTAGGGATGATGGGAGTTGTAGTCTTAAAAAAAAACCCCCGGTGAAGACCCAAGTTTGGGAAACTCTGCTTTAGAGCTATGTCACATCCGCACCATACATTTAGGCTTTGTCACTTCTCCCAAAGTATCCTAGGAATCATAGTTTGCTCCTCCAAGAGCTATAATTCCCAGCAACCTTTAAAATTACTGTTCCCAGTATTCTTTAGTGGAAACCATATGCTTTAAATATATTGTGTGTAGGCGACTTGATTCTGGAAGGAGAAACCCTTAAACCAGGGGAGGGGGACCCTCCTCACCCAGAGGGCCACATTTTCTCATGGGCAGCTTTCCAGGGGCCACATGCTGTCGGCCGGGATGGGGTTGGAGGCCAGATGCCAAAGCGAGCAGAGCAATAATAATAATAATAATTTATTATTTATACCCCGCCCATCTGGCTGGGCTTCCCCAGCCACTCTGGGCAGCTTCCAATTTTTTAAAAAAAATACTGTAATACATCAAACATTAAAAGCTTCCCTAAACAGGGCTGCATTCAGATGTCTTCTAAAAGTCTGGTAGTTGTTGTTCTCTTTGACATCTGGTGGGAGAGCGTTCCACAGGGAGGGCGCTACTACCAAGAAGGCCCTCTGCCTGGTTCCCTGTAACTTGGCTTCTCGCAGTGAGGGAACCACCAGAAGGCCCTCAGTGCTGGACCTCAGTGTCCGGGTAGAACGATGGGGGTGGAGACGCTCCTTCAGATATACTGGACCAAGGCCGTTTAGGGCTTTAAAGATCAGCACCAACACTTTGAATTGTTCTCGGAAACGTACTGGGAGCCAATGTAGGTCTTTCAATGTAGGTGTTATGTGGTCTCGGCGGCCGCTCCCCGCAAACAGATGTGATGTTCACCTTCGTACCATAGGCTATATTTCAGCCAGACTGGTTTCCTCTCCCCTTTCCCTGGCTCTTCAGTCTCAAAAGCTGAACTTGTGCAGACTTGCCTGAGGCTATCTGAATTCAGGCAGACTTGCCTGAGGATATATTTCTTGAGACTTGAGGAGCCAAATGGAGCCAGGGGTTCTCAGATACACACTAGAGCTGGGCTGCAACCCTATAGACATAAATTTGAACAGGCAGTTTCAGCTCTGGTTCTGGACTTCATTAGTCTATCTGGAGCTGAACTGAATAGTTGAATTAGTTATTTAATCTTGATGCTATAACGAGCTGATAGTTTGTTTTTTTCTGGCACGGGTTTCTGCTTGATGTTGCAAATAGCAACACATGCAGTTTTCATTTGCAAAAAAATATTTTGGTCCTTTTTGTGTGAGTGACTTGGGAATTTTAGTTACACTGACTTAGAGATATCCTGTGTTCTCCTCTCCACCTCCATCACATACTTTCTGAGCTGTGTTCTGGGGAAGGGCTGGGGTGTGGAGTTAAGGCAGATAAAAATCAACGGGGTGTGTTAGCATTTTTTTAATTTATTTAAGAAAAAGCCCTCTCTGTTTTTAAAAGGAAAGGGTTTTAATGGGAATTAATTGAATACAGACAAGTTAAACTTGTGCACAAAATTGATTCTAACAAGCACATCGTTCAGTGACAGTTCCCCCTCCCTCATAATTGGAGAATGGTGCAAATAATCTGATTTTGTAAACTCAAGAATGTTATAAGGCAGAGACGAGCAATTTGTGGTTTTCCATATGTTGTTGGACTTCAACTCCCATCAACCCTGACCATTGACCATGCTGGCTGGGACTGACGGCAGTGTTAGAAGCTCAGATATATAAGCTAGGCACAAAATGGCTCCTTAAACCAGGGTTACAGTCGCCAGAACAGAATGCATAGTCATTTTGGGGACCAGGCAGCTTGAAAGCCATACTTTCCCCCTACGACTTTATGGTTCCTGAAATCCATTCTGGTTGTGCAGATAAAATATAACAGATAGAATTCTACAGGATTTGTTGCCGGGGTGTGAAAACAGTCAACCACTACTATGCTATAAGATCCACTATCCTGTAATATTACATATGCCTGTTCTACTGATGAAGCCTAGGATGGCGAAACAAGGCTAATATTCCAGAAATCCTTGTCTTAAGACTCTTTGAAAGGATTCTGTGGAACTGTAGCAACCCTTCATGTGGCTTATTGGACTCTTATGAATAGACAGGTGGAATAGACACTTATACGTGTATGGACCTTATGCATGAACTGACTAGAGAATGAACTGATCCACTGGGTCTTCTGCTTTTTTCGTTGAACTTTATGAGACTTCCGTTGAAATCTACAACTTGATACAATGAATAGTATACCTTATTTATTCAAAAGTACAGCCAGTTACATCTAATAATAATAATAATAATTTATTATTTATACCCCGCCCATCTGGCTGGGTTTCCCCAGCCACTCTGGGCGGCTTCCAACAAAACACTAAAATACAATAACCTGGTAAACATTAAAAGCTTCCCTAAACAGTGCTGCCTTCAGATGTCTTCTAAAAGTTTGGTAGTTATTTTTCTCTTGTGTGCTGATTATGTTTCATGTAACCATAGGTTTGCTGTTGTTGTTTTGGGGTGTGAAAACAACCAAGGTCCAAGGATTCCCTGGGCATGTACCTCCAGATGGTGCTATTCTGGCACTCAGACATCTTCACTGGGTCACAAGTGGCCGATAGCCAGGTACAAAAATGCTCCTGGTGCCTGGCTAATTCCAAACACTGGCTACAATGCTGTTTCTCTGCTTGGGCAAAGGTTAAGCCCATAGTTGGAGGAGTGAGGCTTCTCAATCCCAGTTGCTGCGACCCAATGGGAGCGGAGAGTGCTTTTGAGCTGGGCTTTCCTGCAGACATCTGGTTGGCCTCTCTGAGAACAGGATGCTGGACTCGATGGAACAGAGGTCTGATCCAGCAGATCAGCAGAAGCAGCTGCATGAATGTGCGGGAGAGTTTGTTAATCTCTCACTGGTTAAGCCAAGAGTTGATTGTCCAAACATGGACTTAGTGTTGCCAGTTTCCCCCCTCTGCCTCTCTTCCTGTCTGCTCACATCCGACTTGTAAGCACTTAGAAAGACTGGTGGGGTTGAGCGTCAGATGTTGTTTCTTCACTTTTCTTTCATCACCGCTGGGTATTTTGGAATGTTCTAACGAAGCGTTTGTTCTTGTTCTTTCAAGACCACCGCCGTCCTTACCCTTCCCCATTCAGCTGAAGTTGAGAAATCCCTTGAAATGTAAGGTTGTCGTAACAAAAGATGTAAGCCGAACCGTTTCGTGTTTTCAAAAAGGTACATGTAAAGCTGAATGAGCCAGAATATACCGTATTTTTCTCTCTATAAGACACACCAGACCACAAGACGCACCTAGTTTTTGGAGGAGGAAAACAAGGAAAGAAATATTCTGAATCTCAGAAGCCAGAACAGCAAGAGGGATCGCTGCGCAGTGAAAGCAGCAATCCCTCTTGTGTTCTGACTTCTGTGATAGCTGCGCAGCCTGCATTCGCTCCATAAGACGCACACACATTTCCCCTTACTTTTTAGGAGGGAAAAAGTGAGTCTTATAGAGCCCAAAATACAGTATGTGTTGCTGTTTAAATAAAGCCCTGGCCCTTTACCAACAAATGCACATTGAGGAGTTTTTGTAATGGCGGCCCGTGAACGGAAATAATAGCTGTTGTCGGGGTAGTTTGGGTCTGGGAGCAATTCTCACATTTAGATGCCGTTTCTGTAATTTGAATTGTACGTATTACCATGGTAGACAACAAACACCTAACAGTGGATTGTGTTTTGATTATTTTGTGGCATTCGTTCATAGCTAATCGCAGTGGTATGTGGATGATGATTCATTGGGCGAAATTTGGTTAAAGTGTAGCAGTGAACATGTTTAGAGATCTGTAACCAACTTGAGCAAGCTAATATTCTCTCTTCCATTCACCTATCAACTTTTCTTAACTCTTAACTTAGAGGCAACTGTGATGAGCTTTCCTAAGAGAACAGAACTAAACTTCAGTTAGCAACCACCAGCCCACACAGATTTGACATAGGGATCTCCCCCTCCCAAAAATATCCCACACCTTTCTGTTACATAGGAAACTTGCATTTCATTAATCTAGTAACCCCTATAGAGGAAGCCTAGATATATGCCTTCCACACTAAACTGGGTTATCCTTTGTTATTGAGGGCCAGAACAAATAGGACAATAATTACATAATTAGTAACTGCAGCGGCAGGTGGGCCGTGATAAAGCCCCTTCCCACTACTGCTGTGTGTGTTTAAATAAACACACCATGGCCAGTCATAGAATCATAGAATTGTAGAGTTGGAAAGGGAACGCAAGGGTCATTTAGTCCAACCCCCTGCCCGAGGTACCACTGTACAGTCATACCTCGGGTTACAGACGCTTCAGGTTGCGTTTTTTCGGGTTGCGGACCGCCAAAACCCAGAAGTACCGAAACGGGTTACTTCCAGGTTTCGGCGGTCGCGCATGCGCAGAAGCGCCGAATCGCAACCCGTGCATGCGCAGACACGCCGCCGCGGGTTGCGGATGCTGCGGGTTGCAAATGTGCATCCCGCATGGATCACGTTCACAACCCGAGCGTCCACTGTAACACCGTACCATAAAAGCAATAAAACATATTTAAAACAGCAAGCTCTACACCACTAGAGCAAGCTATGAAACTCCTATATGACTAAAACTAGTAGTATCTTATTCAGAGATACAGTACTGGGTATTACAGAAGACACTTGAATTGCATATTCACACAAATGTTTGGAATGGTTCCTTTGCCTGGGCTTGTTTATTGTGTGCATTAACTTGCATTTACAAGGGTTGGTCAGAATATTTGAAATCTGATTGATTGATTGATTGATTGATTTTTTGTTTGCATCCCAAAAGTTGGGCAATGAAGAACAATATATTACCATTTCAAACGAACAGGATGCTTGTAACGCCGTATTATTTTATTAAAACTCGGCAGTCGTATACACCTTATCTCCAGCTTCCTGAAGCTGCCTAAAATAAGATTTGCAAAGCTTCCAGGCAATGCTCATGTGGCTTTGGAAAGTTCCCAGCACTGGGCCATTTCACAATAAGAAGGGCAGGGGTGCTGACAGCCCGTCTGTGTGCCCTTACCGTCATAAGCTGGCAAAGATGGCAGACTTGAGGAGGAGCAGTGACTTCTCCGCTTTCAACATGGTGTGATGACTAGGAAAGGAGCAAAGGCTTCTACATTAACCTCTTTCCAAGTGCTGACATGATTTAATGCTTCTACCTAGTTTGCATACTGAGGCTTGTGTGTTTCAGCACTTAGGCCTGCTGAATGTGGTCCCTGAATGGCTGCTCGCATTAATTCGCATGCATGCGTCAAATTACTTCTCTGGGACTTGAAGCAGCAAGGGGCTTTCTAGGAATATACCACATTGCACGGGTAGGGTTGTAGGGGTAAGGTCACAGTTGCTTGTTTACTTTCCCTGCCATGTTAGCAAGTAGTGCTGTGTAGTCAAGCAAATGCGAAGCAGTGTGATAAAATAATTGCAAGAATCAAAACTCTCAGTATCCATTGTTCATTGTAAGAGTTTATCTCTCTCTCCTAAGAACTTCACACAAAACTTTATCTGATCGGCAGTCTTGCTAATCATGTGCTTGTGTGGATGTTTGTTGGTGTGCGAAGGAAGAGTTAGCTCCTTCTCCTGCTTGCCAAATAATTTTTTCATTCTGACTACTTACTGGGGTTAAAGGTTATTGTGTGATTTCACGCCCCCCTCCCCTCCCCGGCTGCAATTTCACCACTTTAGATAGTAATTTTACCTGGATATGTGCCGTTATTGCTGCTATTTCACTATCTTAATTCATTTATATTTTTGTTGCTGCTGAGTTTGTTCGGGTTTTTTGCTAGATTGGTTAAATGAATTGTGACTTTGTGTCACAATTAGTCTCAGTAATTTTAGTACAATGGATTATTTTGAATTAAGCGCTGTGTTGATACTTGCCTTTGCTTTTGATTTATCCGTTTCTGTAATGAACTGAATCATTAAGTTGCAACATCTATTATCTGTTGCAACCCCACTTCGAGTGCAGTAATTGCAGAAAAGGTGTACATGAAATAAGCTTGACTTCACTACCTTCCAGTGCTTTGTGATTGATGTCCTCTCCCTTTGCCACGTTGAGGCAAAAAGTTTGTGACAACATAGTCAGCCAGCATAAATGTGAAACCTTTGACAGCTGCAGTAATATGAGTGGCTGGTACTGCCTGCATTAACAGTTAGCACTAAACCATGGTTTGTCCAACAAACCATTAGTTATCCCAAAGACAAGCCATTGCTTGTTTCGGCAAAGCTTCATTTGCTTTCCAGCTGTTCTTGCCTCATGTAGCACCTAGAGTTTCCATGCCAAGCAAGGCTTTCTGTTTGGACAGAACACCAAGTCACTGTTCATAAGCTAACAGCAAAAGGTGGATTCAAGTTGTGGTCTGTTGGCAGAAAGCAAACCATGGTTAATCTGTAGGACTGGGTTTGCTCATCAAGACTTAGTGCTGTATGCAAAATGGGCATATATATATATATATATATCTATATATATATATATATACTTTTAAAGATAGCTTCATATTGGGAAATTTTTAGAGGGGCAGAGGTTCTCAAGTAGAAGGTGCAACAAAGTTGTAGCAGAACATTCCAAATAATGGTAATAATGGTTTTCCTCGTTCTGTATATTCTTTCACAGATCTAGGTTAATTAGCAAGCAACATTGTTTCTTCTTTTCCTCTGCAGAGCTTTTTATTTTAAAGGGATTTAAATTCCACGATGAGTTAGAAACAAAGGTCTCTTTTCAGTTGTAAAGAGCTCTGCAACATGCAGCCGATGGATAACATTGCCTGAGTGTTGCAATCCTTGCATTGTGTGGTTTGATGGAAATAACTGCTGCATTGGTGCAGAGCAGGGGTCAGCAAACTTTTTCAGCAGGGGCCCAGTCCACTGTCCCTCAGACCTGGTGGGGGGGCCGGACTATATTTTTGGGGGGAGGGGGGAGAACGAATTCCTATGCCTCACAAATAACCCAGAGATGCATTTTAAATAAAAGGACACATTCTACTCATGTAAAACCACACTGATTCCCGGACCATCCGCGAGCCGGATTTAGAAGGCGATTGGGCCGGATCCAGCTCCTGGGCCTTAGTTTGCCTAAGAGGGTCCTGGCACTCACCTCTTTACTTTGGTGTTGCAGTTGCTTCTCTTGGCCACCTTGCAAGTTTCGAGCACCTACTTGTGACCGCTCTTTGCTTTGAGTCGATGGTGATACTGCATACTGCTTCCCTCTTTTTCACCCCCCCTCGCCCCACCAGAAGGTGGGTGGCTGTGTTAATAATGCACGAGCATTCATGGACAGCTCTGTATGAATGAAAGACAATCTTTACAGCTATATAGGTGTAGGATTTATACTGCTCATCTTCCACATACCGTATTTTTCGCTTCATAAGAGGCACGTTTTCCCTCCTAAAAAGTAAGGGGAAATGTCTGTGCGTCTTACGAAGCGAATGTGTGGTCCCTGGAACCGAATTGCCTGGGGCGAAAAACAGATTGTGCTTCTTTTTTTAGAAAGAGGGAAGGGGGTGTTGAAACAAAGCTGCTGATCAGCTGATCAGCAAGCGATCGGGAGGGAGATAAGGGACACTAGCGATAAAGGAGGCTGCCTGGGTGGGGGGAAGTAAAAGCACATGGATCCTCTGGATTTTTACATTGGGTCACCAAATTCACCATCAGATCACATAGCATGTCCACGGCTATAGCCTGCACAAAAAATCACGCATCCACTGTTTCGTGGGGCAGCAATGGTGCAAAAACATGGGTACAAAGCACGGATCCACATGGATCCTCAGGATTTTTGCATTGGGCTACCCCAAACTCACTGTCAAATCACATGTGTGTGGCCACAGCATGTACCACAAAAATCATACATCCACTATTCCATCTAAAAACTACGTGCGTCTTATGGTCAGGTGCATCATACAGAGCAAAAAATACAGCAATCATTTCAGTGGCCTAATGCTGAAGAACAGAGGAGATGGAAGTGAGCACCGCAGGGCGCTGTGGTAAGAGCAGTTTCCATACAGAGCAACCCATTTTAGCACCAATATACTTTGTACAATACCTAATCATTTGATGAGGATTTGGTATAGCGACTCTAGCAAGACAAAGTCATGCCTGTTCCCCTTAGGTTCATGTAGACCAGGGATGAATCTTCACCCTCGTGCAGCTTTAATCAGGCTTCTTATTCATGAAAGAAACGGGAAGCTATTCAGTTGAGATTTTCTGGAAAGGTGGGGGATAGTGATCTGTCACCTCCTCCCCCCCCCCCATTCACAAGCTGCACTTTGCTGCCATGTCTGTTTTTCCCCCTGAACGATTCAAGCATATGAGATTATTGTGACTCATGCTTAAAGCACATTAAGTATTTAACACTGGAAATCTTGTGTTGGTGAGGTTCTTCCTCTCAAGGTTTTCTTCTTCTTCTTTCTACTTGGGGTTTATTCAAAATGCCACCTATTTCTTGGAATGACGGGGCTGTTTCCAGTGGGAGTAAGTGGTGAACCTGCGTCTGGGCTGCTTCAGGCTTCTAGTGGGGGCTTGTAGCGTTTCAGTGCTCCTCCGTACGGAAATCAAAATCAAAATGAAAAATCCATCTGCGGGGGGGCGGAACTAGGCTAGGTTTCCTCTGGCATCCAGTTTTCTCACACATATATATATATATATATATATGTCCCTCTCCCATTGAACCAATGGAGGTGGAAACGGGAAAATATTATAATCTTAAAATATCTAACTGTGAAGATACATAAAATGAAAGGGTATAAGGTCAATGAGAAGGAGGAGGATTGGTTTGAGAAGCTATTTGGGCAGGTTTGAACAATTTGGGGCAATTAAAATGTTAAAAGTTAAATAAACCTTGTGGAGGGAGGAGTGTTAAGGTATATAGAATTGTACATATGGTTGATTTAAATATGTTATTATTGATTATGTATACCCAGTGTATATATATTCATTCCTCTATGAAGGAGCACTCAATCATGTGAGACCCCTCCCACCTGAAGACTTGGGAGTGGTACTACCCAGACAAAAGGTTGCCACTTCAGCGAGCCCTTAGCTCTATTTTTGTTCCCTGCACGTCATCTGCATTCAGTTACATCAGTGTCTGCTTATCTCAGATCTCTTTTAACAGCATGATTCTGTGATGTTTGACCGCTGGAACTTTTACAGTAGGGCTGAAGAAGTATTCTAAACAGGGAGGGATATTGGACAGCGAACAAGTGTCTACACTCTGCACTAAAACATTTGCACCGCAGTAACCCAAATCCTGTTGTCGTATTTAGTGTTATTATTATTATTATTATTATTATTGCTCTAGTGTAAGTTTTGTCCTTGATATACTGCACAACAGGAGTGGGGAATCTCAGACTGGGAGCCAAATGTGTACACATACAGAGAGAGAGAGAGAGAGAGAGAGAAAGAAAGAATGAATACCCTTCTCAATCTGGCTTTCAGGACTCTCCCTATAGGCCACCCTCACTCCTCAGCAACTCTGTCTCTTCCCAGGCCACAATCCTCATCATTTTCTTTTCGGGCTGTAATACATCTTGCTTCTCTGCATGGAGGTTAAGTGTGTGCAGGTGTGTGTCCACTGTACAGAGCTAATATTTGCGCCTATTGCTACACATATTTCTGTCTCTCGCCATACCCTCTACTAGAATGTGCCCCCTCTCTCCTGGGTCCTAGCCTGGCACTATAACCACTAGGCCACCACAGTCTTAACCTTGTCTTCTGGGCAAGACATATAAATGATAAAATGCAGTTCAAATGGGTAGGCAATGTGGTTGCCCTCCAGATGTTGTTGGGAGAAAAAGAGAGTCTTTGCCAGGTTCCAGGACAACCATAAAGAAGGTACCAGGCAAGAATCTCTGGGGAGGGAATTCCACAGCCAGGTTGGTACCTGCACCAAGATGGCATTTTCTGTAGTGACCACCTGCCTTATTTCACCTGATGGGGGCACCTGGAGCAGGGCTTTCTCCATACTTGAATCAAGAAGGTTTTGGGTTTTTTTATCGCAGTAAAAGTGTATCTAGAAGAAGCAATGAATCATCCTGCACGCTCTGTATAAATGTCGGTCATGCTCATTCTTGGAAGGAAGTGAGTTGATGCCAATCTCTCTCTTGAGATCTCTCGGAAAACACATTCATTCCACAGCCTCCTCCCCTTTCACTGATGTCAGAGTACATGCACAGGCTTTCTTTCTTTTTTCTTTTTTTAAATAAATTTTTATTAATTTTCCAAACATAAGATAAGAAAGCAAACAATACACAAAACACCGACATACAAACATATAAACATGTATAATTTCATAGCCATTTTTCATAAACCTTACTTTCCGGACTTCCCCATACCTCCCCTTTTCTGCATCCTTGTTTTATATTTCTTCAGCAACTCCTCAATCAACTAATTATTCAGTTCAATTTCTTTTAAGTTCTTCTAATATTATTAATTACAGCTGCAGTTCTCTGTTTCCCAACCCCTTGACATTTTAACATTCCTGAATTTTGCAACAAGTTCTAAGATAAACTTTAAATTTCTTCCAATCTTCTTCCACTGTCTCTTTCCCCTGGTCACGGATTCTGCCAGTCAATTCGGCCAGTCCCATATAGTCGATCACCTTCGTCTGCCATTCTTCCAGTGTGGGTAGTTGTTGTGTCTTCCAATACTTTGCTAGAAGAATCCTTGCTGCTGTTGTCGCATACATACAAAACGTCCTGTCCTTCCTTCTCACCAATTGGCCGACAATGCCCAAGAGAAAAGCCTCTGGTTTTTTAGGGAAGGTCCATTTAAGAACCTTCTTAATTTCATTATAGATCATTTCCCAAAAGCTTTTATCCTCGGGCAGGTCCACCAAAGGTGATAAAAAGTACCTTCAGTCTCATTACATTTCCAACATTTGTTATTGGGCAGATGATAAATTTTTGCAAGCTTGACTGGGGTCATGTACCACCTATACATCATTTTCATAATGTTTTCTCTTAAGGCATTACATGCCGTAAATTTAATACCGGTGGTCCACAACTGTTCCCAGTCAGCAAACATAATGTTATGACCGATATCTTGTGCCCATTTTATCATAGCTGATTTCACCGTTTCATCCTGTGTGTTCCATTTCAACAGCAGATTATACATTCTCGACAGATTCTTAGTATTGGGTTCTAACAGTTCTGTTTCCAATTTTGACCTCTCCATCTGGAAACCTATTTTCCTGTCCTGTTTAAATGTCTCGTTTATCTGAAGGTAGTGCAACCAATCTCGCACTTTGGACTTTAATTTCTCATAGCTCTGTAATTTAACTTTTCCCCATCTTGTTCTAGAATTTCACAATATTTTGGCCATTTAGACTCCATATTAAGTTTTTTCACCTCTTTAGCTTCCATTGGTGACAACCACCTGGGAGTTTTACTTTCCAATAGATCTTTATACCGCATCCAAACATTGTATAATGCTTTCCTAACAATATGGTTTTTGAAACCTTTATGCTGTTTTACCTTATCATACCATATATATGCATGCCAACCAAATCTATTATCAAACCCTTCTAGATCCAAAATATCTGTATTCTCAAGAAGTAGCCACTGTTTCAACCAGCAGAAAGCCGCCGATTCATAGTAGAGTCTTAAGTCCGGCAGGGCAAACCCCCCTCTATCTTTAGCATCAGTTAGATTCTTAAATTTTATTCTGGGCTTTTTGCCCTGCCAGACAAATTTAGATATATCTTTCTGCCACTTCTTGAAACAGTCCATCTTGTCCAAAATCTGCAATGTCTGGAATAAAAACAACATTCTAGGCAATACATTCATCTTGATAACAGCAATTCGGCCTAACAAAGAAAGTTTCAACCTTGACCATATTTCTAGATCCTTCTTTACCTCTGTCCAACATTTATCATAATTGTCCTTAAATAAATTCACATTCTTAGATGTTAAGTTTACCCCCAGGTACTTTACTTTTTCGTTATCACTAGTCCTGTTTCATTCTGAAACTTCTCTTTTCGGCCAATGTTAAATTTTTATCCAACACTTTCGTTTTCTGTTTGTTCAGTTTAAATCCTGCTACTTGACCAAATATCTCAATTAGTTCTAATACTCTTTTAGTACTAGTATCTGGCTGTTGCAAGGTCAATACTAGGTCATCTGCAAATGCCCTTAACTTGTACTGTTTGGCTCCGACTTGTACTCCTTTAACCAACTGGTCTCCTCTAATCATATTTAACAAAACCTCCAGGACTAATATAAACAATAGAGGGGATATTGGGCACCCCTGTCGTGTACCTTTTTCTATAGGTATTTCTTCCGTTACCACATTGTTTACAATTAACTTTGCTTTTTGTTTAGAGTATATTGCACCTATACCATTTTCAAACCCTTGACCTACCCCCATCCCTTGGAGATTCTTCTTCATAAAACTCCAACCAATATTGTCAAAGGCTTTCTCCGCGTCCACAAAAATTAAAACAGCCTTCCTATTAATGTCCACTTCTAACAGTTCCAAAATGTCTATAATGTTCCTCACATTGTCCGACATATATCTCCCTGGAAGAAAGCCAGTTTGGTCTTTATGAATCTCCCCTACCAACACTCTCTTCAGTCTTTTTGCCATAATGTCCGCAAAAATTTTGTAATCCACATTAAGTAATGATATAGGGCGGTAGTTTTTAACCTGGTTCTTTTCAGTCTCAGTTTTCGGTATAAGTGAGATAAATGCTTCTTTCCACGACTCTGGTGCCTTTTTCCCCTCCAAAATTTCGTTACATACTTCCTTCAGTGGTTGTACTAACCATTCCTTCAACACTTTATAATATCTGGCGGTCAAACCATCTGGTCCTGGAGCTTTTCCCAATTGCATCTTCTGAATGGCACCCTCTATTTCTTGTCCTGTTATTTTCTCATTCAAAATCCTTCTGCTTTGCTCTGAAATTTTTGGTAATCCATGTTTCTTAACAAATTCTTCTATTTCCTGTTCATTAACTGGCCCTTGTGCATATAATTTCCTGAAATAACCTTGAAAACAATTACTTATCTCATTTGGTTTGTGGATAATCTTTCCGTCCACTTCTAAACTTGTCACAGTGTTCAATTTTTGCCTCTTTTTCAATTGCCATGACAGAAATTTCCCACATTTATCTGCTGATTCAAATGTCTTTTGTCTCATTTGCTTTATTTTCCATTCTATCTCTTGATTCATCAATTCCATATATTGCACCTGATAGTACTTTATTTCTTTCAGAATCTCATGAGACTTTGGTTTAGACCTCAATTTCTTTTCACCTTCTTTTATTTTTTCCAGAATTTTTCCTTTCCTTTCATTTTGATTTTTCCTTTTTATGGAGTTCTGTTGTATTAGGAAACCTCGCATCACGGCCTTACTTGCGTCCCAAATTATTCTTTTTCCACTTCTGTTCTCAAATTTATCTCAAAATAATCTTTCACTGTTTTTGGGCCTTCTTATAAATCTCTTCATCTCTGAATAGGGTGTCATTCATTCTCCATCTGAAGGATCCAGTTGTTGTTAGTTTCATCTCCATCTTTACAGCATTATGGTCGGAGCAAGTCTTTGAGCAGATTTCTACCTTTTTAATCCTTGGCGCCATACTGCTAGTTACCCAAATTTGGTCAATTCTTGTCCATGTCATTTTTGCTTCAGAGAAAAAGTTCCCTCTCTCTCAAGAGGGTTCCTTGTTCTCCAAATGTCAATCAAGTCCATAGTTTCAGTCATTTCAAAAAAAGTCTTTGGTAGTCTCCCTTCCTTGGAAATTACTTGTCTCTGTGCTTTGTCCATATTTGTGGAAACTACGCCATTCATGTCTCCCATCATTATAATTCTGTAGTCTAAATAGTCCATTAAAGTCTCATGCAACTTCTTAAAGAATTCCGCCTTCCCATCATTTGGTGCATAGATTCCAACTATCAAAATTTTTCTCCTTGAACTTGTATTTCAATTGCCAGGTATCTTCCTTGTTCATCTTTAAATATCATCTTTGGAGCCAATTTTTCTTTTGCATAGATCACCACGCCTCTTTTCTTAACTTTATCTGATGAAATAAATTCTTGTCCAAGTCTCTTGTTTACCAATAATTTCCGATGTGTCCTGGTCACATGAGTCTCTTGTAGGCATATTAGATCTAATTGTTCTCTTTTCAAAATATGAAAAACTTGGCGTCTTTTTCGGGGAAGGTTCAAACCATTACAGTTCCAGCTAAGAAGTTGCAGAGACATTTTGTTATTAAGTACCTGTTCCTCCGACTGCTCCTAGCTTTTGTTCCTCTTCAGATGATGGTATGAGTCCAAATGACAAGTTTGCAATGTCTGTCACTCCTTTTTCTTGTATTGTTGTTTCTACTGTTCCTTTCTGCAAGTCCTCCTGATATCTCTCCAGAAACTGTTCTTTATCTTGAACTGTTCTTATTTTAACCTTCCTTCCTTTGAAAGTAAAAGACAATCCTTGTGGAAACTCCCACCTGAAGGGTATGATATTTTTCTTCAGCAGGTAGACCAAATCTTTATAGAAGGCTCTCACCTCCAAAATATATTTAGGGATATCTTTAAAAATTTGTACTTGACTATTTTCAATCTCCAATGCCTTTTGATAATGCAAATTCAATATCTTATCTCTTTCTCCTTTGGATCTCAATGTGATCAAACAATCCCTTGGCTTCTTACCCTGCCTCCTGCCGAGCCGGAAAGCTGTTGTTATTTCAAGTTCTTCTTTCAGTCTTACCATGTGTGGGGGGGATGTTTCCAGCTCCCCAAGGGTGCAGAAGTTGGCCACTTGTGACTAGAACTTTGCTTAATGAGCTCAGTGCCATTAACGTCTCATAAGAACAGAAAACTCAACGTACGGTTTTGGTTCCCCTGCCTGTCACAAAGGGCGTAGCTGGATGTCCTTCTCAAGAGGAACAGCAGTAGTTTCACCTCTCAAAGCATCTGTACTGACAGTACCAAGATGAAGTGTTTTATTGCAGAAGTTGACGCAGAAGTAGACTATTGTGGTTGGGGGCAAAGACAGGTGTGGCTCCATAGGCCTTCGTTATGGCTGGGGAATTGGAAATTCCATGCTCTGGTTTTTGTTTCATTTTGCAGTATTTATAGGCTACCCTGTTTTTTAAAAAAGTTCAGGAGCCAAAACGTACGAGAGCCAAGGCGTTTGGCTTTCAAGGTACGACTGTAGAGTGCTGTGGGATCCCAGAGTATAAATGTTGAGGAAATCCCATCTTCTTGAGTCAGCCATCCAAGTATGTGGAGCAGCCAAAAAGCAGGATCCACCAAGACCCAACATGATAAGCCTCTCTAAAAACGTACTATAGCTGATGGCATAAAAAGCCAAAATGAGGTCCAGGAGAATCAATGGCATTGTACTGCCCATGTCATCTATAGGAGTGGACAAAGGAGTTTTTCTTCCAAAAATAAATCTAGAAAGTCTAGAAGTTGACTGGCTACTCTGCATCCAGGAAGGGAATGTTAGCCTCCATTGGACATCTGTTCACATCTTCTGGGCCCAAGGAAAGTTTCTTCAGAAGCAATTACACCGTAGTCTCTTTAGTTCAGCAATAGTTCTGACACTGGAGGACTTATTCTACCATGTGCTGGGAAATGTTATAAAAAGTCAGAATAAACTCGGAATGTAAGAGGGTTTACAAGGCCACGTGCAAGTTTAGTACTTGGCAGAACTGTGTATATTCTGCCAGTGGGGTGTGTGTGTGTGTGTGTGTGTGTGTGTGTGTGTCCCTGAAAAAAAAAATTCACTAGGATCTGGCACTAACTCTCTATTATGTCTAAATTGAGTACAAAAAACAAAGTGAACTTGCATGGTGTTCATGTAAGTCTTATATTTATTTAGTTAACAAAATAAATATAAAAAATGGCTTCACTCCAAGCCTAGTCAAAAATGATGCATTTGGCCCAGCCAAATTTGTTTAATTTTCTTGGATGACCATTTAAGCTGAGCTTTACTGTTCATTTTGCATATGCAAGGAAGATCCCTCTCCTGGAACTTCTTAAGTTTTTTTATTCCAGCTTGTTTTTTCATACTGCTTCAAGTTAAAACCCAGCAATTTGCATTTCAGTTTCTGAATCTATACCAGGTCTTCTGTATTTTTCTAATGCTGTGTGATTCCTATACAAAGTCCCTGTCATTTTTTTAAAATGGTTGATTTACTTAATATTTTTAATCCACACTTCATTGCTACATAGTGCAATCCAATTTCAGACAGGTTTGGTTTTATAATAAGGCGGCACAAAAATCTTTTAAGTTCGTTGCTTCTAAACTGTACTGCTGACTTGGTGCACAGAACACACTGCATACAAAGGATTCTTTTGAAATCTATGGCTCCAGCCCATGGCGCTGATGACTCAAGAAAACTTGGGTTCTTATCTTAACCAGACATGTGCAGCCCTTAGCTATTAATACGTATTTACGAAATGGTGGCATGTAGGATACCAAAGGACAAATGTGTTCTGGCAGAGATATCCCTGCCTATCTACTTATTTTGCAATTAATACAAGACCCACTACTGGTAATCGTGGTCTGGAAGTGAAATTGTGCTTTCTCCTGTATGTCACACAAATGAAATCTGGCGAATAACATGGTCTCTATCCTAAAATCCTTACTGTGCAAAATCATTTTTCGGTGACGTCGTGTGTGTATGTGTGTGTGTGTGTGTGTGTGTGTGTATATATATATATATATATATATATATATATATATATATTGCTCAGCCTCTAATGTAAGATTGAACATGGCAAGGATTCTCCTTGGGTGATTCAATCTAAAAACTGGAAACAATGGTTTTAATGGTTTCTTTGCAGACTCCACAAAATAGAATCAAGCACTGTGATAAGCCATCAGCTTTCAGTGTTTTTTATTCCTGAACCAACCAAAAGAAAGCAATAATAATAATGTACAGTGAACGAACTGAGACCACCATGTAGATTTACAGCACAGCTAAATTTCTTAATTTATTTCCTTCTAGGACATAAGGCATGAAGCCAGTGACTTTCCATGTAAAGTGGCCAAACTTCCCAGAAACAAAAATCGCAACAGATACAGAGATGTCAGCCCATGTAAGTTCTGTATCCCTCTCAATACTTTCAAGGAGTCTTTACAAAAGGGTGGAGTAGTGAAGATGCAATGCCAAACAAGGTAAAACTGTATTGTTTCCAATGTGCGTGCAACTTTAAAACAACACCCTGCTGTTGCTTTAAATAACAATTTCAAAATAGGTTGCTCTGTGCTATTTTGATAGTATTCCAAAATATTACCGCTGGTCCTCCAGCATTGTAATTGGGCAAAGACATGCAAAGCAGAGAAATTCGCAGCTGGGGCAAGCAGAGATGGAGTCCAGTTTGTCCCAAAGCTGTAGAGAACTTGCAGTATGTCCACCTTGCTCATCTCCCCCCCCCCCCCCAACCTTTCAAATGCCCAGCTTTCTCTACATGCCGGTGATAAACTTTGCTAGGGTTCGACCTAGGGTGGCATTTTCCAATATCAGACCTTCGTCCTGGAATGCCTGCAGTAGTGAAAGAGAAGTGCCTGTGAGCTTGTGAAGGTTGCGTTTTCTTTTCCTCGTTGAGTAAGCTCAGCCTGTTTCCATGCACTAAGCGAGGGCTTCCAGAATGGACTGGTGGGTTTGGGTTCCGAGGCAAGCAATGAGCACAGACACTTGGCTTTTTAGAAGTTAAGAGAAGAACTGCCGTTGCTCAGTCTCTTTCATTTTTAATGTCTAGTTTAAAAGCTGGGTGGTTTCCTGTTTAATCACGTAGAAACGCTTTGCCTTCTCGTCCAGCATTCTGTTTCACAGAGTAACTAACCAGTGCCTGCAGGATGCCCACAAGCACTGGACGCCTACAGAAGCACCATCTTGCTTTTCTACCCCACCAACTGGTCTTAAGAGGAATCTTGCATCTAGACCTGGCTGTACCATGTAACCATGAATAGCCTTGTCCTACGTGAATTTGTCTAATTGGCTTTAGAGCCATCTAAGCTAGTGGCTGTTGCCACAATTCGTAGCAGTGAATTCCATTTGTTACCCACCTCTTCTCCAGAAAGCTCAGGACCATGTGCATTGAGTTATCTCAATTTATCATTGCAACAATCCTATGAGGCCTGTTTGGCTAAGAGGTGGATGAGTGGGGATTTGCAATTAAGTCTCCCTGGTTCAAATCCTGGATTGTCTCCACGTTGACTGCACTGGCTCTCAAACAAGCTGTGGTGAACTTTTCTAGCTGTTCAATTCCCAAGTGTGTCATAATGACCACCTGCATCTCATGAGGGTTTTTTTTAAAAAAGTCATGTGCATTCAGTCACAGATCTCCTATCTACATTAATGTTGAAGATACGGTATCGCCATGTACTGGAAAATCTCTACCATCACTTAATAGACTAAAAATCAGCTGAGTCTTCCAGGAAAACTCAATAGAAGCTATAGTGTTGCACATAATTTTGCTTACTGATCAGTTTTAGGGGTTCTTTTTGTGGTAACCACCATTGATTTTTGTTTGTTTTAGATGAAACGGCTTCCAGTCAGTTTGGTTTTCCTGTAAAATGTAGGGATTCTTCTATATCTGGGTAGGCTAAATAGAGCAAACTTCAGACCTTTTGAAACGAAGTGCAGATACTGTCAAAGTGGTTTGACTATTGATAATAGCTGGGTGAAACATTAATTGAATAAAAGATACGCAACAGTGTAGGTGAAGGATTATGTTTTGGAATTATTGATATTCCGATCTCTTCTGAAAATATGTGACATAAGCATACAACTTCAGCCTGGTATAGGTCTGCTTATATCTATTTTGATTGAAAGTGAAAATGCGAACATAACATCTCTTTTAATCCAACTTGCACACCACATTAGACCATAGTTAAAGTGAACTATGGTTTTATGTGTCTGATCAGCATGCTGGTTCATTCTGATGAAATCATGGACGCCCATGATTTCGTCAGTATGAACTGTACCAGAAAGTAGACAAGTTGTTGTCTGGCTTCTTGTTACATCCCCAGCTGGATTCATGGTTTGTTTCTCCAAACAAACCACAAGCTGAAGCCAAGGTTTATTCTTCACTTACCACTTGTGGTTTGCTTGTGGGAAACAAACCTCAAGCCCAGGTTTGCATGTTACAAGTCAAACTGTGGCTTGTCTCCCCTCCAGCACAGCAGGAGTGGGAAAGGTCAAAGCACCCACAATATCAGCAGTGTACACCAGCATGAGCCTATGCTTGTTCGCATTAAACCATAGCTTATTTTAACTATGGGTTAACATGACGTGCAAACTAAGTTGTTGTTAGTAACACATCTTATTAAGCATCAGTCACACACTCTTTTCAGAAGAGTTCTTGAGAATTGTATATAATGGGTGCTGTCCCATACTTCATTATTTTGAATTGAAAGATGTTAGCCCTTCTTTTTGAATAAGCTGCTTCGCATAAAATGAATAACACACAGTGATTTTCTTAACTCTGCAATCTACAGTTGACCACAGTCGAATTAAGCTGCAGCAGGATGATAATGACTATATCAATGCCAGTTTGATAAAAATGGAAGAGGCGAACAGGAGCTACATCCTCACACAGGTAAGTGCTTGAGAGAGGAGGAAGGATGGAGAACCCATTTCATAGTCTTCCTGACCTCTTGTTCGGTCTTTGAATCTTATAAATGCATAGCTCATGTGTGGCATGAGAGAAAATTGGTTAAAGGCATTCGTTTTCCCTGTTGTGCAACATTTCACTGCTGTAGAAATGCCCAAAATAGAAGTTTGCCATAGATAGCCGTTTCCTTCATGAATTAATCTAATCCTATTTTAAAGCCATCAAGAGTTGGTGGCCACCCCTGCCTCTTGTGAGAGTATATTCTATAGTAGGCATAGGCAGACTCGGCCCTCCAGATGTTTTGGGACTACAGCTCCCATCATCCCTAGCTAACAGGACCAGTGGTCAGGGATGATGGGAATTGTAGTCCCAAAACATCTGGAGGGCCGAGTTTGCCTATGCCTGTTCTATAGTGTAACTATGCACCGCGTGAAGAATTGCTTTCTTCACATATGAGAACTGGGGAAAGTCAATAGAGTGGCAATCTAGAAAAGAGACCCTGCCAATGTTTTGATAATGCTGGACCCTGAAGTACTTACTGACATGAAATATGACTTCCAAAGACCTGGGACCCCCTTTGGAAGAATGTATTTATAAGGCCTGCTTCTGTTTGTATTACACGGCTTCATTACATGGAATAAGATTTTTAAAAAGCATATAAATTCTTTTACACGAAGGATTTTTCTTTTTGTCATTTGTATGCCCAGAATTATGAATTGCAAATTATGATTTAAGCATTCTGAAATCCATTCAAGTTAAACAAGGGATTGCTCCTTCAGCATCTCTTACTGCATAGTATATCCATGATTTTGTGATCTAAGTAACTTTGATGCTGCCTAGTCAAGTCCTCCCTCCTCCTAGCATGTAAAAGGCCATGGAACTGCTCTTCTTCTACTTCTTCTTCTTCTTTGACTCTCAAAAATAGACCTCCTTAGAGAGGAGGCATGGGTAATTTCCAGCAGAGCTTTGCATCCCTCCTTGGCTCCTCCCAGCTTTATGTCTTTGTTGTTACTGAACCAGGATCATTTGCTCCCCCAGAGCAGAGTGCAGGAAGCTGTGCACCCAGTCCCCTTCCTGTTGATGGTCGGTTTTGTGATCAGTTGTGTCCTTTTCTCTTTCTGAAGCTGTTTCCTTTGATAGAATCTTCACTCTGCCTCCTCCCTCTCTCATTGGCCCAGGCACTTTAAATTACTCCGAGCCTTTTCCATTGATTTGTTTGGGCCCGATCCGTCTTGGTTTCTCGTGTCTGTTTGTCTCAGTTTTGTATGAGGAGTCATGCGAAACGCCAATGATGACTCGAGGAAGTCCCTATGGACAACTTGAAGAGCCTTTCTTTAGCTTTAAACCTTATTAAAGCAAAGGTTGGTGGCAGTCGACTAGGAACATCTGTAAGGAAAAGTAACCTCTATTCAAAAATTACACAAATTAATAATGCACACTAAGTCTTTGAAACTCCCATTGTTCTAGGTGCATTTTGCAACAGGGAGCTCTGGGGGCAGTACTGTGCCCAAGATTTCAATTTAAAACTGCAGAGTGGAAGGAAAGGAGGACCTTTTTCTGCCTCTCCACTTCCAGCTACTCTCTGAAGACTGGAGAAGAGACCCTCATAAGAATATTAGGGGGGCGGGCAGGGGAAGGACTAGACCATGTGAAAAATGAACACAAGATTTTAGCTGCAGTTCCTTCATTTTCAGCTTTTTATTCTTGTTATAAAAGTGCATACATTCCATTGTTGCACCCATAACCTAGGTCTGAGGTGCCATTTAGCTCCTGGCTTTCATATCTCAGTTTCTAACACTCTGCATACTCCACGAATAGTGATGATAATGTGGCTGAACTGACAGAATCAGTAAAGTATCAAGTCTCCAGGTGCCTGTGTTGTGCACCGAGAATGTCTTTTCAATTTACTTTGGGCTTTCCATAGGTAAAGGTAAAGGCGTTTGTTCACAGACAGCTTTCTGGATCATGTGGCGAGCATAACTAAGCCGCTTCTGGCAAACCAGAGCAGCGCACGGAAACGCCGTTTACCTTCCCGCTGGAGCGGTACCTGTTTATCTACTTGCACTTTGACGTGCTTTCGAACTGCTAGGTTGGCAGGAGCAGGGACCGAGCAATGGGAGCTCACACCATCGCGGGGATTAGAACAGCCAACCTTCCGATTGGCAAGCCCTAGGCTCTGTGGTTTAACCCACAGCGCCACCCGCATCCCTTTTCTTCCATGTGTAGGTGTCCTAAATAATGATTATATTACATAGGGTGCATTCACCCTACTCCACAGCATGGAAAATTGAGGGCAAAGTCTCACCCATATAGAAAAACAATCATGTGAAATGAGACCTACAAGGCTCAAGGTCTTGTACCAGTGCCGGATTTACGTATAAGCTAAACAAGGTATAGCTTGGGGCCCCACTCTCTTGGGGGGCCCCAAAAAATGTAAAGGGGAAAAAATTGGATGTACATTTCCAAAATATAAGATAAAAAACAAATAAAATAAAACCTACATGCAGCAACAGTGGCAAATGGCTTTAGATACTATTAGATCCATAAATTACCATATAGCACATATTCAACACAAAAAACAGCGACAATTTGTTGTTGACGAAGAACAACTGGACATATAAACGGCCCCATTACCTTCAGTGGTTTAGGGCCTCATCAAACCTAAATCCGGCCCTGAGTTGTACCAAAGCGGTTATCCAGCAAACACAGTATTCAGGTGTGGTTTCTTTAGTAAATGAGGTGGCAAAGTCCCATCTAAATTTAACGAATATTTGCATAAACTGCTCCTGAGCAACCAGTCTCCCTATTGAGCTGGGGCGAATACAGTATTGCGGAGTCAAGTAAACAGGCAACATCTGCTCAAGGGTACAAGTCAGAGTCTGGGTTCAAGGATGCATTGTTGAGGGTGCATCAGAGGCAAAACGCTGTGGGTGGGCAGAGATGTACATGAGACAGAGGAAATGCAAGGATGAGAAGTTAAATTTGGTGTAATCACATTCATAGTGGTGAAGCAGCCCTTTGTGTGCTCTGAGCATCTCCCCATAAGCTTTGTAATACAGTCACACCTCGTGTTGCGTTTGCTTCAGGTTAAGCGTTTTCAGGTTGCATCCCGCGGCGACCCGGAAGTACCATGCGCAGACTCTCAAAATGACATCACGCACATGCGCAGAAGCAGCGAATCGCGACCTGCAGACACGGGTTGCATTCTGCTCAGGTTTCGAACGGGGCTCCGGAATGGATCCCGTTTGCAACCAGAGGTACCACTGGACTTAAGGCTCAATCATGTACCCATGTGCAGCTAATCAGAAGTTAAGGGACTAGGAAGCCTTTGTTCCTGACATCCTAAACTTGGATAGACTGGGTAATCCAAATCCCTTTGGCTCCCAATTCCTAGCAATATCTATTCTGGATTAGTTACTTGAATAGCAACAGGATATAGCATGGATTCGGGTGATATTAAATGCCAGTTGTGGACTAATGGAATTGACTTTTAGCCACTCGGCCATCAGTCACTTTCTTTTCCAAGGGGCTAGTTCGCTGCACTTGCAAGCTTGGTGAGTGCAGGGTTCCCATTTTGGCCAGCCTAATATCCTTAATAAGTCTTTTGTAGATACATTTTAATACATTGGACCTCATGGGTTGATATGTGAGGGACTGGTGGGAAAGGAAGAACCTTTGACCTGGAAGAGAGGTTACTTTGAAAGTGGATCGGGTAAACATCTAGCAGGAATAGTAAACTCTTCCTGACCTTGCGTGTCAATGCTATGCCAAGACTTTTCATGAAATGATAAAGATGGCTGAATTTCCTAGCAGTTGGCTTTTATTGTCTCTCGTTTCTGTGAATTGCAAGTTCCATTGATTGAACAAACGTCTTAAATTTATCATGCGGAGTGGCATTTTCATTTTTTTCTCAACAAGCTTTCTTAGAACTGTTCTTTACTGTTCCTATCTACAAATAATGAAATAAGGACATGGTTCTCTATCTATAAAACTTTAAAGTTCTGCATCCTTAAAGATTAGTATTTGGCAACTTCACAATATGAAGCGGGGTGGAAATCACTTAAAACTTCACATTTTATGTATCTGAAAAGAGGAGCCACTCCCTGTGTTGGGTTTAGAAATAGAGAATTGTTGCTAGGCTGCTGTTCTCTGAACTTGTACCACATTAAGGCTTTGTATCTTTGCAGGGGCCTCTGCCAAATACTTGTGGTCACTTTTGGGAGATGATTTGGGAACAGAAAAGCCGTGGCGTTGTCATGCTCAACAGAGTGATGGAAAAGGGATCAGTAAGTAACTAAATCATCGCCCCCCCCCCAATGTTTGTTTTGGGATCCTGAGCACATGGTGCATGCACAATTTAAAAACCTGATGAAGATGGTCCTGTAGGGGAAAAAATGCAATAATGCACATGCCAGAAGTGAAGAAAAATAAGTATTGGTTAGACAACGTAGAAATATAATGGAATCTATTATGTTCAGAACCAATTGTGCACTATGAGTGCAATATATGACCAGCCTGCAACCCAGTGCAATGAACTTTTTTACTTTGCTCCTTTGCAGTTTCAGCATTTGGTTGTAATGAGGGGGCTGAGCATATTTATTTAATTGTATTTCATTTCTCTCTCAGTCCCAAGTTAGTTCATAAGATGTGGTAGCCAGTGTCAAGTACAGAAGCTAGCACTGAGCTTCACCAGGAGAACAAGTTGCACGGACTTTTTATTCCGTATCCCAATTTTTTGGTGGTTCCTTTATTGTTGGGCCACGTGGAAAGATGTGAAAAATTCTTGGGACATTCCTCAGTTATTACTATTTTCAATTCAGGTGTTTTTGTGCATCAGCAGAGCCCTCATGTAGTTAACCAGGGTCAGTGATGTAATTGCTTTCACCATGTGATCCCTGAATGGCTGGGATCACACAGTGAAGAAGTCCGTTCAGGATTTTAAAAGTGGCTCTGAAGCAGCAGTGTTTTGATGATTGATGACTGCAAACAGGTATGAAAAAATGCATGTAAGTGTTTAAAGCAGGGAAACTTTGGAGACATTTTGTACCCTTTAAAACAGCAACTTACATATTGAAAATTGAACAGCTTGAAAACTTGGTACAGCAATAACAGCTGTGTCAACTCTTAGCTATTAGACGCCCTCCAGATCAGACCTTTTAGTAACCTAAACTTTCAGCTGACATTGCTGTTGCTTTTTCAACCCTTTGCACATGTCCAAAGAAGAACCACACTGTGCCACTATTTTACTTGTTTTCAGTTGTGTATGTCCTTCATTCTGTTGTGGAACCCAAACCAGTGTCCATGTGGTTCTCAGGCAATCCAGGGACTTCTGTGGCTGCCATAGCTACAATGATATTCCCTTTCCTCTCTGTTTTCCCTTTACTTTCTTCTCCTCCTGCTCCCCCTCTGGTCTTCACATTCTCTTACCACTCCCGAAACCATACTGCTGCTGCGTGTGTGTTTTTGAAAGCTCTTCAAACGCTTTAGTAAGCACATTTGATATGCATATTTTTCTTGCTTCAGGGTTTTTGCATAATGCATTTTTGGGTCGCATCACAAACAGCCCTGTGTGTGGGTGCTGTAAAGCAGATGGTGCACTCACTGATGAATAAATCACTTTATAAGTAGTTAGGAAGGGACGCGGGTGGCACTGTGGTCTAAACCACAGAGCCAAGGACTTGCTGATCAGAAGGTTGGCGGTTCGAATCCCTGCGACGGGGTGAGCTCCCGTTGCTCGGTCCCTGCTCCTGCCCACCTAGCAGTTCGAAAGCACGTCAAAGTGCAAGTAGATAAATAGGTACCACTCCAGTGGGAAGGTAAACGGCGTTTCCATGTGCTGCTCTGTTTCGCCAGAAGCGGCTTAGTCATGCTGGTCACATGAAGCTGTACGCCGGCTCCCTCGGCCAATAAAGCGAGATGAGCGCTACAACCCCAGAGTCGTCCACGACTGGACCTAACAGTCAGAGGTCCCTTTGCCTTTAAATAGTTAGGAAATTCATACCCAGGTTTACCTTAGGGCAGAGGTGGTGTACTGTTCTAACCCCAAGGACTGCCTTACTTCATGGGGAACGTCCCAGGAACCGCGTTTTGGGGCCAAAGACAAAAGTGGACAGAACAATGGATGTAACTCTTCACGTGGCCATGTGCAACCTCCCCTACCCCCAAGTGCACTTGTCCATCTACCATCCATGCATGTAAGAGATACTATTCAAGGGCAGCTCAAGGACACATTCCCGTTCAAGCAAAAGCATCTGAGGTGGCTGCGGAGAACCTGAAGATTAGATAAGAGAAGACTGGGGAGCATTCAGCCCCTGGGCTTGAGGTTCCCCACCTTAGGCAAAAAAACAGGCAGTGGCTCCATCACTTACACAGGTTAATCTGGAAATGGTTCAAGGAGCTGCTTAGTTGACTTCTGAATCACAGACATCCAAATCATTCCCTTTAAGTTAAAGTGGTGAACACATGGGCGTCCATGTGCCACGTGGCCTGTGTGCGAGAGATTGACAGCTGAGCCATCATCCATGCCTCTCATTTCACCCAACTGATAAGTAGCGTGTGATGAAAGGAGTTGTCAACATGGTGCCTTCCAGATTGTTGTTGGACTCCAACTCCTATCAGCCTCTGGGATGTTGTGAGTTGGAGTTCAAGAACATCTGAATGGCACCACGTTGACTTCTCCTGTGTTAGGAGCTCTCTTCTTCTGTCTTCCTTCAAGTCTTCGGCCTTGAAGGAGTTGCCAGGCTCGCCTGCCCATGCTTCTCTTTCCAAACAACAGTCAGTCGACCACTTGCCATAAATAACCTCACAGGCGTTTTTCAAAAGTCCTTGGAGTGAAGAGCGAATTGTATTCCTTACAGGATATAGGAAAGATTTATGGAGAAGTCGTCTGCAGTAATCACTGTCTTGTTGAGTGGAGGTTTCCAGTTCCCCAGTAATATTCGTAGTGAAACAAATCTAAAACGAGAAGTACAGTAACCACAGACTCAACCATTCCTTCCTCTCCCACTCACCCCCACTCATTCTTTCTCCACTGCCAGTAAGCTTGAACAAAGCACAGAATTATTGAGATCCCCTGGGGGAAGGCTGCTAATGCTTCTCGACAAACGGTTGAGGGGGGATACTCAATGGGAACTTGGCAAAAACATTATTTGCCAAACCATTTAGTGCAAAAAAAAAAAAAAGTTACATGTAGCAGATTCTCTTGCAAGCTGCGATTAAAAATAAATTTGCAGAAGATTAAAAATTCTTTCTGTCTCCAACCAAGTCGTATTGTTCAGGAGTTAAATGGAAAAAGACGTTGGTGCCTTCTACGATGGGCTATCCTACACAGAATTCTTTCCTTTTTCCCCCTCTGGATAAAACATTTTGTGGGTTGGTAAACTATTGCCTCAAACACTTCTTTTGTGTAATACTCCCTAGTGGATTGTACCAGTTTCCGTTCTATAAAAGGTCTCCAGTATTACCATCCCATGTTGGACTATTTTTGATCAGTAATTAAATAGCATAATTACCCATCTCTTTGTCATATGGTAGAAAAAGCAGAAAGAATAAGGCTATTGCACTGAAAATGGAACACTAAAAATCCAAGCACAGTAAGCATTTTCCTCGTCAGATGTCATTGAAGTTGTATTGAATTCTGCAGGACAGCATTCTCCATGAACCTAAGTTCTTGGTGTCTACAATTGTAGGTTTGATAGTTGTCTCAGCCACTGGACACCATCAGCTTCATGGCATATAAATATTCTAGCGATGCAAATCTTGGACTTCCTGGGAAATTATTATTGAGAAAATTACTATGATCAGTCAAGAACTTAGGTAATTGAAATGCCCAGACTCCATTTTCAGTGAGAACAAACCGCTGTAACCTTTAAACTATCCCATATGGCATCAAAATGATCTCATAAGACTGGGATTTGGGGGAAAGGGGTTGAACTGAACTGAACAACTCAATTGCATCTGTGTCTCTTGATTCCTAATTAAAAGCTACAGTTGTGTGCATGTATACTTCTAGCTGTTCTCCTGAATAGAGTCCCATAAATCGTTAAGGCAATTTTGTTGGCTCGTTGCAGTTGTCAGTTTTGCCCAAATGAGGTTTTCCCTAGCTGCCATGTTCTGTAATCCCAGATCGGTTCCAGAAACCCGGTGCCTAGTGCCAGTCCGTGGCACTCGAAAGTATGTTTTGTTCACTCAGTGGTTTCAGTGGCTTAAGGGGTAATCACAGGGGTTTCTCCTGTTGTTAGCGGTTGAGACTTTCAGCGTAAATTCTTAGGGGTGGATGAACACACACAGGCACTGGAAGCTGCAGCCTATCTAGAGTACACTCCACTCCAGCCGGTATCCAAGGCAAAGGTCTCTCCACATCCTGCCACCTTTCAGTGCCAAACTGAGACCTGCATGCAAACTCATGTGCTACACCACTGGCACACTTCCAACCCCAGAACTGATGTGCACTGCATTCAATCACTGCACTTTGCAAGTGATCTCTTCCAGCATCACCCATGCTTCCTTTGGCATCTTCAAGGAGCATTTAAAGGAGGGTTAGGGGTCCTGTGACTTTCCAGATGTCGACTTCCCATCAGTTGCAGCCAGCGCAACCATTAGTCAGTTATTGTGGAAGCCAAACACCGGTTCACAACAACTGATTTTAAAGACTCGTCTCTTTGCTCAAGTCCTTCCCTGTGCAATTTCCTTCCTCTTCTTATTGACTGGAAGCCTGTGGGAAACGACAGCCCCCCCCCCCTTTTCAATTCTGCAAGTCTGCTTTTAGATATTCAGTAAACTACGTCTGTGTGCCACATGTACATGGATAATGCGAAGCGGCTGTCTATAAGTGCCATGCATGCTGATGATTTGTAAATAATGCTTGCCATTCTGGGCGACTCCTTGTTAAGCAGCTTGAACATGAGTCTTGCTTATTTCCCCCCTCTAGATAAAATGTGCACAGTACTGGCCGCAAAAAGAGGAGAAAGTGATGCTCTTTGAGGATACAAACTTGACGTTAACCTTGATATCAGAAGATATAAAATCCTACTATACAGTACGACAGTTAGAATTGGAAAACCTCACAGTAAGTATGGGGAAGCTCAGCGTTAACTATTTCTCTCTCACACATACACACACTTTTTGCAAACCGTATTTTGCTGTATTAGTCTCCTGCATTAAGAAGATGGATACTTGATGACTCTTTGCTAGAGCTTCAAGATCTGCTCAATGCTGATGTTTCAGAATCTCAGCTGCGTTGAAGGTTTTTTGTTCTAACATTTGAGAAGTTGCCGCACTGGCTCTTCGGATTCTAGTTCCTAGGTATGGGCAGCACATTCAACACAGATAAGCACATCAGGGGTTTTTTTCCCTGCCATCGTACCTTCAAACATCTTTGCAGCCATGGGGGCTAGAAATACCGCAGGAATTCTCAGAGTTTCCTCTCTCTACATTCTTGGCAGTTGTGTGGAAATAGAAGTGGGGAAAGCAGTATGTTTTCCATATTTCCCCATTTCTCTTTTTTTAGCTTTTTTAATGAGAAGAGCAATTAGGTCATGTCCCATAGTAAAGTACTTCCTAGAACGAGTGTGGAGGACTGTGTTGGTCTAGTGGGGCAGATTTCTACCTCCCGCACCTGACACAGTTATGCTTAGTGAGCCTTTTTCGTCAGCATGGGTTTTGCAAAATGCTTTGCAAGGGACCCAGCGATCAGCTGATAGTTGAGTCTTGCTGAGACCCTTGGAAAACACTCAACAAGATAGCGCTTTGCAAGGGTCTCAGGCAGACCCTCTTCCCAAGTCCCTTGCCACAAAAAAGCTGTCTTGCAAAGAATCAAGTGATATCCAGGCCTCGTGGATCGCTTTGCACGGGGCTTTGCAAACTCTCCTTCAACTGAGCAGGTTCCCATGAACTTTCTCCTAGATCTTGTGCCAATTGCTGATGGCAAACCGCAGAATCAGACTGCATTTGAATCAAGAGGCAAACCCTGTTTAGCGGTTCTAGTAGTAAACAGCTACTGTGTAATAATCATATAGGATCTTAGAGCAGATATGGGGAACAGTTCCCAGCCAGCAGAAGAGATGCTTTGGTACCCAAGTGCACAAAACCATAGAATTGTAGAGTTGGAAGTGACCCTGAGGTTCATCTCTTTCCCGCAACGATTTTGACAGGTGCGCTAAACCACAATCCCCAGTCACCTAATGGCACCATGACATCCGTTGATGAATTTTCCTTTGCCTGTGCGGTTTGAAATCGAACAGTGCTTTGCAAGTGCTGACAATCAGCAGTGCCTGCAAAGCCCACTTTCAGCAGGAAACTGCGTCTGTACCTGTCCCACAGGGCAGGTGGACTTGGCCTGGCCAAAATGGTCTTGCATGCCAGATTTGAGGCCTAGCCAGTGTGATTAGGCCCCTGGGCTGGAGACTCCACAGCCTTGCCCTAGAATATCATCAATTACAGTGTCCCTACAGTGGAATTTAATATACTCTGTGAATCTTTTTTACATGTGAGTAAACTTTTTGTGGCACCTCATGAAGTAAATGCCTGTTCAAATGCAGCCTTGAAATCAACTTTCTTTAGTTTGGCCAGGGCAGGTGTGGAGAGTTGTCGAGTGTTATGTTCCATGCACGTGTAATTTTTTTTTTAGAAGAAATATGAAAATAAACTGAATGTCAGTTTCCTAATCGCTGAAGCATTGTTGCAGGCCATAACGAGTATCGCTGCGTACTTTCACTTTCTTGAAACCTTGGGTGAAAACGGTTTTGTCTTTTGCAGACACATGAAACTCGAGAAATCCTGCACTTTCATTATACAACGTGGCCTGACTTTGGAGTCCCCGAGTCTCCAGCTTCGTTCCTCAACTTCCTGGTCAAAGTGAGAGAGTCGGGGTCACTGAGCCCCGAACATGGACCCATTGTAGTACACTGCAGTGCAGGGATTGGCAGATCAGGAACTTTCTGCTTGGTTGACACTTGTCTCCTTTTGGTAAGAGAAGCTTGCTTGTAAGGTGGAAGGGAGTGTTGGCTGCCATTTTGTTTAGTGCCTTTCAACTCCACAATTCTATGATGCTAAGCAGAGCGGAGCGAAATAGGCTTCATAAACTTCGGCAAACCCTTTGTAGCAGTGACTATGTGGGACATCTGTCTGAATTCTGCTTTAACCTAATTCCGTTTCAGACTTGTGCTGAGCTGGCACCAATCTTTGTCATGGAGGAACCAGCGCACAGTTCCTCAGTACCACCAGTGCACAGTTAAACTGTGGCATGGTATAGAGGCCCATACATAGGAGAACCTGATACTTCTGAATCTTCACCCTGAAAAAGAAAAGGGTTTGGGGGAGAGAGAAATTCCCACAGACAACTCCCATCCTAGAGTAATCTATTTCCACTTCAAAGTTTAAAATCAAGCCTAGCTTTCAGTGAGGCCTGCCTTCGGTTAGCCAGTTGGTAACACTCTCTCTTTCCAAACCCTTTCTGTGTCTTGTTTCAGTAAATGTGCTTTTGGCAGGAAAACTACAAAAACGCTATGTTCTATCCACTTCATTCTGAAAACTTGTTGCCTTAATTTTCACATTTATCGCCCTGATTTTTGAGTATGTTGACATGATCCTTGTTGACATGATCCTTGGCACTGCAGCTAGAGAAGCTGGGGAGAATCCCATTTCTGTTCTCCTTCCTCTGGCATTCCAGTCCTAAGCATGTGTTGGAAATGAGTCCTGCTGCTTTTGAATAAATGTGCAGAGAACAACAGCCTCTCAACCAAATCTTATGAATGCCCATTGCATTCATGGGAGTTTACTTAAGTTCAGTGTCAGAATATGTGTGTCTTCGACAAGTCATATTGTTGGGGTCACCAGTTTTAGTGGGATGAAGGGGGAGGGCCCAATAATAGTTTGTTGGCTATTCTTAAAAAATATTGGATCTGGTGAATTTCCACTGGGCATCATTCTGTAAGACCTGAGTAGATGTGGGTTAGGACTGCAACCTTGATAAAGACGTCTTCCAGATATTCCACAAATGAGAAGCTGTACTGTGGCTGAGCCAGTGTGGTGTAGTGGTTAAGAGCGGTAGTCTCATAATCTGGGGAACCGGGTTCGCGTCCCCGCTCCTCCACATGCAGTTGCTGGGTGACCTTGGGCCAGTCACACTTCTCTGAAGTCTCTCAGCCCCACTCACCTCACAGAGTGTTTGTTGTGGGGGAGGAAGGAAAAGGAGAATGTTAGCCGCTTTGAGACCCCTTAAAGGGAGTGAAAGGCGGGATATCAAATCCAAACTCTTCTTCTTCTTCGGAGGTAATTCAAAAAACGATCTGAATTTCACCTTTTTCTATTTAGATGGACAAAAGAAAAGACCCTTCTTCCGTCGACATTAAGCAGGTTCTTTTAGAAATGAGGAAATACCGCATGGGGCTTATACAGACTGCAGACCAGCTTCGCTTCTCATATTTGGCTGTTCTAGAAGGATCAAAATTCATTATGGGAGACTCATCTGTGCAGGTGAGCAGCATTAGCAGAATTCGACTGGCATAGGTTGTCTTCATTTTTTAAAGTTGTGTGTGAATGGGCCAAGATTTTTATGGAACAGCAGTGTGTAGAATCGAGTGGCAATTAGATGTGCTAAAGCAAAGTGGTTCACAAAGGCACCTTTGACACACACATATACTTACACAGACACACACACACACTTGTGTATAAACCAGGTTATAGGATGTTGCATGTGTTGTTGCCATTGCAATAGGTGATTCTTACTGCTTTACAGTTCTGGGGAATAGCAGGTTCTGCCCTGGCACTGCAGTACTGTAGTTCATTATCCAACCCGTGTCTTCTTATGTCTTGTAGATGTGAAGACTCTAGCAGGACAAGGGTATCCGCTGAGCTGAGGGTTGTTGCTTAAGGCGCATCATGCCATTGTCACTTAAACGTTATTTGACTAGGTGGTAGAATAGTTGAGAGGGAAAGAAAAGAAAAATTCAGAGCAGGGTGATGGTTTCATGTGCCCAAGCACCCGGGGTGGTTGATGCACTCTCCTTGCTCCGGAAAGGGAATGAGGTGATAACAAGACTGCAAAGAGGAAGTCAGAGAATGAGGAAGGGAATTAAGCAGAGGCTAGATCCCTCCCCTCTTTTGATGTGGAATATTATTATCAGTATTTCCATTTATGAATTGTTTCCAATGAGGAGTTTCAAAGTGACTCTGAATACATTTTGTTCAACATCGTTCTGTCTGTGCAAGCGTTGCAACTTGCCAGCTGGACCTATTTCCCCCTCCCATCATGCTATTCTGGGAGCTCTCCTGACACACTCACCCAAACCCCATTTTCAGGGAGTGCAAGGGGGTGGGCCGGAGGGAAGCCCCCCAGAGTGCAAGCAGAAATCTTTGCTGGAAGCTGCCTTTAGTGGCTGGGGCAACCTAGTCAGATGGGAGCATATAAATAATAAAATGATGATAATGCAGACATTCCTCTGTTGGGACTGGTCAGGTGAATTGTGCCCTTCCAATGCTTTTCACAACTTGAACCTATGCATCCAAGTCAGACGTAAGTACCACTGAGTTCCGTGGAGTTTACTCCCAGGTGACTGCGCATAGGATTAAAGTCATACCTCATGTTATGTTTGCTTCATGTTACGTTTTTTCAGGTTGTGTCCCGTGGCGACCCGGAAGTACCGGAAAGGGTTACTTCTGGGTTTTGCTGCTTGCGCATGCGCAGTAGCACTAAATTGCGCTTCGCACATGCGCACAAGCACCAAATCACGTCGCACACCCGCGCAGATACGGCGCTTCAGGTTGCGGGCTTTTCATGTTGTGAACGGGCCTCCGGAAGGGATCCTGTTCGCAACCAGAGGTACCACTGTACAGTTACATCACAAGGAATAGTAAATCTTGTTATTTTGTCTTTAGTCTAGCTAGGAGCCTAAGGGAATGCACAATCTCGTGGCTATAGGGGCTGTCATGATGAGCTCCTGCACTTCAGATTTTCCCACTGCCAATAGGTACAACAAACTGCACAGTAACATTTCTTTTTTAAAAATGGATAAATGGGAACACCTTAATGGTGCATCCTGGGCGTGTACAGAAAAAGTGTGTGTGCATTTTCCTTGCTGTTTTTTTAAGAAGGTTTAATGAGTCTCCTGCTTCTGTTGAAGGAGCAATGGAAAGAGCTCTCTAAAGAAGACTTGGACCCCCCGCCAGAACATATTCCCCCACCCCCAAGACCACCCAAGCGAACCTCAGAAATGAATAACGGAAGGGTGCACGACCACATGGAAAATTCTTCAAAACATCGGGTGACGGAGGAGGAAGTCGCATGTGCTGTGAGCACTCTGGTGGCGAAGGTTCCTGATGGCAGAGATCACCCCTCTGAACATCTAGACATGGAGAGGTAATGTTGGCCAGGATTTCTTTGGGGTAACACTTGCATCAGATTGCCATCAGCCTTGCAGCCAGCAAGCCGCCTGTCTCTTTTGTTCCCCAGTGTTTTTACTAAAGCAGAGCGAGGACCCGATAACATTTTATCCGTTCGTGTAGAAAGTAGGAATGGAGAGGCAGAGATTGAGGGGAAAGGAACAAAAGCATTTGAGGAAGTTCCCTTTTGATGTATTTTTTCCCTTACTCCTCTTAACTCCTTGCTCCTCTACTATAAGGAAGAAAAAATTGCCACGAGAGGGGGGGATCTGTCTCTAGAATAAACAAGTAAAATAATTTGTGGTGGAGAATGAAATGTGGTCATTTCCAAGCTGTACACAGGCTTCTTAGTAAACCAAAGATGCAGCTGAGCTTTGTTACTTAAATATAGCAGGAAGTATTCTTTATAGTGTTATCGTTTTGTGAAGTTATTAAAAGAAGCAAAAGGGGGTAGTTCTGAAAGCAGCTACACTGATTTTGCATGCTTTCAAAATCTTCTGAAAAGGATAAATGTTCAGAATTTCTTGAGAAACTAGGTCAGTTCAAATAAGATGTTGCAGGGGCACAAGGTGGTTTGTCTGCAGTCTGCTTGTGCTAAAGAGCCTTTTAAGTCTTTGCACTAGATAAGAATGAATGAGGTCACTGGTTTAGCAAATTCCCCACTTCTCAGTAGGACTGAAGTATTTCCATTGGAACTAAAACATTGTCAGGGTGGAACCCAACTTCCATTTTTTTAGAGAAAGAAAATTGTTTCAACTTAATTATGGATCTAACCAAAATATAGCTTAAAGGCTGTTGCAAAATATCAGACAGTTTAAAAAGAATTAAGAGATGGTCGAAGTTTTTCCTACTCTAGTAGAAGAAGCTTAAAATCTGAGGTTTTATCTTTTCAGTAAGGGGCTTGCTCACCTGTCATTCCAGACAGCTGAAATGAAAAACTCTAGAAACAGCCACCAAAAGTTATCAAAAGCAGGGAGAGAGAGGGAAAATGCACTGCTTGAACACTAGGTGTCACTACTGCTCCATGTGCAATAATGTCGGGAGATTTCCTTTTCCTGGTTCAGCAATACTGGAGTCTGACTTGGCCATTTTTATCTAGAACTGAGCCAAAACCTATTTAACCTGCTTCACGTTCCCCTGCAGGTGTGCTGAAAAGCAACCTCCCATTTTTGCCAGTTTTGTAGCAGTGCATTCATATTATTCTCTCGGTCCTTTTTTCTCTCAGTGCTCAATTTGTTCCCATCTCCCAATAACTCAATCCGAGCCCCGCATTGGCCAAAAGATTCCTTCGTTGCAGGGAGTGTTGGACTTGATAACCCAACTCTGCAATTCTGTGATATATAAAACCTGGCTCCTTGGCTTTCCACCATGCCCAAAGCATTGCTGCTCCTTTACTGTCCTATCGCTGTCCTCCACAAAATGTTGTTGTTTAGTCATTTAGTCGTGTCCGACTCTTCGTGACCCCATGGACCAGAGCACGCCAGGCACTGCTGTCTTCCACTGCCTCCCGCAGTTTGGTCAAACTCATGCTGGTAGCTTCAATAAAACTGTCCAACCATCTCGTCCTCTGTCGTCCCCTTCTCCTTGTGCCCTCAATCTTTCCCAACATCAGGGTCTTTTCCAGGGAGTCTTCTCTCCTCATGAGGAGACCAAAGTATTGGAGCCTCAGCTTCATGATCTGTCCTTCCAGTGAGCACTCAGGGCTGATTTCCTTCAGAATGGAGAGGTTTGATCTTCTTGCAGTCCATGGGACTCTCAAGAATCTCCTCCAGCACCATAATTCAAAAGCATCAATTCTTCAGCGATCAGCCTTCCACAAAATAAGCATCTGCAAAACACTTTTGCAGTTCCTTTTCTCAGATTGCAAGGAACTCTTGAGTTGTAGCCTGTGCTGTCCCAGCAGGAGTCTGGTAGCGAAACAGGACTTCTGCTTCCTCTCCTCCTCCTGTGGGTTGCCCCGTACCCCAAATAAATATGCCCCAGGGGGGTCTCCCAAGTCCCAGCCCTTCAGAGCTGATGTTGAGATGTGCTGGAGGAGACAGAAGAGGAAACTCTGCCCCACATGTGGGAGCCAGCAGAGCTGCGATGTTGGATGTGGCTCCTGCTGGTTTTGAATGGGTATGCTCTTCCTGGGACGGAGGTTCCAAAGAAGCTGACTAATCTTTTTATGTATGCAACAGCCTCAGCCAGAACCTTATATGCGCCGAAATGGAAAAAGGAAAAGGTTCCAACCAAAGAAGAATGGCTTTAAAATAAATGGCAAAATAGCTGAAATGGCAAAATTGACTGTAAAACCAAGAGATCAAAATGATGAACTGCTAATTATTATTATTATTATTATTATTATTATTATTATTATTAATTTGTATCCCTCCCTCCCTGGCCAAAGCCGGGCTCAGAGCGGCTAACAGCAGGTAAAAATAGCACAGTGCACATAAAATCGCACAGTCAATTAATTAAAATACATTCTAGAAACAATTCAGAATCACATTAATGGCAACCATCGGATTAGAGTTCTATGAAGGATACAGAAGGAGAAAGGGAGTCAAACTGTGCCTTGGCCTAAGGCCTAGTGGAACAGCTCTGTCTTGCAGGCCCTCCGGAAAGATGTCAAGTCCCACAGGGCCCTAGTCTCTTGTGACAGAGCGTTCCACCAAAAAAGCCCTGGCTCTGGTTGAGGCCAGTCTAACCTCCCTGTGGCCCGGGATCTCCAAGATGTTTTTATTTGAAGACTGTAAGGTCCTCCGTGGGACATACCAGGAGAGGCAGTCCTGTAGGTACAAGGGTCCTAGGCTGTATTATGGAGAACCGGAGGCCTTTTTTCTTTTACACTATCAAAGTATCTTAATGATACAAAATCGTGAGCTGGATTTCAGATACGAGCGGCGGGTGGGGGGGAAGACAAGATGGAGTTAGAGGATTTAGGAACAAGTTGTTGTTGTTGTTGTTGTTTAGTCGTGTCCGACTCTTCGTGACCCCATGGACCAGAGCACGCCAGGCACTCCTGTCTTCCACTGCCTCCCGCAGTTTGGTCAAACTCATGCTGGTAGCTTCAAGAACACTGTCCAACCATCTCGTCCTCTGTCGTCCCCTTCTCCTTGTGCCCTCAATCTTTCCCAACATCAGGGTCTTTTCCAGGGAGTCTTCTTTTCTCATGAGGTGGCCAAAGTATTGGAGCCTCAGCTTCACGATCTGTCCTTCCAGTGAGCACTCAGGGCTGATTTCCTTCAGAATGGAGAGGTTTGATCTTCTTGCAGTCCATGGGACTCTCAAGAGTCTCCTCCAACACCATAATTCAAAAGCATCAGTTCTTCGGCGATCAGCCTTCTTTATGGTCCAACTCTCACTTCCATACATCACTATTGGGAAAACCATAGCTTTTACTATACGGACCTAGGAACAAGTAGAACGCAGCAATTAAGGATAAGGATGGAAAACATCAGGGCAGGAAGTCAGAAAGAAAAATAGATGTGAAGTCAGTTTGTTAAGACCTTTGAAATATCTAATAAAAACGAATGTTGAATGTATACGCTCTCTCTTGTTCCTCAGCACTAGTCAAGACACTGAGCTTAGGAAGAGAACTGTTGATGCCTCGCCACAAAGTGAAGAGATGGTCAAGTCGGAAGAAGACGACGATGAGAACATGATGTCAACTTGGAAACCATTTCTGGTCAACATTTGCATGTTCACTGTTCTGACCGCGGGAGCATACCTCTGCTACAGGGTATGTTTCCATTGATAGACATGCCAGCGATGGTATCGAGAACGCCAGTAGCTTCGCCGGCGTTTTAACTTTGTTACAATAAAAGAAAGCTAAAGCGGGGGGGCATCCAAGCCTTTGCCCCAGTGGAAGTATATCTTAAGTTTGAGATGCTGGAACTTTGGTTAGGGCTTAAAGAGAAAATTGATGCACTAGGGTTTAATATTAGCCCTATGGTCCCAAGAACATAATATTCTAATCTCAGGGCCTTAAGATATTCAGGAGTAAGCAGAGAATATGCCAAATAAGTCTTGTGGGGGTTTTTTTTTCCTTTCATTATTTTTTCCTTATTTTTAAAAATGGAATAATAAGAGTTTACAACACATTGTTTTTTAGAAGTCTTTTAAAGCCAGTTTTCGTTCTTTTGGTTGTTGTTTTTCAGGGGGGGGAAGCAAGTGAAAAATTGCTTGTATTCTCCAAGTGTTTGTAACCAAATACATGATTGGGTTCCTTAAATCACCACTATTGGGTTCCTTAAATCACCCACACATGCACACACCCCTGAAGAATGTACAACTTTTTATTTTTATTTTTATTTGAGAGGGGAGAGCTCTTTACTGCATGCCTTTTCAAGACTGAGGACTCTCTAAAGAACCACTTTTTTGTAAGTTCTGTTGCTTAAATTGGCTGCTGCTCAGGAGCCCCAGTAAATGAATGGAGATTACATAATAAATACATGCCTCTGCAAATTGAATTTCACCCTGAAGTGTGGGGTTTTCTGGCAGTGCAGGTATCATGGATAGATTTTATCTTAAATAGATTCTTGCTTTCAGCGCAGTTGTAATGGGCATCTGCTGTTGCTCAGGGCATCCCAGCAGGTCAAACGCTACTCTTTCCTTCTTCCTTTAAGACAAAATCTCCCACTCACCAGCAACACCAAATGCAAGTCTTCTGTCGCACTCCTTATTATCCCCATTGCTTAGCACCCTTCCATAACTCTCTCTCTCACACACACTTTCTCTTTCTGTCTTTCTCCCTGTCCTTTAGGGAGAGGGGAAGGAAAATACAATCAAAATATATCCACTAGCATTTGCAAAATTGTTTTGGAAAGGACCAGTGTTCTTAAGCATCAGTATCATAATTTGGAATGTAAAATGCAACTTCACTCTAGACCTGCCATGTGAAAAGAATACGCTTTCTGTACAAAATGGAACAAGAAGAGTTTAAAATAATTCTTAGAGCTCCTTTATGCTGCAGAAATGTATCTCAAGGAATCCCAAGTAGCTATTGCTGGACAGGGGGTGGGCAGGAGGGGGACTTCCCTTTTGGAGAAAAGCTGAGCAAATGAAGGGGCTCTCCAAATCAACAAGTCATTTTGCAAAATGCAAGAAGTCACTGCTGGTGGCTTTTAGTTTTATTGCCTCCCCCCCCCCCCTGCCCTTGAACAAAGATTTCAAGTTTGGCTTTTATGTGGCTTAAGATCATGCTGTTCAGTAGCCAGGCTTAAGCCACCTGCCTGCCTCTGCAGAAAAGAGTGTCCAGCCTAACTCGAAACAGATCCAGGTTCTGTTCTGCTCCATCTGAAGATGAAGATTTGAGTTTTTTGTTTTTGGTATAGCTTAACTGACCATAGCTGCTAAAAGGAGGGTAAAAGTTTAGACCAATCATGTATTTTGTCTCTTTGCTGGATGATATGATGGGGGGTAGTAAGCTAGGACTTTGTCAACTCTTCTTACTGCATTCGACTGAAATAATAATCACGCAGAAGAATCCTTTGTCGGTGCTGCAGAGAACAAGACAAATGCATTCATTAGAGTTGTAGCCTGTTTCAAAGTAAAACCATGACAATAGACCTACAAGTGTGACTGATCAATGCTTTAAAAATTCTGCAAAATTCTAATTATATAGCACTTAAGTACCATCTACCTTAAAAAACAACAACAACAGAGTAGACTTCTCACTCCATATTTATTTTGGTTTGCCACCACGCTCACAAACTTTAGCTCTTTGGGTTTTTTTCCCTTGAACCACTGGATCTTGGGGAAGGAAGGAGTGGTTGGATCAAAAGTAAATGAAGTCAAGCTTTGCATCAAGGGCTTTTCAAAAGTACAATAATAATCTTCAGGTAGTAATGGGAAAGTTAAGACACACACGCAGGCAGACAGACAGACAAAGTTACCCGTGAGATTGCTGTTTAGACTAGAATTTGAAAGGAGGAATACTCAAGCAGTCAATCTTCAGTAGTACAGTAATAGTGCAAGCGTGAAAAATACTGATTATGAGTATAGAAAATGGTATAACTATATAATGCTCATCTGTGTATTTTTACTATACAGTATGTGATTGCTTTGTCCCCATCTCTCTCTCTCTCTCATTCAGTAGGCTCTTGTTGAGAAGCAACATTAGTTAGCACATTTTTATTCAGATGCATGTATAAAGTCCCCTCCCCCCCAAAAAGAGAGAGTCCTGGTCAAAATCCATGTGCTTGAAAGTTGAAAAAGAGTTTAAAATATATATATATATATTTCTGCTTACCAATGTACCCAGATTGTATTTGCATGATCTGATTGTTTAAATGGCCGTGGTTCCAAGAGTGTTGCTGAAATGTCTTCGTTCAGCCAATAGATTGGTAGGTGTGGTCTTTTTAAAAAATACAACAAACCAACAACCAACAAACATCAGGTTACCTGTATCTTGCCTAATAACTTGGCATGACTTTCTATTCAGTTTTATACGTCTGCTGTGCAACCCGGTTGTATGCCACTCTCTTAAGCTGAGTAAATATTGTACAAACATTCCAGAGGGTGTACAAAGCCATATTCACACACACCCCTCTCTCTCTCTCTCTCTCTCTCTCTCTCACACACACACACACACACGTTCCCTGCAGGAAACAGGTGCCCAGATCCACGAAGCTGCTGTCTGAAACCCCAAAGGAGCAGCTTTTCTTTCTCTCTCTTTCTCTCTCTCTCTCTCTTTTGCATAGGCCATCAGAACCAAAGTGAGATTTGAAATCTGCGCTTTGTTGTTATATAGAGGATATGAAAATCAAAGCTCTTGAACTTAGCAGCAGGTGATAAATGAATGGTAATATTATTCCTTGGGCTTGTTGTTGGGGTTTTTTTTTTCGTGGGGGGAATGGTTGAATTCAGAATGTCTCTCCTTAAAATCCACAGTGACTTGATTGTACTGTTACGTCTGTCCCCTTCAGCGAGGAAGAAACTAAAGATCTCCCTTGCTAGCCAGAGATACGGGGAGGGTGGACTGGCTACCACGTCTCTCCTGGGTTTGCCAGTATTAGTGATTTGCCTTTTTATCCTATTTGAACTCGAGAAGGACTCGTACTGTAGTGAAAACATGCAGTGGAATTGCCCTAGTCAAAAGCCCGGTGAGGTGTGTATAAGGCTTATAATGCTGAACTTGTAAGCATTTTGTTTTGGTGTCCTGTCTATGTATGTAGTAGTTTGGGTGTGTAAATACAAGTAGCATTTCAAAGTGGATGTATTGGTTAACCTATTCTTGGGATGGGGGCAGGGGTGGGGTGGGAAGTGGGGGCCGGAAAAAAAAATATCCATGTTTAAACTTGTTAGAAAGTTAGTGAGCTGCTCTGCTATATGCCTTAAGCAAATATATACTCATCAGGTCTTTCTTTTTTACAGATTGCCATAGAAAAGTTTTTTTTAAGAAAAATAAAATAAAATCTTTAAAAAAAACAACAACGAACAAGCTAAATGTTTTGGTATAATACGTTTTCAGGTATATTGTCTTTTGTGTAAGGCGCTGCAATGACCTCACAGTTTCAGTAAAAAACTGTACAGTTTTTCAATTTCCCATAAAGATTTTCAGTTCTCATTTTAGCTGCAACAATAAAATTCTTTTGTAAAGAAGCATGTCTCTTGGAGTGTCTTCCACTTCCTCTTTCTAGTCCTGAACTTCTAAACTTCATATTGCTGCTGAAGCCATCTCCTTTGTGTGCTTTCCTACCGACAACATCAGCTTCGCCTAACTTGGTTCACTGCAACTGTGCATTAGCAAGAGAACCAGGAGCAGCACCTTCCTGATATTTTTTCCTGTCAAACTGCTGAATACCTTCGTTCCTCCAAAGCATCTCTCTTCTAGTGCTGTGTTTTGCATTGTGTTTTAAATTATAACTGGAAGAAGAATGCAATTGACTTTTCAAACATTTTATTAAACTTTAAAAAAGAACAATATGTAAACTAGCCCCAGCAATAAATACTGAAAAGTTTTTAATAATAAAAAAGCACAAAGTTCTGTATAAAATATGTACATTAAAGCAAGGGGCCAGGATCCAGTGATGGGCAGCTGCATATAAACACACACACTCAGGGATGGAAGTGTTTCTGTTCTCAGCAATAGGCAAAGGACCTCCACCCCCCCCCCAACTGCATTCAGCTCCTGCCAGCACCATCAGTGGTAAAAAAAGATGGTAGGTGGTGTTCATCAGCATCTGCACCTGTTTACTCAAATGTGCATCTCACCAAGTTCAGTAAAAGATCAATGTAAATGTGCTTAGTATTGCAGCGACAGTCCACTTAAAAACAGCTTCTCGGTTAAGATTATAAACCCAGAATTAAGCACTCATGGGAACAGCTGGCTTCTCAGTTTTTCCTGGCGCTAGATTCTGGTGTGTGTATGTATATTAGAAGAATGGTTCAGGGGCTTAAAGGTGGGAAGTGACCAGCAAGAGGTGAGGATTCTTTAGCTTTTAACCTCTTCCAACTCTGCAATGCTCTAGGGTCACAAACCCCATGTTTTTCAGTCTTATCTTAAGACCCCAATACAGCCGCTGCCAGAACAAGGTGCCCTTTGAAAGAAGATTTCAGGTTAATTTACTGTCGCTAATTACTTTAGAGATTGTGTGGAAGTCCTTGTCCACAATATTAAGCAAATAAATATGCAAGTTATTTTCCTATGGCCTAAAAAAGGGGAGCAGGTTGGATTGAAGTTGTAGAGGGCTGCAAAATCTTCATTAACGCCACTCACTGCATTCCCAGTGTGGCCCATCCTTGTGGTTTTCTTTTTCTCTCCTTGGTTATTCCTAAGAAAACATCTCACAGTCAAAAAAGAAGCTGCTTCTGTCTCCTCTCCTCCAAATGGAGAACTTCAGTGCAAGATTTTCGGATGCCTTCTTAGTTCAGGGTGAATGTTTCCTGTGATACTGAAGACAGGGGGGTGCTGATATTTAATGGTTTACACAGTACCTTTCTGGTTATAAGATCAGAGTCACCCAAAAAGATTTTGCACCGTGCGGAAACTCTGCTCATTCTCAAGATAATGTGTTTTTAAATCCAGCCGAGACAGATTTAACATTTGTGTGCTTTTCTCCCACACTCTTGTAGCCAAATTGCAGATGGTGCAAGATTATCTGGCCTCTCCCTCAAAGGCACTGCTTAAAATACTGTGATTTCTATTTCAGCTTCTTGGTACATGGTATCCCTCAGCTCACAACAGATCTTGTCCATCTTTTCAAAAGCCAGCCTTCCTTTGTCACCTGTGAAGAAAGGGACAAATCAGGAGGTTGACTGCCGTTGTGGGATAAGCGAAGTTTTCCTTGCGCACGACTCTTCCCTCTTTTACAATTTTGCGACCAATTTTTTCACAACCACATGGAAATAATTTGTTATGAAGAAGAGGTTTAGGGCCTGCCTAATGGCTCCCCTGGTAATATCCAAAAGTAAAAAAAAAAGGACATTGTTAACCTGGAACAGGTATGGCAAAGGGTGAACTCAAGAGCAGAGTACTGGCTTACATTAAGGGAACATGCACTGCACATTTCAAGCTGATGACTTCCCCCAGAGAATCCTGGGAACTCTAGTTTGCTAAGGGTGCTGAGAATTGTAGGGGGGAACTAAAGTTCTCGTGATTTGGGGGAGGGAAGTTGTTTGCTTTAAGTGTATGGTATGGATCTGCCCCCAAATGACTCAAGTAGCTGGAACAAAACTCCATTGATGAAACCTTGGGGGCTTTTCAGTTTAGAAAAAATAGTACGAGAATGGAGAGAAAAGTTTCTCTGTTTCTCCCTCCCCCATAATGTTAGAACCTGGCCCACCCAACATAGCTGATATCCAATGTTAGAAGATTCAGGGCAGACAAAAGGAAATATTACTTTACATAGCACATAGTCACACCAGCGCATAGCTATTAGCCACAGTGGCTGTATTGTTCCACCTTCGCTATAGGTCTCTCAAGGTCACAAGGGTGTTCCAAGTCCTGCTTTGGAGATTCCCATGGGCATCTGGTTGGCCAGTGAGAACTGAATGCTAGATCAGATGGGCCTGATCCACCAGACTCACCTTATGTTCTTATAGTTAAACCATGGAGTCTGTTCCTACAGGATCCTGTGATAGTCATCAACTTCACGGGCTTTAGAAGAAGACTTGGACCTATTCATTCCTCCATGAATAGGTCCAAGGCTTCTTCTAAAACCCGTGAAGTTGATGACTATCACAGGATCTAGCCATGGCAACAAGCCACTATGGATACGTTCTGTCTTCTACCTCCACTGTTGGAGGCAGTATGAGAAGTAGTTGCTGGGAACCCCAAGTGGGAAGAGTGCTTTTCTACTCAGGTCCTGCTTGGGGCTTCCCGGGCATCACGTTGGCCGCTGTGGCAACAGGATGCTGGAACAGATGGACCATTGGTCTGATGCATCAGAACCAAGCGTAGGTTTTTAAGCAGTATATAATACCTAGAGCAATTTACAAAGCTGAATAAGGGTGGACAGGGAGCTGAAATGATTTAACAAGACTTCAGGGTGCAGGCCAAAGTCAATTCTCATGAAGATAAAAGGGCAGAAGCGGTTGGTGCTGCCGGAACAAGAGACAGAGTTTCGTAGGAATGGGGTGGAAGGGTTTCTGTTGGTGTGTCCTTCCCTTGCAGGAGTCATTTGTGCTGTGCCATGCTCTTTTTCCAGAAATCTGTCACAAGAACAGTGCTGGGAATTGAGGGCAAAAGAAGATCCGCTGCAGGGGCAACCAAAACAGAGACCACTACCTCAGAGCAAGCGGCGATGCTTCTCTAAGCCAAGGCCAACTAGCTGTTGCTTCTGCTTTTCAGCTCACTATTCGCTCATTCGAAATCCATCTGCAGGGAATCGTTATAAGCACTTACCAAATGACAGAGTCGTTTCTCTGGCGGCGTTCCGCACTTCCTCTGATTCTGATAGACACAGTCTGGCAATTTGCTCTATGCTTTCCACACCCTGTTATATAAAAGAAGCAGTGCAGGAGCAGCTGTTAAATTATTTCAGAATGCTTCCTAACTCTTTACATCAATGCACTGACTCAGACGGATGGATAGCCTGTGGCACTCTAATAAATTGGAGATTTAATAAATCACCATCATAAATAATCTGTAGCTCTCTGTATTATATTATTATTATTATTATTATTATTATTATTATTATTATTATTAATTAAATTTGTGTACCACCCTTTATCCATACATCTCAAGGTGGTTTTTCAACTAGGTTCACCCTTTAACAACACTCATTTTCGTGTATGTGTTTTCTTATGCCCTCTCTGTGTTCCAGTTTCCAATACTGTACAATGATCATGTTTTTTGGTGACTCTTGCGCCCTCTCCTGGCTGCCTGTGACTCTGCACATACACCTCTCTTAACGACCCCACTAAGCAAGAATTTAAAAATACTCACTCTGAGGTTTTTGAGGGCCAGACATGCGGCTTGCTGCAATTTCGCATCATCGTTACTTAAGGCATCTGTGTAAAAAAGCAGAGCCTGCAAAAGACAATGGAGCATTCAATGGCATGGATAACATTCCCTCCTCCTCCGCTCCAAAGTGCCCTAACATAAGATATTGGAGCCTCCTAACTCTGCTGTTTTCCCCACCGTTTCCACTGCTTCTCTTCCTGTGAACAGATATTTCTGGGAGATACCAGGAAAGAATAGGAAGAGGAGAACAGGCTAGCTAAGGGAAAAGTAAAGGGACCCCTGACCATTAGGTCCAGTCGTGACCGACTCTGGGGTTGCGGCGCTCATCTCGCTTTATTGGCCAAGGGAGCCGGCGTACAGCTTCTGGGTCATGTGGCCAGCATGACTAAGCCGCTTCTGGTGAACCAGAGCAGCACACAGAAACACTGTTTACCTTCCCGCCGGAGCAGTACCTATTTATTTACTTGCACTTTGACATGCTTTCAAACTGCTAGGTTGGCAGGAGCAGGGACCGAGCAGCGGGAGCTCACCCCATTGTGGGGATTCGAACCGCTGACCTTCTGATCAGCAAGTCCTAGGCTCTGTGGTTTAACCCACAGCGCCACCCGCGTCCTTTAACAGGCTAGCTAGCAAGCAGCAATTACAGTGATGAGGAGCAGGGCCGTAGTTAATGGGGTGGGGGTGCTCGCCAGGGTCTCAGCCCTGGGTGAAGCCTCTAGCTAGAACTAGGTCCTTCTTGTCTTGAGCTGCTGAGCACCAAAAGAATGCTAATTTGCAAAGGGAAGCAGGAAAACCTGGGAAACAATCCTCCTTCCCCTTTCCCCCTGTCTGTTTTGGGAGCTTAGTTACAGGTAGATAGCCGTGTTGGTCTGCCATACGCGGAACAAAATTAAAAAATTCCTTCCAGTAGCACCTTAGAGACCAACTTAAGTTTGTTATTGGTATGAGCTTTCCTGGAAGTGTGCATGCAAACGAAAGCTCATACCAGTAACAAACTTAGTTGGTCTCTTAAGGTACTACTGGAAGGAATTTTTTTTATTTTGTTTTGGGAATTGTGTGCAAAAGAGAAATCCTGGAGAAGGTTGCTCTCCAAGCAAAATTGAAAAGGGGAAGTTTTGTTGCTTTCTTCTTCTTCCCTCAAAGTCTCAGAGATCAATTAAAAGTGGCAAAGAGATAAGAACACCACCTCCTGCCCTTTTTGGGAGCAGAAGCTTTTATCATGATTAAACAATTTAAATGTCAAGTTGATACTTTGGAGTATTGCTTGCTTATGTGTTCTCTCTCTCTCTCTCTCTCTCTCTCTCTCTTTCTGTGTGTGTGTGTGTGTGTGTGTGTGTGTTTGGATCTAAAGGACAACATCCATGTTTACACCATAAAAAAATCCTTCCAGTAGCACCTTAGAGACCAACTAAGTTTATTATAGGTATGAGCTTTCGTGTACATGCACACTGTATCTGAAGAAGTGTGCATGCACACAAAAGCTCATACCTATAACAAACTTAGTTAGTCTCTAAGTTGCTACTGGAAGGAATTTTTTTTATTTTGTTTTTACTACAGCAGACCAACACAGCTACCTACCTGTAACTATGTTTACACCATGTGAATACATAAAGAGGGCACTGCTGCATACAATCAGCTACAAAAACCGAATCCTCTTTATACTGAAAATAAAATACCTGCAATGAAAGAAATGTGATGCTGACATGTGAAGCACGTTTGTTTTTGTCCCTTCCTGTAATTTGTGAGGAAAATGTAGCCAATCCACTTTAAATTCTTTAATTGCAATGGTTCAGCAGCCAGCGATCTTTTAAGGAAACCTGTGGAGTATTTATTCTTTTATTTTATTCTTTCAAGCCTTAAACTGGAAGCCTTCACTACTCATAAGAAAGTCCCACTGAATTCAATGGGACTTACTCCCAGGTAACTGTGTAAAGATTTTGCAGTCTTATACTGCAATATTAAACATTTCTACTCAGAAGTAAGTCCCACTGAGTTCAATAGGACTTACTCGCTGGTTTGTTTCCTGATCATTATCACAGTTTCCATTATTATTATTATTATTATTATTACTATTATTATTATTATATCATACAGTCATAATACTGTACTTCATAGAATTCCTCAAAGGATCTGTTACTGTCTGAGGAGATCTACTTAAGGCTGAATGAAAGTCAGGTACATACACAGACAATTTTACTATTTGGAGAGACTCTCTCTTCTCCAGCCTCTTTCAAACTACTTTTTATGCCCTTTATGAACAAGTGTGTGTGTGTGTGTGTGTGTGTGTGTGTGCACGCATGTACACAAACAAGTGGGGTGTGTGTGACAAACTAGGTCTTTGCCCCAGGTGACAGAAAGCCTAGTTTTGGCCCTGGTGCGTTTCAGCCCTGCACAACTTTTTGGTATTTCACTGCCTCAAAACAACATCTGAAGGCCATGGAACAGCCAAAAGTCCTGGTTGACTATGATGGTAGAAGAAGAAGAAGAAGAAGAGTTTGGATTTGATATCCCGCCTTTCACTCCCTTTAAGGAGTCTCAAAGCGGCTAACGTTCTCCTTTCCCTTCCTCCCCCACAACAAACACTCTGTGAGGTGAGTGGGGCTGAGAGACTTCAGAGAAGTGTGACTAGCCCAAGGTCACCCAGCAGCTGCATGTGGAGGAGCGGAGACGCGAACCCGGTTCCCCAGATTACAAGACTACCGCTCTCAACCACTACACCACACTGGCTCTCAATGGTAGACTAGATGGGCCTTTGGCCTGGTCCTGCAGGACTCTTCTTATGCATGCAAACCATTGCCCCTACCACTCAACTATGGCCCCTTCCCATACATATAGGCATATATTATCTGGATGCAGCAAACGAGGGAATGCCAAGCAAAGTGGAAAGCCAGTTACCTTTTCCCTGAAATTCCTATCAGCTGCCGCCCGAGAGAGACACGACATGGCTGCCTTGCCCACACGATGGTTTTCATCAAGCTGTAGAACAGCAAGGAGCTGTAAGGTCTGTGGAAGGGGTTGCAGTCGGCTGAGTCGCTTCCCTTTCAGTTTCTTTATTTTCTTCATTCTCCCAGGACGCTGCAGGTCCTCAGTCAGCAACACTGCGGAGGAGGAACCCAACCATAAGTGGATTATGGCTCTGAAAAGCTATTTCCGATTTATTCTCTCTTCCCTCCACGGTATAATGTCAAGGTAACTTATTCTACAACAGTTTGCATGCAGTGCAGTCTGAGCATTTACACACAATGACGTTTCTGCACCAACGGGACTTCCTCTCCCCATGGGCTCCCTTGCCCACACCCCAAAATCTTCTCCAAAGAGTTGAAGGAACACCTCCTCAACAAATTTGAGAGGTATGCAGGGAGAGGAAGTCCCATCGCATAGGCAGAAATCTTTGTACTAAAACAATGTTTCTCAAATTTGGGTCTTCAGCTGTTTTTGGACAACTCCCACCATCCCTGACCACTGGTCCTGCTAGCAAGGGTGATAGGAGTTGTAGTCCGACAACAGCTGGGGACCCAGGCTTGATTAACATTGTGCTAAAAGGACAACTTCATTGGACACAACCCCAATGCCTTTTTTTGTTTAAAGGTATACAACTGCAGGTACAAATTAACATTTAAGGTTGTTAAATCAGACACTGGTCCACCCAATGCGCTAGCAACTTTGACTAGGTCACAGGTAGAGAAAGATCTTTCTGATCAACCCAACAGCTCAGTTGGAAGAATGTGAGGCTCTTAATCTCAGGGTTTGTGCCCAACGTTGGGCTAAAAGTTCCTGCATTGCAGGGGTTTGGACTAGATGACCCTCGGGGTCCCTTCCACTTCTACTCTTCTTTGATCATATGACTCACCTTCCGTAAATTTGTTTAATCACCCTCTTAAGTCACCTAGGTGAGCACCAGGGCCACACCTGGTGGCAATTAATTGTGGATATTATTTAACGCACAATGCAATGACGGTGAAGATGTTTGGATGACACTGAGGACCAGTATGTTAAAAGAGGAGGAGAAAATCCTCTCTCTCTCTATCCACTTAGACCACCCTAGGCATAATTGAATAAACCTCTGTCATGTCTCCCTGCCCCATAATCACGTTTTTGCCTCATATTTGTGTTCAATTGATTCCTTCCATTCCTAGGTAAAGGTCAAGGACCCCTGGATGGTTATGTCCAGCCAAAGGAGACTAGGGGGTTGAGGCACCCATCTCGCTTTTCATGCCGAGGGAGCCGGCGTTTGTCCGCTTTCCAGGTCAGCATGACTAAACTGCTTCTAGTGCATGGAGGACTGTGGCAAGTGCCAGAGTGCATGGAAACGCCGTTTACCTTCCTGCCGCAGCAGTGCCTACTCACACTGCTAGGTTGGCAGGAGCTGGGACAGAGCAACAGGAGCTCACCCCTTGCATGGATTCGAACCGCTGACCTTCCAATTGGCAAGCCCAAGAGGCTCAGTGGTTTAGACCACAGCGCCACCCGTGTGCCACTAAGAGTTACCTGCAAGGCTACCAATTTGAATGAGCGCTTGGTAAAGTGCCCCCTGGTGGGCCCTGAAAGAATTGCCTACCAGTGGCAGACAGCAACAGCAGCACTCATATCACTGTGTTGCTCTAGGTCAGCGGTTCTCAACCTGTAGGTCCCCAAATGTTGTTGGACTACAACTCCCATCATCCCTGAGCTCTGACCTTTCTAGCTAGGGGTGATGGGAGTTGTAGTTCAACAACATCTGGGGACCCACAGGTTGAGAAAGGCTGCTCTAGGTAGGCAAACTAAGGCCCAGGGGCCGGATCTGGCCCAATCACCTTCTAAATCCAGCCCGCAGATGGTCCGGGAATCAGTGTGTTTTTACATGAGTAGAATGTGTCCTTTTATTTAAAATGCATCTCTGGGTTATTTGTGGGGAATAGGAATTCGTCCATTTCCCCCCCAAAAATATAGTCTGGCCCCCTACAAGGTCGCAGGGACAGTGGACCGGCCTCCTGCTGAAAAAGTTTGCTGGCCCCTGCTCTAGGTCAGCTGTCCTCAGCTGAGCACCCTCCAGAGGTTTTGGACTACAACTCCTATCAGTTCCAAACAATGGTCAGAAATGATGGGAGTTGTAGTCCAAAATATCCAGAGGACACCAGGTTGGGGAAGGGACTGTTATGAGAAATCAAAATGGTGGCACCTAGAACAATCTTCAGTTGTTTCCAGGAAGTGCAAATAGCCAGCACTTATCCTATGAACCCTGCTGAACAGGGGCCACCACACCAAAAGCCCTGTTCCGAGTTGCCCCGGAGCAGCTTCTGCTAGCCTTGGGACTTGAAAGGGAAACTCTCCTACAGAACACAGTGACCTGCTGGGTACAGCTCAAGGGACAGGACAGTCTCTCAAGTAGCTATCATTTCAACATGCAACAGCCAGTGGTGGGCCTTGGAGATTCACCCTATATAGTAACTCCTAACCTGGCAGACACCTGACCAAATCTCAAATCTCACCAGCCATTCATTTACCTTCTTTAGCAAATCTGGCCAGGTGTTTTTCCAAATTGTTCACATGGTGCTTCTCCAGGTAGCTGTAAAACTGGAATAATGTCACTGATTCAGCTGGGAGATCCGTCGAGGGAAAGAGCAGGCTGCCTCCAACTATCTGCTCCAGGAACACCTGCAAAACTGAAAGGGGGCACATAGAAATGAGGTGTGGGATGCTTTAAACAAAATAAACATGAGGCAAGCAGTTCTATCTAGAGATGGCCAGGGCTTGGATATTTGAATTTCCTCCTATACATTGGAAGATAAGAAGAGCCTTGCTGGATCAAAACAAAGGTGCATCTAGATCAATATTTTGTGTGTAACCACTATTGCCTAAACACTTTCAAGCCCATCCTCACTGCATTCAGAACTAAACAATAATGCTGTGTTGTTGTTTTTTAAGAAAGTGGAAATTGTGAATATAGTAAATGCTGGGCCCAATATTCCTTTCTCCACTTGTGATCACGGCATCACACAATGCACAAAGGTAGGAGGCAAAATAATGAAGACCATTTTACTTAGAGGGGACAGTCTTAGCATGGCTGCTAGAATAACTGTACACAGGACAGGAGTCCCAGTGTAATTCATGGAAGCCATGCAGCAGCAGCAGATGGTGGTGTTGCTTAGTACCCACAGGGCACAACTACAGTTATACCTCATGTTACGTTGCTTCATGTTACGTTTTTTCAGGTTGCATCCCACGGCGACCAGGAAGTACCAGAAAGGGTTACTTCCAGGTTTTGCCGCTAGTGCATGCGCAGTAGCGCTAAATCGTGCTTTGTGCATGTGCACAAGCTCCAAATCACGCCACGCACCTGCGCAGATATGGCACTTCAGGTTGCGGGCTTTTCACGTTGCGAACAGGCCTCCAGAACGGATCCTGTTTGCAACCAGAGGTGCCACTGTATTCACCGCCTAAGCATAGGGGGGAAACATCTTTATGCATAAGTCAGAAGGTGCCAGATTTCAGCCTCATGCAGAAATCCCGAGCTCAGTCA